AAAACTGGGCGCAGATTTTGAAGTACAAGGACCAACAAAGATAGCCGTTCTGGTCATTTTTAGTATTTCCAGGTGGTTGTTATGGTGATATGGTGATTATCCAAGGTAGCATAGACTTCCCACGGATGAGCAAAAATTAACCATAAGTTATTCATAAGGAGGCAAACAAAAGCTTCACCAACAAACAAACAAAAATGAATAAAAGAGCAAATACACTCTAACTGACGATCATTTCTCGAAGTGTCCATCCCCCACAGTCTGCTTTTGAAATGACTTTTCAAGCAACAGTTATCTTTTGATTGAAACTATGGACTCTGGTGCGAGTTTTCGTAATACTCCAGCATTAAAGGATGATGGTACAAGAGACGAGGTCGACCATGGGGAGAACTGCTGTTCCTTTTTGAGTGTCGAATCTGATGCAGGTTCCACAGTCGAGCCATTCTTTGGAGTTCCTCACGGATAATTGCCATGTAACAAAATAGCAGACTTTCCACATGCACAGCACTGGCATCACAGTATAGTCCCCTGTCCCTCAAATCTTTAAAATGAGTAATCCACCAATCAGAAGCTCCTCTTCGCAGTTGTCCAACCATGCTTCTATTCTCTGATTAACAACTGATCGTCCATAAAGAAAGCTTTTCTCCCCTGATCAACTATCTCCTCCTTCATGTCGTAGATAACGTTGAATAGCAGTGATTCTCACGTTTTCTGTTCCCATGTCTCCACGAATTACACTTGCGGTGCCTCCAAAATATTGTACACAGTTAATGAAATAGCTGGCTACAACGCCGGGATGATTATTGGTTCCATGATTTCCTTATAATTGAAGCCCAAATGGAAATATTCCTCAATCATTGCGAAGGCCGTTATTTGCCATGTTGATTTACTTGAATGATAAGTGATTTAGGGCAGCGGCTCTTCCCAGAAGGTTGGAAAGACCGTAGCGCCGATAAATGATAACACGGTTGAGGCTGGTTCTTGAAAAAGATTTTTTGCTTAATTTTTGACCTAAATATAAAACTACATATTTATTAAGAGTATTGCTATACTTGAAATTTTTTGTCGGTGTAAAGTAAAGTAAGAATCAAGCTTGTTCTACCTGTTGTGGTTTTCGAGCATAGCCTGGTTTTGTGTTTTTCGACGGATAATTTACACTGTTAACACAGAAAAAAAAGAAACAATAAAACTAGCTACCCTCCCTCTATTCATTTTCACAATTCGTTTACGAATACGGCAGTATTCAGAACTAAATTAAATACTACTTACCTTCTCTAAATCGGGTTCAGACGAGTCAGCCATCTTTCTCACAACTACACGTGCTCGTAGTTTGAGCCTGCAAATAAAACTAGCAGCGGTCAACAAATGAGCGCTAAAGAAAAAAGTCGCGCCAGAAAAAGAGTCGCGCCAGCAAAAAAAGTCGAGCTGGAAAGCTGGAAAAAAAAAAGTCGCGCCAGCAAAAAAAAGGTCGCGCCGCAGTTAAGAAAGTGTGCGCCAGAATATGCTGTACGCACACATGTATGATGCTGTACGCACACATGTATGATGCTGTACGCACACATGTATGATGCTGTACGCACACATGTATGATGCTGTACGCACACATGTATGATGCTGTACGCACACATGTATGATGCTGTACGCACACATGTATGATGCTGTACGCACACATGTATGATGCTGTACGCACACATGTATGATGCTGTACGCACACATGTATGATGCTGTACGCACACATGTATGATGCTGTACGCACACATGTATGATGCTGTACGCACACATGTATGATGCTGTACGCACACATGTATGATGCTGTACGCACACATGTATGATGCTGTACGCACACATGTATGATGCTGTACGCACACATGTATGATGCTGTACGCACACATGTATGATGCTGTACGCACACATGTATGATGCTGTACGCACACATGTATGATGCTGTACGCACACATGTATGATGCTGTACGCACACATGTATGATGCTGTACGCACACATGTATGATGCTGTACGCACACATGTATGATGCTGTACGCACACATGTATGATGCTGTACGCACACATGTATGATGCTGTACGCACACATGTATGATGCTGTACGCACACATGTATGATGCTGTACGCACACATGTATGATGCTGTACGCACACATGTATGATGCTGTACGCACACATGTATGATGCTGTACGCACACATGTATGATGCTGTACGCACACATGTATGATGCTGTACGCACACATGTATGATGCTGTACGCACACATGTATGATGCTGTACGCACACATGTATGATGCTGTACGCACACATGTATGATGCTGTACGCACACATGTATGATGCTGTACGCACACATGTATGATGCTGTACGCACACATGTATGATGCTGTACGCACACATGTATGATGCTGTACGCACACATGTATGATGCTGTACGCACACATGTATGATGCTGTACGCACACATGTATGGCACCTATAGGGCTCCGTATAATCTAGCCTACTTAACCGGTTTTGATCTAGAATATAAGAGATGACTGATTGGAAAAGCTGGGAAAAATCCAACTAAAAAGAAAACAATTGTTCAGCCAATTAAGAACTCCCTGGCCATGAAAATCGTTGTTATGTACGTGGTTGTTGTTGTTGTTGGAGTTATTTACTTACTTTACTCATATGGTTATTTTTCCATTCAGATTATGTGTTACTTTTCTTGCTTGACTAATTTAACGAGATCTCTCTATTAGCCATGCAGTTGAAATGGGTGCAGTGTTTATTTTGAAATGTCCCTGATCACGCAAAATCGTTGCTGTGGACGTGCTTGTTGTTGTTGTTGTTGTTGTTGGCGTTTTTTGCTTACTTTCCCATATGTTTATGTACCTATTCAATTTGTGTGTTTTTACTTTTTTCTTTTACACAGTCCATGGCTATTTTAACGAAATGCTTCTATTAGCTATGCAGTTAAAATGATTTTAATGTCTATTTTGTAATGTTGATATATATATGCGGCGGTTGGACTTTGTCAGTGACCATTAGCTCCAAGAGCAACGATCACCTTAAACTATTTTAAACCCACATTGTGTTCCCTTTGTGGAAGAGAACAGCGACATCATGGCGCGAAAATTTGCAGACGAAGGTGAACATGAAATGATGCATTTTGAAGGTAAAGCTGTGAACTGGATTATAGGCGAATCATTCAATAAATAAATAAATAAATAATATTTTTACCTTTCGGATCGGACTGCCCGAGAACATTCTCAGGTACACTAAAATTTTATCATACAAATTAAAGAAGGTTTCAGTGTCAATCATTTATACAATTATACGTTGGTCCATGTCCACCTAGAGTTATGATCTCTTGGATCCATTGAATACAATAAGCGTTTTGCGTTCTTCATTGTGTAGTCGCTTAGCTTTCTATTTTTGCGTCTGCTGCAAATTTCAATAAAGGCAGTTTCGTGTATGTATGGACATAGAGAGCTCGGAGATATTTGGTTTATACAGATTCATTGCATATGATTTTTCACCTCTAACCTTGACACGAATTTATTTTCCAGGAACTTTTAGAGTTTTTTTTTCCTTTGTTTTTTTTGAGTGAAAAAAACAGACGTTTATTATTAAATTTGCACTCGTAAGTTAGCTGTGATCTAAGAAACGCCCATGGGCGAGTGCGTGTGCGTGCGTGCAAGGTTGTCGAGTGTATTTCTTTTTTGTTTTTTTTTACAACATGATACTTACATTAGCTACATTAAGGTCCCTTTCACGGGACTCTCTTCGTACATTGCGTTACACTACTTACTTACAGTACTCTTAAGATACAATTGATATTTGTGCTTCTTTCGTTGTTCTACTTACACTACGTACAATGTGATAATGCACAAATATTTAGAGGCACATCATTTACACACAAAAAAAGAAAAACTTGTTCACAAAAAATTAACAGTTACGAAAGACAAAAAGGCTAAATTTGGGGTGGGATAGACAAGAGTAAGGGCTTAAAAAAAAAAACCCCAAAAGTATAGCGTTTAGCAAAAATTGATTTTCAGAGGCTTAAGATCAGCATAATAAGAGTAAGTTATAGCCTACGAGCAGGCTCACATTTGGAGCCCGCTCGCAAATTATATAACAGTTATAGTGCATGAAGTATTTTTTTCCACTTCTGTTGAAATTTATTCTGTGAATCAGTCACGATAGATATTTGTTTTTCAATTTTTAAATAACATTTCAGCTGTTGCGCATATTATCTGATAGATGGAGATATGTTCTTAAATTTACAGCAATAAGTATAATACCTTGCGAGGAGCAAACAATGGCTTACTAAAATATCATCTCTCTCTCCTCTAAAACCTAAACATTCATAGATATCCAAAACGTGTGAGGCTGGTATCAAATGAATTGAAACGAAAAAACAATGAACCCTCGCCCAAAAGGTTTTGGTTACCGAGCATTCCCAGAAAAGATGGATTAATGTTTCCTTGTCTGTTTTGCACAAATAACAGAGAGCAGTCTCCAAAATTTCTATTTTAAATAGAGAGGAATTCGTTGCTATACTTCTGTGAGTTCGTTTACACGAGTTAAGATGTGCAAAATAAATAACGTTATAGTCTGAGACTAAGCTCCACAATGGGAAAAAAGGCAAAAAACGAGGAGAAACAGGGCGCCACCTTTTCCCTTTCCCAGACTACCGCTTGGCTCGCTTCATTCCCCGATTTATTTATTTGCTGATCTGATATTTCGCTTTTCCCCCAGCGGAGGCTGGTCCCAGGCTACAGACATTAGGATTCATTAATCCACTGCCTAGTTAGATGTCATCAACTAGTTTGCTGTGATCTAAGAACTGATCAATAATGAAACTTCAGAATAGGAGAAGAAGTGCTTTTAATGTAACTACATATATTCACAGTAGAATAAAGACGGAGATTGCCAATCCGTGTCAATGAATTCAAATATTGGACCAATGCTTGGCTGGTAATCGTTATTTATTATCTATATTTTGTTGTTGTTGTTTACGGGAAGCTGGTGTGCATTCTTCTTCAGGGCAAAGCTTTGTGACATCTCCAGGAGAAAACGAGGAGGTAGAATTAATGGCATGTAAAGCTACCATGATTGAAGATGTTCAGCCACTTGACGAAGACGCAGACGAGACTCCGTTGTCGCAGGCCTCTCAGATCAGTGTTCCTGAGGAAGAAGTAAGCATTTGGTGTGACGAGAAGGAAATCCAAAATGAAAGACGACAGGCACTAAACAACGCCCCGGGAAACCTGACAAGTGGACGCCTTAGTCCCATCCTTTCTACTTTAAATGCCTCGTGGGACGATATTTCATCTACCCAGCAAAAGTACTATATTCGTAAGGCCAGGGAAGCTTTTGCAACTACGCTGTCAGTCATTGGTCCTGGGCAAGAAAAAAACCTTTGGAAATGTATCCAAAATGATTCAGACATAATCGAGAGGGACGAGAGTGGCTCATCCAAAAGAGAGCATTTTGACACAAACACTGGGCTCATTGATGTCTTGATCAAAGCTTATGATCAAGCGGAGTCGGGGTAAACTAAACGCCAGATTCTATCTCTTTTCGCAAATGACTCTAGCCACAAAGAACTGCAAACGTTAATCCCTGGTTTAACTTGGTGGAGAATTGACTAGGCTCGTCAACATGCCACTGAGGCTGGAAAAGGACAAGTTGTTCCCGGACAAACAATCTTCCGAAAAAGAATTGATTAGGGAAAAGTTGATCATTCATAAGCTATATTTCACAACCACAGCTGCATCAAGATGTTGTATTTGGAACAAAAACTCTTAAGCTGGACTCTGGCGAACGCATTATCATTCTAGCTGTTGTGTGGACCTTGATTCCCTCTAGAATTATCGAACAGTACACAAACTACTGCAGAGAGCAGCAGTTTGAGCCGGCAAGCACACGTTTTCTGTTTAGAATGCTCGACATTTTCTCAGCGTTGATGCAGAGGTCTCTTCATGGGCTTGATAACATCACAGCGGAAGGGACTGAAACATTTGACAACCTGCGCGCAATCGTCAACACTTTAGTGGAAAACGGGGCAGGGGAGCATTGGGCTGAAATAATGCGACGAGACTTGAAAGAAGCAAAAAGATGTTTGAAGACGGACTATAAAACGCACGTGGGTAGAAACGAAAACAACAGCGACCATTGTACCGTACATGCCTTAAGCGACCCGAACATTCACTGTGATAGATGTGACTCCCTTGATTCGAATTTCCGCGACATACTAAAGAAAATCGATGAGTTAGTCATCAGCGACGAAACGAGAGCAAGGTTAAACTTCGAGCATAAGGAATGCTCTCGAGCAGTTCAAGCCTGGAAAGCACATTTACTTCGTTCTGTTAATCAGGAATAAGCAAAACAGAACGCTCTTACTCAGCTTGACGAGGAAACATGCCTGATTATCATGGACTGGGCGATGAAATATCTGCTGTGGCACTACAGGGAGCAGATGTCTGAGTTCTTTGGCAAACGGGGTAGGAGCTGGCATATTAGTGTTGTCATAACACGCTCACAAGAGGAGGGCAAATGTCAAGCTAAATGCTTTGTGCATCTCTTCCACACTTGCAAGCAAAACAGCTTCGCGGTTATGTCAGTCATTGAGCATATACTCAACACCATCAAGATTGAGTACCCTTCAATTAGCAAAACTTTGTGCGGTCAGACAACGCTGGTTGTTACCATAGTGGGCCCTTGATCCTCAGCCTTCAATACATCAGGACAAGATCTGGTGTAATACTATTATGCTACGACTTTTCCGACCCCCGAGCCGGAAAAGATATTTGCGACAGGAAAACTGCCTCGATGAAAGCTTACATCAAGAGATGGGAGAATGAGAAACATGACGTGATAACTGCAGAAAATATGAAAGAGGCTTTAGAATCCCACGGTGGCCTCAAAGGCTGTAGAGTAACTATTGTACAGGTTGATACCACTAAGTCGGTTGGCGTGGAAAACAAAATTCCTGGAATTAGACTTCTGAACAACTTCTTATTTGAGGAAAGGGGAGTCCGTGCCTGGAAAGCTTACAATGTTGGTCCAGGTCGTTTCATTCCGTATGACAAATAAATCATCGGAGGGCAAGGGGACACTGGACTGAAGATAATTCAACCTTAATTGGTGCCAAAACGAAAGAACGAGGTACTATTGCAGAAAACACTCGGCCTCTCACTGAAATTTTCCCGTACACGGAAACTGGACGTGTTCTCAGTTTTAAAACACTCGAAGAGGTTGAACAACACATGGATTCAGGAAAACACGTAAGAGAGTTGGAATCAGAGTCCCTGTATGATAGCATCAGAAAAAAGTGGGCCGAGAGGCTTACTCGCGTTAATGCTAAAAATGTTTAATCTTCAGGTGGAGGCTGGACCTTAGTTGTGAGTATCAGTTCTAAGAATAACGATCATCTTTAGAGAACTGCTAACAACTGTCTCAACTCCATATTGTGTGTGCCTTTTTCGGACAAGAATATCACAAGCCGGAAACTGGGCGACGAGGACTTATATAAAATGACAAAGGCAGAAAGTAAAGGTAGTGACTCACTTCATGCCAAAGTTTTGAAGATTCCCATGATATTAAATTTCCTTAAATGCTATTTTTCTATAGAAATGCAAGAAGGGGATGCTCGAGAACAAGGAAAAATAATTAGACCTTATTTTCTCTTGTTGAAAACTAATGCAAAACTGTATGGAAACCAAAAAATTGTATGAGTGACTATGAAGAAAAAAAATCAAACCAAAAAAATGAAGAATTAAAAACCGAAGCTTATACAAATTTACGAGCATGCTTTCTTAATTTTTCTTATTTTTCTGTTCTTTTAATAGTGTAAAAAAGCTACAGATTGTGGTCAGCTTGTGGTTTATATACAGATATATAGAGCCACACTACTGATTGTTTCATAGTACATTTAAAATGAAAAACACGAGAATAGAGATTGTATAAACCACACCGACAACCCACAATTCCTCTATTAGCTCTGACCACGTCACCTTCAGAAACTCTTTACAGTGGCCAATTTGCATTATTAACTAATTTCATAACACCAGATTATCTTGTTATACCCCCAACAGCGCAGCACCACTGTTATTAGCCCCTACCCCTCTCAAAACAGTCACATTTCACTTTGTTGCCGAGTTAGATTAAATCTGTAAGTGGCGCCAAAGCGGAATAAGCACACCAGTTGCAATTATACATGCAGCCCTTGTTCCATTCTTTTCAGTTCTAAAACTTTACATTTTTACCTTAACGGACACGCGAAAAATGAAGTATACCTTCAATTAGGACCACATTTAATTTGATATTGAAACTATACCTGCCTCTTTTCCTAATATCCATATTTTTCCAGGAACGTTTAGAGTGGACATATTGAGGAATAATGGTATTCTTACGACTTATTTCCAACTACGAATATAATATGGAATGTTTTGAACACGATAAAATAGTTCTCTCTTGTCACTCTCTCGATACATATTGCTTTTTTTTTCATTCAGTCATTGCTGTAACTGTCTTTTTGTTCTGTTTTTGACCAAGATACTCAGTGGACCGGAAAAATTAAACTCAACCTGCAGCTGGGGAAAGTAGGTTCAAGTACTCCATACCCTTTTTCTCCATTTCATACAATATTGAAATTTTAGTTTGTAAATAGTTTGATTACTTTTGTGTAACTCGCGTGTTTGATTGCTGTCCGCCCTTTTAGCCTCTTTGATTTTCAGTCCCTTCGTGTTTACTCTTATGACCTATGGGAATTCTAATCAACATTTAAATAACTATTATCAATAATTCTTTTGTAGTTGTCCGCGAATAATTGTTTCTCATTATTATCCATATACTTGGGAGACGAACCACTGCACAAGTATTGACGTGGGATATCACATGGCAAACGGATGTCATAGTGGTTAGTAAAATCGCAAAGGGTAATTTTGTTTTTGGACATGCATATATAATAATAATGGTAATAATAATAATCATTATAATAATAATTAAAACAATGATAATAATAGTAACTATAGTTATGGTGATAAGCATAATTATCCCCTAATCCAAGAATAAACAAAAAAAAAATGTAATTGAAAAAGAATTAAACAACAACAACAAAGCCATTGCAAAAGGTGGAGAGGTTGATTCAATTCGATGGCAAGTTTGGACTATGAGGTATTAGGGAAAGACTACTTTCTTATATGAATTATGCTGTTTACTTTCCCATATGATCATTTCTTTTTCATTCCCTTCAACAAGCAAATCATTATTTTACACGGTGCTAAGCTTATACAACTGCTGTGTTTTTTTATTTTCTACGAATGGCACGATTATTCTGCTGTAAATTTTCCAAAACAAAGATGTGGGCTGTCCTCGGTCTCAGGTTGTTTAATTTTGCTGCCATTTGGCCAGTGTTTCCGTCATCCTGTGTTCCAAACCGTCCCCGAAATAGTACCGATAGCGAGATCAAACTTGATTAGAGATGATCAAAAGAAAGGTTGAGGCTTGAAACGCCGACCCAATTTGTAGGAGGTGTGGTAGACTTCTGGGAATCTATGCACGGTGTTTACAAAATAATCAGGCAAGCCTCCGTCATGCGTTTCCGCTCCGCCCTCTCTATATTGTGAATAATGTGGAAGCACTGGAACTTTGATATAATAAGATAAAGTTAATAAATATCATTGACTTTACTATTCATGGTAGTCGATATATAAAGTCATATACATTGAAATTAATAATGGTAATAGGACCGAGTGGATTCCGATTCGGTCTGCAATCATAGGAGTGATAAACAAAATCGGACGACCGCGAAGCGGGAGTCCGATTTTTTTTGTCTGACCTTGTCAATCACTTTGGATAAGTGGTTGTTGCTATGTTATTTTGGTCATTTCTGTGATTATTGGATTAGCTGAGTGGACTTACTATGATTCGCTACTTTAACTGTCTGATTACAGATGTCCGATTTCAGCCAACTGTCCGATTACATTGTCCGATTGCAACTGTACAGAATGATTAGTGAAAAATGAAGCAGCGAATGCATCAATAATACTTGAGGAATTTGTTATGGCTATGATTATGGTGGTAGTCAGTATCACATACATGAAATCCAATATGTCTCGAATAAAATTCATCCCAGTGCGTGCGCTGTATTCTTGTGGAAAGTAAACCCGGAGCAATAGAAAACTCTAATTAAAGTTGGATTAATGTATCAGTCAGAGGATCATCTTGGCTGCTGTCATATTTCCTCTCATTCATACATTTAGGGTGTTAAGCAATTTAATTGAAATGGAGGCCGACTCGAAAACTTAACAGTTATTCAGCCTCTAGGCTCTTCACTTGTACTATTTCTTTAGTATTTTCTGAGTATTTCCTTTAATAAATTTATAACGTACAAGAGTGAGTAATTGTAAACTGACATACTATGCTGAGTATTAGTACCCGGGTTCAAGCCCTCCACCCTGTTATCACCAGATTTATTCTCAGTTGTTCACCTCCTTGGCCGCGCTTTGTATATCGCTGACTGGTTTGCAACCTGCCAATTACGGTTTTTAAACGACACTTCGTATTTTAAAGCCGTAAAAAAAAAGAACCTGGAAAATAAATTCCATCCGTTTTATTCATTCATTGGGTCAAGGGAGAATTAAATGAGGATCAAACGAAAAGAATGAGTAACTTATTACCTCTCGAGTACATTGAATCATTATATTTATTTCTGTCATATTTACATTTATCAATGTATAAAAATTTATTAGAATCTCTTCATCTGGCTTTTGGATAAAAACAAGAAGATTCATTTATTTCGAGCGTTGCTTGAGCAATTTTCTATCTCAAACGATTCATTGTTGTCGTCTTTTTGTCAAAAGAAGGATGCGCACGCAATAAGGAGAACATGGACAAAATTTTCCCTAGTCACTATTCATTATATAGAACAAAATATTTAAATAAGATAATTCTCTTTGGTGAAATCAATGTCCAATTCAACTGAGTTAACAGATATCAAATAACAAAACTGTCTAATGCTGATGAACACGAAATGTTGGCTATGATCACAATCGATGTTAATGTGTAAGCACTGAATGCGTTCACATTCGCCATAAACAGTGACTGTAACTCATTAATACCCGAGGTGTCTCCTTTGAATAAGCAAAATAGTCTGACATTTGTCAGGGTAAAATTTGTAAAAAGTCACTATTGCGTATTCGACGTTAAACAAACAGTAACAGTAACAAAGAGTTATTACAAAATATGCCACTGGGAAGTAAGTGCCATTTAAACAAACATCAACAAATATATGACTGAGACTAAAATGAACACAAGACTTGGTGTCATCAGGAGAAATGTCACTGAGTGCATTCACATTTGACATAAACGGCAACTTTTTACAGTAACGCCCACTGGATAGGTTTTTGTAGGCCTTCACTGAAAATAAAAACTGTTGTAACAGCTAAAGGTATTTTTATTAACTCAAAGAGGGGCAACACCATGGAGGTGCTTCTTCTGCCTTCACTGTTTAGCTCTTTTTGTACTGTGAAATAAAGTCATGATTTGTATTACATGCAAATGAAGTTAGTAGTTTATCATGCCGCAGTGGTGTGGGAGTTTATTAACATTTGTGACAATGTCAAGTCAAATCTCCACCTTGTCTGGGTGTGTGTATGTGAAGGGGAGGGGAGATTGAGATATCAATATTGTTGATCAGTGCACAACTTTGAAGTAGAAGGCTGATAAGAAATAGTAAGGGGTCGTGATGGTTTAAAGAATGGTTTTCTGTTAAAATGTTGTTGGTGATGGTAAAATGACACAAAGGTAGCCAGCTAAAGTTAATTGACTAGCCAGTGATTTTGGCTTGCTATGACAACTCACAGGCATCTGCTTAGGAGTTAATTTCAATGCTCCCTCAAATACCACAGAACTTGGCCTGGAGGGGTGCTAGATATGAAACAACCAAATGCTAACCTTTTTTCCTCAAATTTCTCAACTACACTTTCCTCCACTCCTCGTTGTCGTAGAAAGTTACAAACCTGTAAATGCATCAACAACAACATCATAAGATAAAAACTAAAAGTACAGGTTAGTATTGTTTAAAACAGACTGCATTTCATGATAATGTTATTTTTTATACAATCATTATTCATGTGCCAACCAGAAATCATCTGGCCCAAGGTTGAACATCTCACTAAGATCTTCCGAAATCTTATGACGTACACTACTAACAAGATTTTGCACTGATAAGGTAAGATCTTGAGAGATCTTCCTCCTGTTTTAGCTTTTTTAGCGTTTACAACTTGAAATGTTGAAACGATTTTTTGCTTAACTTTTGACCTAAATACAGGACTAGATATTTATTAAGAGTATTATTATACTTGAATTTTCTTGTCGGCGTAAAATAAAGTAAGAATCAAGCTTGTTCTGTCTGTTGTGGTTTTCGAGCATAGCCTGGTTTTGTGTTTTCGACGGATAATTTACACTGTCAACGCAGAAAAAAAGCGAAACAATAAAAGTAGCTGCCTTCCATCTATTAATTTTCTCAGTTCGTTAACGAATTCGACAGTATTCGGAACTAAATTAAATACTACTTACTTTCTCTAAATCGGAGTCAGACGAGTCAGCCATCTTGCTTACAACTATACGTGCTCGTAGTTTGAGTCCACAATAAAACTAACAGCGTTCTACAAATGAGCGCTTGAGAAAAAAGTCGTGCCAGCGAAAAAAAGTCGTGCCAGCAAAAAAAAGTCGCGCCAGCAAAAAAAAAAGTCGCGCCAGCAAAAAAACAGTCGCGCCAGCGAAAAAAAGTCGCGCCAGCGAAAGAAAGTCGCACCAGCAAAGAAAAGTCGCGCCAGCAAAAAAAGTCGCGCCAGCAAAAAAGAAGTCTCGCCGCAGGTAAGAAAGTGTGCGCCAGAATATGACGCACACATGTATGATGCTATACGCACACATGTATGGCACTTACAAGGCTCCGTATAAGAACCAGTCTTCATTTTGAGTCTGCATGGAGGCTTTGGAGTGTTTTAGGGGTTTGCTTCATTTGAGAAATTCTCTTACCCCTAAAATCGGCAGATAGACCACCCCCACGGTTTTTCTTGGTTTTCACCAAGGAAATCGCCTCAAAATAGGTAAAATGATGTTTGAAGCTCTCACTGCGATGGTATTTAACCAATTAATCAATTAATTAGTTTCATGATTAGTGGAAATTAGTGAAACAAATAGTGATAGAAAAGTTTCAGTACTGGTCATTGACTTTTCATAGCCTACTTCCAAATCTGATGGAACGCGCTGAGGGAATTGCAGTCATAAAACAGGCAAATAAAATAACAGAAGGATCAAGAACTTTCTAGAAGTGTTTTCTCGTAAAGAAACAACAATTTTTACTTTTCATGAAAGGTCACGCAGTCACGTTACAAGTTCTATTTCTGCGTGGACTTTCTTAATGGTGGAAAGTGGAAAAACCATTTTCCAGTCTTATTTTCTGGAAACATGGCGCAATTAACGAATTTTATGGGGCTATTGATATTTCCTTTCAAATGAATTGCATGGTGAAATGATCAGTGGCGTTAATGGATCACTTAGGGACCGATATTTTATCAACTTTATGAATGAAAGGACAAGTTTTGCATTTTGCCGCGAAATTTGAAAGTATCAGGTTGATTATTAGATTGTAGTAACTTCTGACCAAAAAGAAAGTTGCCTATGTTTTTGCTGCGTTTGAATGAAACAAGTGGAGCTTACAAATCTCTTGAAAGATTAGTGAAACAACCTCTCAATCGCCCATGTATTTAATGATTATTGATTTTTCATGTGTTCATCTACGTATATATTTAACATTTAATTAGTTTGTTTACAAAGGTACTGATTTTCTTTGTTTGCTTTTTTTCCGTTGGTATCACAAGTTTTCTACTTTTTGTGCACTTAAGGGATCTGTTAGTATTACGTACCTTCAGTCATATCTAATGAAAGTTTCCCTTCGCCTGAATTGTTTATCCCCAGCCTGATGCAATCTCAGTTTAAATTTGATGTTGAATGCTCAATTGAACGAGTGCATTAAACATAAACCATACTTCACTCATTGCAGTGAAATTCTCCTTCAGCTCTCAGTTAAAACAGATAGACTTTCGAGTATTCAAACCTACATACTGCTTCTCTTAACCCTTTGACTTCCATGAATGACCGAGACAGAATTTCTGATCCCATCACAATATCCTTCCGATATCAAGTACAAAAGCGATGAGAATAAAGAAAAATAGCATTGAGAGGATTATTTAGTTGATCCAATACCAAATCCTCTGAACTAACATCATAAGAATTGTATGGCAGACAGGAAGGAGAATTAATGATAAGATCTTGGGATCTTATATTTATCCTACCTTCTTTTGTAGATTAAAGGTGAATGAGCGCACGCGGGGTATAAACGTTTGGGTGGAAACGGTCTGTATGGCAGATTCCCTATCACGAGAGAACTTGAATTCGACACACGGAGTTAACTTAAAATAAGTTTGCTATGAAATGTAGTGCATGGTGCCTGACTATAGATGTTTTCGCCTATAAACGACTGTTGTTAAATCAAATCATTTCCTAACGGAGCTGGTGGAAATTTTAATGAAATCTGAACGACGTTAAAACTTCGCCTTAAAATTATAAAAATATCATTATTTATTGGCGAATGCCTCCGTTTTGATTATCTGGACCTAGTAATGTAATAACGCACTGCGAAATAACAGAAATTAAACCAGCACCGTGGATTTGCAGTTTGTTTCGAGCATTTGTAATTCGTCCAACAAGATGGGAAAGATGGCGGATTTAACGGTAACTTAAACTGGATTTTTTCTGGTTTCCTTCTCAGAAAAGTTGCGCTTGCGCAATTCATCACTTTTAAGTTATTCTACTCTGCTAATTTAATGCATGGTTTTCATGGATTTAATGGCCGTCCCGAATCTTGGTTTTCTCTCGCTGTGTTTAGTATACGTCACTACTAAGATAAGTAAGACCTATCAATTGTATTTGCAATCATTTCTTTATTTATGTTCAAATTTTAAATTTTTTGTATTGATTTACCATGTTTTCTATTTACGTAGTTAATAACTTATTCTAAATATTTTTTTTCTTTTATTAAGTTATTTAGGCAGGAATCAATTTCCGTTATGGCGTTTAGTGCAGAGCGTTTTACAAACTTCTAACTATAATCAGTCATAGATTAATCAGTAATAAATCTGAAGTCAACTCTTAAGTCTTATAGGAATTACAAATAAATCGTTCTATCAATCATCATCGGTACATTTCCTCGGTTAATCCATAGCTCTAGTACGGCGAACTGTTTGTGAAAGGAGTTTTCTCCCCTTGAACGCTATGTAAGAAATAATTTTCCCCTTGATAAATTTTCGATTTAAGGTTGTGTAAATCATAGTAACTTTACATATCACATCAGATTTATCTATGCCAACACCTGTCCAATGTTTATTTAACGTACATCATCCCCGCATTGTTATAGTATATTCCACGATTGCCGCCAAATGTGTAACCATACAGGGCACGTTTTCCGTTACCTGTTTGGGATGAAATTATTAACGGAAAAGTGATATGTTTGTAACATGCTAAGCATCAAGGCTCTCTTGAATCAGATATTTTAAACCATTATCAACGAAAGTATGCTACACTCTTCGAACTACCACTGGGAAAAAAGGAAAAAATAAGGGAAAACTAGATTAAAAAAACAAGAACAAAAGAAAAAACAAACAAGCAAGAGCAAAACATAGAAAAGGTTGAGGAATAAATTGTAAAAATTCACATGGAGCTGTTCCCTAGATCCATCCAAAGAAACTCGGTCTATCTGACTATTGGGGAATAGCGCTTTATTTCGTTTGGTCAAGAGAAAGAAGTCAAAGATGCTAGTAAATTAGCTTTAAAAAATTTACAGCAATATTTGCTTATTAATAAATGATTGTGGAAATTACTATCTCATATCTATTATCTCATTATTATTACTCACTGTATTGGGACGAAGACCAAGACAAGCCGCCGCACTCTCTGTTATCATGTCCATCAAAAACTACAGTTATTTTTGAACAAATTCGCACAATAAGTCAAAGGGTGTTCAAATACTAAAAAGTGAAACTTAATCGCTTGCATTTCCTGGCGTTGCTCTGAATGGCTTCTGTTATTTATATGCTTTGCTCTGGTAAGCAATTGAAATTACTTGGCTTTTAGTTTCTGTCAGCCAAAATGCCTGGAAGATCCCCTTTGTCTTTGCAAGTACTTGCTCCTTTGGATACTCCCAAGGGTTACTACGGTCTGTGTCATCGTTTCTTCCTTCGTAGTGGAAGAGAGGGTTTTACTTAAACGCAAAGCTGTTCCAGATGTTCAATAAGTAAAACAAAGCGCGATAGTAAACGGCGCAATAGTAACTGCGGAGCAAAAAGAAACGGGTCCGTGGCGGGCCCCGACTCAAGCCTCCTTTGTTTTTGGTTCCGCCTTTATCATCTGTCGTTTAAAGATCGCGCTCCGCTTTGTCACATTGAACGCTTGGAACAGGCTTTTACACACGCTGGGAATACACAATCCGCAAAACTATTACATGTCCACGAACACATTTACCTTTTTACATATTTACTTACCCCAGTGGTTGTTCGGCGCGATAAGATATCCCTTTTCAATCCCTGTGCAGCTGCTACTCTCCCAACCATTTGGATAGGAGTGGGATATGATAATACGTGGACAACTGAAATAAAAGAAAGGTTTTTTTCTTTTTTTTCAGAATAAGTAATCAAGCAACAGCCCTATATCGCATTGGGAATTGAAGCGGTCAGCCAGTCTTTCATAGTTTTACACTAAGAAAGAACTTCAAATGCGTTAAACTATAATAAATTGGGGAAGTGTCGAGAATTTGTGACGGCTTATGGGTATAGCTTGACATGTGGAACGATTTCCCTTATCGCCACGCTAATCGGTGTTCCGGCTCTGTGCTATATTGATGTCAACTTCATTCTTTCAACGAGAAGCACTTTTTGTTGTTTAAATAAACACCCAAATTCCATAGCACTGTTTTCGTGATACATGCGCTTTCTAAGATTGCCTTTTGGTATTGCTGTTTGAAATGCGACAATCAAGTTGGGCAAAAACGATTAATAGAAACAAAAATAGTTAACTTACTTTCCCTGATGACATGTTGAGTTGAATTTGTTTTGCCCACTGGGTATCTTAAAAGTAAGAAAAAAAAAGAGACTAATTCATAGTATAATCGTGAGGAGCTTATTTTACTTTTTCATATTCTTAAACTAACCACTTAAAAATTCATGCTCTTGCTATCAACGACATGCTCTGATTCCATAAAAAAGGAAACGAGATTGAAGTAACAGCTTTAATTCATCTTAGAAACATTCTGTGTTCAATTATTCGCTCATCGTATTGGTTTTGAATAAATTTCGTTACCTTCCAGCTTCGGTACATTTTTCATGAAGTCGTCTTCCGTAAAAGAACGTATGGAATAAATGATCAAATAAATGAGTATCAGACATTTACCCGATAAAATACTGTGTGCAAGAAAGCGCCATCACTTTGTAACACATCGACCCTAAAAGTTCCTGGAAGGACACAAAAATACTTTTGACTGCAATGCAAAGAAGTGTTTCGTTACCCATTATAAAGTGATTTAAGTGTATACCCTTACATTTACAAGACAACATTTTGATATATAGATGTAAGACCGATCGTGTCTGAATGTTGTTACCATAACAATAGTGAATAACTAATCTCGCTTTGTAAAGTCATAGTTGAATACACAGCCTTCACCTTTACTTGACAAACCCACTCAGATAATAATTCCAAACCAATGTTTCAGGAATAGAAAACCTTTATATGCATCACTGTTAACCTGTTAGCTGTTTTAACTAGTAAAGTAAATGAATAAATAAAAAATAAAAATAATAAAAAATAAAAACAGGAGACGTTTTGTCATTTAGAGAAAATTTTCAATTGATTTATCAGATCGTTGAAAATACCAATTATTTCCGCCTGTTTCACCAATCACTTAGTTAACTGACTAAGTTCTAGCTTGGATGAGTTTCGCGAAGCGCCGGCCGCTTTACGAATCGCAGAAGACTAATCTTTACAGTCTGCAATTGATGATTGGCGATTCCCGTTATCGTTGAGCTGCAAAATGCAACATTGAATAGGGAGGGGTCTTGACAATGATTTATAATGAGTTATAAATAAGAATGTTATAATGCACATTAAAAAGAGCTATTAAACACACATTATGTAAACTCAGAATGTGGATTGATCAAATCCTCAATATAGGCGCTCTTTATGTCATACTGTTATTACCATTTTTGTTATTATTATCATCATTGTTATTTGTCTTTTTTTCATATTCACCTTCTTCCTTTGCTACTTCATGTATATCGCTGTCACTCAATTTTCTACCCTGGTTCTTGTACGTAAAAGGAACGCACAGTACGGAGTTGAGACAGTTGTTGGCCTCGCTTTGAAGATGATCGTTGTTCTTGGAACTGATGCTCACGGCTAAGGTCCATCCACCGCCTGCATAAAATTAAAATACAAAATGTAGCCGCATTTCAGTTTATAAACGTTGTCTTTGTTCGATAAATATAAAAGTGAGCTGAGAAAACTGTAGATAGGACGCTTACTCGGTGATAAACTTTCCGATAGCATTAAAAGGGAATTTCACGATTTCATGCTTAAGAAATTTTCTTAGTAGCAAGAAGGGAGAAAAAGAAAAAGATTAAGTGAATAAATGTGCAAATGCGAAACAACTAAAACCTCAATATATACCTTTATTTGTTCCTTTTTTACTCCCGCGATTGTTTCCTCGACAAAATGTACAGACCTACTTTTCCCAGGAAACGCTTATACATTTTTAGCATGGGATATATCGGATACTTGGGATTGAAAAGGTACTCAGAAGCTCTATCACTGGCAAAAGTGACAATTCAACCTCAGTGCATTGGCCGAAATTTCAACTAAAGCAAAACTACCACTGGTCAAAAACAGTAACAGAACTTGTAACCTTTCTCTCTTACCAGAGGCAGAATTTAAGGTTTTTTTTAAAGTACAATTTACACTTTGCTTTTTATTTTATCCTTTTGTACTTACCATGTTTTTCCATATCACAGTAAACTTGTACGTCTCTATTTCCAATAGTTATCCAGTAGTAGCCGCTTTCCGCATGGGGCAATTTCTTTAGAATTTCTGAACAAGACTTGAATTCATCATCCTGTAGATTATAGATTGTAGATGGTTATTGGCAGAAATAACCATCATAGATTATGGTTACGTGCTCATAGCGGTCGGATCAGTGATGGGTTAGTCCTACATCGTCAACATGCTATGCCTCTGTTTCTTACTTTGAAGCAATTTTTACTCTCTTAATACACGACTGACCCGGGCCTCTATCAACGGGCACCGTTTTGTGGAGGTTACCTATGCTAAGGAGGCTCTTTTCTATCAAAGTTCGCGACAACATATTATCCGACATGTCGCATGTACTACTCGCCCGAAAGGCTGCTTTGCCATGAGAATTACTCGCTACCCAAATTCTGCGTCTCCTGTCCTGCGGTGATGTAAGCACAAATCCTGGACCGGTCGGTGCATTTTATTCAATATCAAATCCTTGAAAAATATTTTTAGCATTTTTCTGTATATTTTAGCGGGGACAACTCTGTAACTTTTAAATTTTAACTTTTGATAAATTTTAGATCTTTAGTGAATTATGAATTTGCCTTATAATACCCTGTATAAACTCATTCTATAATTGTTTTTTCCTATTATTTTTTAGTGTTCCCAAATAGCTCTCTCTAAGCTGAAGACATCGACACTTAATAAATAAAGTTGTTATGTTGTGTTTTGATGTGTTATTGACTACATGGCTTCGTTTATTCAATCATTTATTTATTCACGCATTTGTTTATTTGTTTACTTATTTCTCTGTTGCTAATATTTGGGAGCCCCGTGTACCACGCCCTATTTTAACAAACAACCATCCAAGAAAGATGGTTGGTCAATAACACAAATGCATCTTATATAATAATTGCAAAATGTTTTCGGTTATTCGGGAAAGGATGTATTCACTAGTTGATCGCAATCGTGAAACAACGAAGCCTAATACAAGAGTATTTTTTCTTCTCAAGTTTGGACAAAAGGCCGAACCAGAGGCAGAAATGTCACTTTTTAGGATAGAGATTTTATTAATCGAACCTGAAATTTTGAATCGTACGTGAGGAACACATTAAGATACTGCGAGGTCATTTTCTGATTCTATATGTGAGCCAATCACAGGCGGCAAAAGTGAGACGACAAATGTATGAAAACATTATCGTCTCTCAAGTCAGCATGACTGTGGGAGGATTACGGATTTAGAAATAAATAGCATAATTTTTCGATATGTACTGCCAGATAACCATTATTTCGTTTAATTTCTTTTTATAGAATTCGCCAATACCATACCTTGTTCATATAAACTGATCCTTCTTTCGGACCAAAATCCCTTGAATGAGTACGTTTGTTTGCAGAATTCAAGTCACATGACTTATCTTTTAAACGAAAGTTCAAACTCTTGCAGCGAGACTCGTTCAAGCAAAACATCACACACTCGGTAATGCTGAAAGTTTTACTTGTTGTAATAACGTGACCGGAAAGATGATGACCATACTCTGAATATGTGGGGCGAACGCACTGCGCAATGGCTTGTGTTAGCTGTGCATGGCACATGACGATGAACACACCAAAATAACGCAGATCATGGTTTTCTACTGAAAAGATAAAAAAACAAAAATTTGATTGAAATAAACTAAATACTCAATACATAAATTGTGATTTATTTCATCATTGCCTAAGCGCGAGCGTGAATACGTAGAATATTTTTGAGGAATTCTCGCCGGCTGGTGCAGCCAAACTCAGCGTACCATGACCGTTGGAAACTTTTCAAAATAATATAGTTCCTCATAGTGTACTTACCGTAGGCGTGGCACCTTTGAGGTCCTCCACAGGAGCTTGCAAGATTCGAGCACAGATCGCGAGAAGTAATTGACAACGGATAGTGAAATCCAGTTAGAGTGTTTTTAATATAAGGGAATTAATACTTCAAGGGAAAAGTGCAAACAATTTTGCTCTTAACGTCTCAATAAAGTAAACAAGGCAAAGAACCTCTTCATGGGCACATGATACCTATCGCTCAAAACATATCATTAAAAATTAACAATGTCATATTATCCACCTACGTCCTGTGAAGACGCATTTTTCTAGAAGTGTGTCGGTTACTCTGTTAGTTTGGTTCTTTGTTTTTATTTTTATTTCATGTTTTTTTTAAGGAAATCATTGCTGGCTATTGGAATCACCACGTATAGTGTGATAATACGGAGTGTTTTAATGAAAAATCTGCATTCGTCGCAGATTTTCCACACATTATTAATTATTTATTTAGTAAATTAAATTATAAGTTATATCATTTTTACTCTCCCGGTTTGAAAAGTTTATATCTACACCTTCACCAGTTCACAAAGAAAGTGAACAAAGGTTGTCAGATACGGTGAAACGAGATAGTTTTAAAGCAAATTTTACTGATACAAGAAAAAGTAGCACTAGGTATGGGTTCAGCCAGAATGAAAAACTTCAGCTCAAATGTTTGTTTTGCAGCAATGCATATTTAAAGATACAGGTACGAATTCTCAGAAAACAAAAGGATTGAAAAACGTTTTCAAATGAACGCTTTCGACCAGTGTGCTTTAAATTCTCTCAAAGCACGGCTGCATGCAAGCTGAAAATTATCTCGAGACAATGAATCGCTTTTGTTACTGAAACTAGAAAGGAAGTTGCTAGTCATAAATAAATAATATGAAATAGTGTAGGTTCAAACCATTTACTGTAAATAATATGAATTTGCATTAAACCTAAAGCATACTCCAATCAGTACAGTTAATCCAACTCAAACCTTGTAATAAACCTAATTTATATACTTTTCATTAGTCAAAACCACAGGCTATCTCTTCTAAAGTTTATGTTGTGAACTTGGCTAGCTTAAACACTGGAATTTTGCAGTGAACTTATTTCAAAGTTATGTATAATTGCCATTTATTTATATGATTGCTATTTTTTGCTCTAGTATTTTCTACTCGTAGTCTGGTGGAATAAAAGATGGTAACACACAATATGCACGGCGCCCGACCGTCAAAACGGTCTGTATAGTAAATATTTACTACTGAAGAAATAAATACGAGAAAAATATTTTATATTTATATTTGGTCTCCCACTGTCATTGTTATTTTCTTTTTCTTTTTTTTTCATTTTTTATTTTAAATTGGATTGAAATAAACTTAATACTCAGGGCTTAAATTGTGATTTATTACATCATTGCCTTAACGCGAGTGTGAATACGTAGAAGATTTTTAAGGAATTCGCCGGCTGGTAAAGCCAAACTCAGCGGACCGTGACCGTTGAAAACTTTTCAAAATAATATAGTTCCTCATAGTGTACTTGGTGGGCGAGGCACTTCTCAGGTCCTCTACTGGAGCTTGCAAGATTCGAGCACAGATCACGAGAAGTAATTAACAACGGATAGTGAAATCCAGTTATATTGTGTTGTTAATGTTAATTATCAATATTAAATTATTAATTATAGTGAATATTGTTATTATTCTTCCTTCGAAGAGTGCAAGCAATTTTGCTCTTAACGTCTCAATAAAGTAAACAGACAAAGAACCTTCATCTAAAAATTGAACGTATGATAACTATTGCATAAAACACTTCATTAAAAATTAACAATGCCATTATCCACTTGACATTGCATGAGTCTCTGAATTTTTGTATTTTCAACCTTAGCCAGTGAACATGAAAATTAAATTGTTAAAATTTGCGGAAAGTTACAGTCAATGTGATGATGCTGATAATCAGTTGGTGGGATGATGGATTAGTACATTGCATGTATGATAGGCTCATGGTCCAGTTTTCGATAACTTGATATGTTCAACGAATCGATAAAAATTTCAAGCAGGTCTCGTTAAGGAAATAGAACAATATTGCACTTTGACGATGAAGTTTTTCTTTTTCAAACCAGTAGTTTACTCCTTTTCAATAACGCATCGGAATAAATTTTTGGGAAGAGACCCAATATTTATTGGCCAGGCGTCTAACAGTCTATTTCGCAACATCTTACTGAATGCGAGCAACGTAAACATATTTGCATATTTGTTCATGTCGGGGTCGAAATTCGGAGAAAAAAAAGCTCACCGAAGAGAGAAAATAACCATTTTCACTGAATGAGAAATCCATTTTGACTTAAGTATTAAACATATTTATGAAATCTATTGAGTGCCAGCAGCCATTTGCCCAATGGAAGCACCTATTTGCTTAATTTAGTCATCCTGAGCCAGAAAAACGTCAATGGCTTGACCTGCACATATATAATATAAATTTGCATGTATACTCCAATCAGTACAGTTAATCCAACTCAAACCCTGTAAAAACCTAATTTATATACTTTCTATTACTCAAAACCACAGGCTATCTCTTCTAAAGTTTATGTTGTGAACTTGGCCAGCTTAAACACTGGAATTTTGCGGTGAACTTGTCTCTAAGTTATGCATAATTGCAATTTATTTAATATATGATTGCAATTTTTTGTTCTAGTATTTTCTACTCGTAGTCTGGTGGAATAAAAGGTAGTAACACACAATATTCACGTCGCCCGACCGTCAAAAAGGTCTGTATAGTAAATATCTACCACTGAAGAAATAGATACGAGGAAAAGATTTCATATTTATACTTGGTCGCTTATGCGCTTTCTTTTTCTCTCACTGTCGTTGTTATTTTCTTTTTTTTTTTCTTTTCTTTTCATTTTTTATTTAAAGAATAATCGATATTCAAAAAAAGAAAATTATGTGGCAACGCAATCGAAAGTAATGACTATTAGTCGCGAATCTGCGTGGTGAAGATAAGCGTTAGAAAAAAAAGACAAAACACAAACACAAAGCCCACTAAAGGGGACATTTGCTTACGGTGATCGTTACATGAAGTACACTGTCACTGCGCTTGCGTTGTGTTTAAACATGGCGGACCGGCCGAAACGAATGTCGAGTGCGCCGAAACGGTTTGTGGATGATTTCGATGAGATGGGCCCTGCTAATGTTGGTAGAGTGGGAAAGCGACGAAAGATAGACAAAAATTTGTATGAAGTCAATATTGTAGACGTGAATAATGAGTGAAAACAGATAAAAATTCACTTCGTGGGTTTTAGCGAGGAATTTGATGAGTGGTGCAACTATGACTGCGAGAGGGATTACTTTCCTTTTTTTAGATTAGAAAAGATGTTTCTGCCCAATGGAGGATCGATGGAAGACAGGAAAAATATTTTTCACGGTCAGTTGTATCGTGCTATCAAGCGAAAGCTATGGTCTGGTCGAAGGGATGACCTTGAGGTACGAATTGAAATGAATGTCGATCCAGATGTATTTTCCACAGGACTTGCTCAAGTCACTCTGAGCACTTCACAACGAGGAAAAGATGTTTACAGCGCAACTGACAATCGACTTTTAGATGGTGTTCTTGGTTCAAAGTGGGACGAGAGAATTATGAATTCTAGTGGCGATTTTGCATATGTGGAGAAAAATACTGTTAGATTCTGGATAACAAAGAAAACCCCGTGTAAATATACAAGAATACAAATATATTGGTGGCAAGTATGTCAAATGCGAGGTTGAGGATGCGTATATGCTTGTCTTTACTTTTGTTTGAGGTGATGGGAATAGAAGGCAGTGTATGGAAAGATGCTAAATGATTTATTATACAACATTATTGTCTTTTTGACAAAAAAAATTGGTTTGCAAATATTTACATTGTAATCCATGTTAAAATAATTCTGTATGGGTTACCTAATAGATCATGATAATAATTATATTTAAATATCGTGCTGATTATTGCAAATAACATTTGTTTTTCTAAGGCATGATTATAACTGGTCTCAGTTACTGATATGGACTGATATTTAAGAATTTAAAAACTATGAAAGTGAAACTGAAAGTGAGCCATCAGATCGTCCAGAAGGACAAGCATTGGTAGCTGTAATGTAAAATCACTTTACAGTGTGCATTTCTGCACCTACTTTCTGTCTATTTTCTCAAGGTGTCCAAAGCAGATAGCATAATCATAAAGTTTGCATTTCATTGTACATGTCTTGATAGTATGACCATGATCTTGGCAGTTGGAGCATTTGTTTGATTTCTTGACTCTTTCACAACCAGCAGCTTCCAGGAATTGAACTCTTTGTTTTTTCATAAACAGTTGCTCTAGTGCAGCAATTCCTCTTTGGTTTGAAGACCCAAAGTAGTCTTTAGAGGGGATGTTGCTATTTTTTTCCATGCCTTGCTGGTTGAAATGTGCTACATTGATATACAGTTTCAAATATTCTGGAATGTGATGGTAGAGAGCATGCATATAGGGTGTCACATCTTTTGCTTGATATAGAGAGAGGGATTGTTGAAACCATGATTTTATTTTTGCGGTAAGGGATGCAATTGGCTCATCTGTAGGGAAGTCAAGTTTCAGATCCTCAATAATTTCCATAAAATCATTCCAAAGTTTTTCTAATTTCTTGTGATCTTCAAAATTTGGAAGGAGTGCCTGAATATTAATATTTTGGATGACATGGAGCTTTTCTGGTCCAGTGAGATCCCTGTATTCAAGCTTTTTTGTGTTTGACTCCACTCTCCATTCAAATGAAATTCCTGTCTGCCTAAGAAAATGTTCATAACCAGCCATGTGTTTATATTTTTCCCTGTTGAAGCCACAAGGAAACGTTTTCACCTTATCGATAGCATCCTGCCTTTTCAGTTCCCTAATGAGGAGCTCAAATAAATTGTCAAAAATCCTCAGGAATAAGTGTAGGGTTGCAATGATTACATGATCCATTGGAATAAAATCAAAGAGCGGGCATGATTTACAGTTGTATTTCTTTGCTCTTGAATGGTTAGCAATTTCCTCACATGTCCTTGCCCCATAGTGCCTATCAATAGGAGACCAGGTTTTTGTTACATTATACCTTTCTTCCCTTGGACATTTGCTCCAAATTCAAGCGTAATCTTGGTTTGCAGCACCTAAGCTACAAATGCAAGCCTGGAATTTCCAGTCACCACCTATGAAGTACTCAATCTTGTACTTAACATTGTCAACCTCAATTTTATTTAACTGAGCCATTTCAGTTTTAATATCTGAAAGACTTTCTTTCAGATTGTCATAGGTCTCTTTTGTTTTGATAATTGCCAGCACATAGTTCCCCTTTTCACTCATGGCATTTTCCTTTTCATTTAAGATGGTATAAGTGAAGTTCACTACCTTGAGTCTCTTTCCAATGTTGGTGCCATCTTCACTCATATTAACCCTGACTGTTTCTTGTTCGCCCAGATCTCCTTTAATTTTAAGCCTTTGAATTTGTTCCTTCAGGCTATCCTTCAGGGAAATTTGAACTCCTTCAGCTTCACCTGGGGTGGGTTTCAACTTCCATTTGGCATTTAAATCTGTAATATTCTTTTTTATCCTGTATGCATTTGGCATATCAGTAGCCTTCATAACTAACTCTTTCCAAGCTTGGTCAGAAATGTTATACTTATCCTTTATGTAAATCCATAGATTAATATCATCAATTTCATCACTGTTCAGTGTTTTAGGGTTGCTTTCAGTAGATGGAAGTTCATTTTCATCAATGAAGTGAGGCATACTCTTGGGTTTCAACATTAAATATCTCCACCTTGGTTGCTATAAAATCATACTCTCCCATAAAAGAGAGTGTTGAATAACATCTATCCTTAAGTTGTGTTTTAATTCTAAATTGGTGCCTTTGTGCATATTCACTGAAGCTCTTATTCTTTTGTGGGCCTCTTAAATTTTTCTTATTCATCCTTGCAACCTTTCTGGCCAAACCCTTAAATCTCTACTTGTAAAAACCACTAGACTTTTCTGATTTGGCAAGAGCTTGCTGGAATTTTTCCTCCACTTTGAGCCTTTTTGCCACTTCATTGACAACATTCTCCGCAAGGACTCTTTTCTGCCCCCGAACTTCCTTATTCTCTTGCAGTAAAGAGGCTTTGTCCTACTCTTGATAGTACACATAACGTAAAGGCATATGTTGTTGATTTCCACTGATCAAGCAGCCTACGGACGCTCGCACCTCCCTTATTTTTCATGGAATCAAATTTGCTCTTTAGCAGCCAATTTTTTTTCTTCAAGGCATGAATTATTCGGCTATTCACCACGACTCCTTTGATGCCCGATTCCTTTAAAATTTTCTCTACCCGGCTTTTTCTTTCTCCTTTGAAATGGTATGAACTAAATAGCTGCGAGAATAAATACAAGAAGCAAGGCAAAATTATTCAATTTCAGAAATTTCTAGTGATCGACCGCCTCAAAATATAATTAGCAGCCTGTTAATAAATTATTTAAATAAATGTTGCTGTTCATACAGGGGTTGCGATAAATGCAGTCTTAGTTGTAAAGGAAGATAAAAGGCATAAAAGGAATGTGCTCTTAGGTTTAGGCCTCTCCATCTAGATAAAAAAAAAAAGAATCTGCGGGTGACACCTTTCCTGTGGTAACATTCCGTAAATGGTCTTAATGAATGTAGACATCCATCATGCATATGGTGTACTTCGTTTCATAAATACATTTTATCAGTATCACAAGAAAACTAATTTCATTCTAAACAACAGCAACAAAATCTTAGTTGACTTGCACTGGATTACCTTGAGTAAAAAGTGTTATCCCTCGAGCGCTACAGAAAATGACTTGGGAAATCATTTGTCCACTTCTGCATGCCAATGATACGAAGAGAGAAATTGAAAAGCGATACCTTTCATAAACTTTAAAGTTGAACTTGAAATTTGATTCGCATATATCTACAGAAACCAACACCACCTGGGGAGTGCCGCAAGGCTCAGTCATTGACTCACTGCTGTTCTTCACAAACATTTTATATGCTGACAAAAACCTACAATCATTAGAAGAAATTGTTAACCAGGAACTCTGCAAACCGTGTGATTGGTTGACGGCAAATAAGTTAACCTTTGAATATAAGGAAAAGTTTTGTCATATTTTGTCTCGCTAAAAGAAAACTTATTTAAAAACCCAAAATAATGATATTTTATAATGAACTTAATAATAGGGTAGCTTTAGATTGCAAGGAGTTTGTGAAGTATCTAGAAATTCTAATCGAAAATCATCTGTCTTGGAAACACCATATTGACCTCGTAAAATCAAAATTAGTCAAACGATTGAACTGATCCCTAACTTACGATATTTTGTGCCAAGAAATGCTCTCTAAAACTTTTTTCGTTATCTTATTACAGCATATCTAAGTTATGGTCTGATGGCTTGGGACCAAGCATGTAAATCGTATCTTGACAAGTTTCTTTAGCTACAAAAACGTGCTCGCCGTTTTTTTTTTTTTTATATTTTTGATCGCAACCAGCATACAATTCCTCTATTTACTGATGCCCGGAATGTAACCTTTACAATTCTCCTTTTATGAACTTACAGCAAATTTAATGTTTGACATCAGACATAAAAATGCAAGCTATAGCATTCGAGAACTTTTCCAAGATGTTTCTGAGATCCATTCTTATGACGTCCGATCTCCTTCCTTTAGCAACTTTTGTAAAAAAAAAAAAAAGCTCCAGAATATCAATTCGACTACATTTCTTTCTCCAAAAGTTTTGAGATGCCCTTAAAATTGAAAAATCCCCTTAAAAATGAGTTCAGGAAGATAATAAAAGAAAACTCTTTGACATTCTCACTTTATAAGACTCTTAAATTGACACTCAACAAGTCCTTCAAAAGGCCAAGCTTTTCTGAAATGTTTTACCTAATTTTAGTGTTTTTTTTTTCACCTGCTAACATTTTATATCCTTTGTTAGTCCTTGATAATATTTTAAATTTATTTATTCTGTCAGTCTTAACAGAATTACTAATTAAAAGTAGTTTTTGAACGCTTTTGTAATAGTTTTTACGTTCAACATACGACCCACCAAAACGCAAGAATAGCTCTCAAGCTAACTGCGAGCGCATGAAAAATTGTAAATATAAATCCAAGTAATAAAATGTGTGTGTATGTATGCGTATATATATGTATGTATGTATGGGTGTGTATATATATGTGTACTATGAAATAGTTTAAATTTCCGCTTGAGGGATAACTCATGTGAGTTAAATGACCCAGACCAGTTTACTCATCCTAGCTATCCTGAAGATTATGGACCGAGGGCAGGATACGTGTACATGGACTCTCCCAAGGGAAACATTAATGTATGATTTTAATGCGCTTTGGTTTAATTTTCTGCAATCTAAAATTCTACAATTGCAGATCTAGAGTTTAGGTTGAGTCATAAACTCCCCAACATATAGCTGTATAAGAAACATTCAATTTCGTTGCGTTCAGGAAACAGCCTTACCACAACTTGGAAAGAGAGTACAATAGAAAAAGGAAATTAAATCGATTTCTCTTCTTATGTGTTTTTTCCTTTCTGCATTTGCAGGAAATAGCTGGCTACTAGTATACAAAAAAAACAAAAAAACAAAAAAAACAAAGAAAAAAAAGAAAAAAAGAAAAAGAAAAAGAAACTGAGTTTTGGAATGTGGGTTTTAAGTCTTACTGTATGTGGTTTAAAGTTGCTGTGTAGAATTCCTGTAAAAAATCTTAATAAATAGATAGAATGAAAAAATACAGTGATAAAAAGAAGATACAAAACGAAAAGAAACAACGAAATACTCAACAAACATAACGACCAACGTTTGCAAGAAATTCGCGATTCTACCATTCCCTTGGTGGAATTGCAAAACGATAATGTATACAGCTTTGGCAGGTGTCCTTCTAAACTACTTCCATTTAGTCCATGATACACTTTGTTTCCTGATGATCATCAGCGGTATATCGTATTACACTCCGGAACAATAGACTAGAATTGAGTCAATATGCCGGCGATTACGGCTCGATCTGCAAAGAAGAGTGTTTCGTACCATGACTTGTACAATTTGAGCACCGCAGATCTTCTATTTGATGAAAAGAAAAATAAAAGAAGACCTGCAAGTAAATCTTTGGGATTTTTCGAGGCAGAGCGATGACATGATGTCAGAATTCTGATTTGCTTTAATTTAATTTTCGCGCTAAGACTACCCCCAACAGCGCAGCACCACTGTTATTAGCCCTTACCCCTCTCAAAACAGTCACATTTCACTTTGTTGCCGAGTTAGATTAAATCTGCAAGAGGCGCAAAAGCGGAATAAGCACACCAGTTGCAATTGCACATGCAGCCCTTGTTCCATTCTTTTCAGTTCTAAAACTTTACATTTTTACCTCATCGGACACGCGCAAAATGAAGTATACCTTCAATTAGTACCACATTTAATTTGATATTGAAGCTATACATACCTCTTTTCCTAATATCCATATTTTTCCAGGAACGTTTAGAGTGGATATATTGAGGAATAATGGCATTCTTACGACTTATGTCCAAGTGCGAATATAATATGGAATGTTTTGAACACGATAAAATAGTTCTCTCTTGTCACTCTCTCGATACATATTGCTTTTTTTCTTCATTCAGTCATTGCTGTAATTGTCTTTTTGTTCTGTTTTTGACCAAGATACCAAGTGGACCGGAAAAATTAAACTCAACCTGCAGCTGGGGAAAGTAGGTTCAAGTACTCCATACCCTTTTTCTCCATTTCATAAAATATTTAAATTTTAGTTTGTAAATAGCTTAAAGTTTGATTACTTTTGTGTAGCTCGTGTGTTTGATTGCTGTCCGCCCTTTTAGCCTCTTTGATTTTCAGTCCCTTCGTGTTTACTCTTATGACCTATGGGAATTCTAATCAACATTTAAATAACTATTATCAATCATTCTTTTGTAGTTGTCCGCGAATAATTGTTTCTCATTATTATCCATATACTTGGGAGACGAACCACTGCACAAGTATTGACGTGGGATATCACATTGCACACAGATGTCATAGTGGTTAGTAAAATCGCAAAGGGTAATTTTGTTTTTGGACATGCATATCATAGTTAGTAGAGGAGACTGGTTATGAAAGTCGGCAATCTTCAAAGCGCGAAACAATAGGGCCGCTTCTGATGTTGAACGTACCTGTCACGTGATCGCGACGGTGCACACTTTCAATGATGGCGGATGCAGGAGACGACTTATTCTTGTTCGGCGATGATTTTGAGGCAATTTTAGACCTTCTTGACGAAGATGAGGCACTACAGGAACAATTTTCAACTGTTGCTAGTGAAGTAAGTGCCAATTACATAAACATTCACCCGTACTTAGTCTGTTTCCAAAGGAATTACGGAGTTGTACGCGACTGTGCTGTCACGCCAGCCAAAAAACAGTAAATAAAACATTGATCCGACGGTTTCGATGATTCTTTTCCCTCTATACTCTAGCAATTTTATAAAAAATGCGTTCACTTTCTTTAGCAGAAGTGCTCTGGATGCTTTAGGTGCTGAATTTGCCCGATTATACTTTGTTTTGAGAAGACTTCACGGGGCATGCAACGACAACAACAAACTCGATATTGGCAAATGTGTCTTTAGGAAATAAGACCAGTGACAGTAGATCGTTGAAAGTCGAGGCCTGAAGACTACAATATTATTGAATTATGATTTTATACTTTTTCGTTTTCAGGTCGAATCAACAGAGATCGTGTGCAGCGACTGTGGAAAAAAGTACAAATCAAGAGGAGGCTACCAAAGGCACAGAGCTACAAAGCACAATGCAGATCAAAACGCACATCATTTAACTTTGACGCCCAACTACTATAACTAGCATAGAACTGAAATATCTTACTAGTTGTTCAATTCCCTGCCTTATACATTATTTGTTAAAATTTTTCATGGCCCAGCAACCGGTAGTGACTGCTCTGAATATTGCATTCAACATTTAATTTGTTAATGTTGGATTACAAGTAAAAAAAAAATTGTTAGTCATCACGAATTGGAGAGACCTTTTCCTGGGCACCTTGTAACAAAAAAGAGTGATATGAAAATACAGTAAACTTAAAATAATATTTGGGGGCAGTCACTGAGGGCTGTGGGCTGGGGATTCCCCCTTCCCCCTCACTGTGCCCAACTACTATAACTAGCATAGAACTGAAATATCTTACTAGTTGTTCAATTCCCTGCCTTATACATTATTTGTTAAAATTTTTCATTGCCCAGCAACTGGTAGTGACTGCTCTAAATATTGCATTCAACATTTAATTTGTTAATGTTGGATTACAAGTAAAAAAAAACATTTAATTTGTTTTTGACTTTTTTCTACATGGTAATTTGGCATCAGTAACCTGTTCCCATGCTCTTTCTTTCTCCTTTCTACCTCTTGTGTTTCCACTTTGACATGAAATTGACCTTTGAATTCTAATGGTGTTACTGTTATACCCAAACTTGTGGATATCTGGATTGTCACTTCTTCTTCCCAGTCTCCTCCACTAACTATGTGCATATGTAATAATAATGGTAATAATAATAATCATTATAATAATAATTAAAACAATGATTATAATTATGGTGATAAGCATAATTATCCCCTAATCCAAAAATAAACAAAAACAATCAAAAAAATTGTAATTGAAAAAGAATTAAACAACAACAACAAAGCCATTGCAAAAGGTGGAGAGGTTGATTCAATTCGATGGCAAGTTTGGACTCTGAGGGTATTAGGAAAAGACTACTTTCTTATATGAATTATGCTGTTTACTTTCCCATATGATCGTTTCTTTTTCATTCCCTTCAACAAGCAAATCATTATTTTACACGGTGCTAAGCTTATACAACTGCTGTGTTTTTTTTTATTTTCTTCGAATGGCACGATTATTCTGCTGTAAATTTTCCAAAACAAAGATGTGGGCTGTCCTCGGTCTCAGGTTGTTTAATTTTGCTGTCATTTGGCCAGTGTTTCCGTCATCCTGTGTTCCAAACCGTCCCTGAAATAGTACCGATAGCGAGATCAAACTTGATTAGAGATGATCAAAAGAAAGGTTGAGGCTTAAAACGCCGACCCAATTTCTCTGCAAAGCGCGAGGCGACAAGAGGGTCCCCTATACCCCTTTTCGGGAAGGGTATGTTATTCAATCTCTTTTCATATGGAGAAATTTCTAGCTTGACATAGGTGTTGAAAATTATGTCTTTCCTTTTTCAATTTTTTGACTTATTCTAGTATTCAATGTGAATACTAGGAAGTGTGGCTATCGATGGTTGTCGTCTAGACTCCGGGAATACGGTGAGTGAGTAGATAAAAAGATGACACAGTGTTCGACTGAGGGGAAGAATATCTGCTCAGCTAAGGCGTGATTTTCGATTTGTAGGAGGTGTGGTAGACTTCTGGGAATCTATGCACGGTGTTTACAAAATAATCAGACAAGCTTCAGTCATGCGTTTCCGCTCCGCCCTCTCTATATTTTGAATAATGTGGAAGTACTGGAGCTTTGATATAATAAGATAAAGTTAATAAATATCATTGACTTTACTATTCACGGTAGTCGATATATAAAGTCATATACATTGAAATTAATAATGGTAATAGGACCGAGTGGAGTCTGATTCGGTCTGCAATCATAGGAGTGATAAACAAAATCGGACGACCGCGAAGCGGGAGTCCGATTTTTTTTGTCTGACTTGTTAATCACTTTGGATAAGTGGTTGTTGCTATGGTTATTTTGTTCATTTCTGTGATTATTGGATTAGCTGAGTGGACTTAGTATGATTCGCTACTTTAACTGTCTGATTACAGATGTCCGATTACAGCCAACTGTCCGATTACATTGTCCGATTGCAACTGTACAGAATGATTAGTGAAAAATGAAGCAGCAATAATACTTGAGGAATTTGTAATGGCTATGATTATGATGGTAGTCACTATCACATACATGAAATCCAATATGTCCCGAATAAAATTCATCCCAGTGTGTGCGCTGTATTCTTGTGGAAAGTAAACCCGGAGCAAGAGAAAACTCTAATTAAAGTTGGATTAATATATCAGTCAGAGGATCATCTTAGCCGCTGTCATAGTTCCTCTCATTCATACATTTAGGGTGTTAAGCAACTTAATTGAAATGGAGGCCGACTCGAAAACTTAACAGTTATTCAGCTTCTAGGCTCTTCACTTGTACTATTTCTTTAGTATTTTCTGAGTATTTCCTTTAATAAATTTATAACGTACAAGAGTGAGTAATTATAAACTGACATACTATGCTTAGTATTAGTACCCGGGTTCAAGCCCTCCACCCTGTTATCACTAGATTTATTCTCAGTTGTTCACCTCCTTAGCCATGCTTTGTATATCGCTGACTGGTCTGCAACCTGCCAATTACGGTTTTTAAACGACACTTCGTATTTTAAAGCCGAAAAAAAAAAGATTCTGGAAAAATAAATTCCATCCGTTTTATTCATTCATTGGGTCAAGAGAGGATTAAATGAGGATCAAACGAAAAGAATGAGTAACTTATTACCTCTCGAGTAACTTGAATCATTATATTTATTTCTGTAATATTTACATTTATCAATGTATAAAAATTTATTAGAATCTCTTCATCTGGCTTTTGGATAAAAACAAGAAGATTCATTTATTTCGAGCGTTGCTTGAGCAATTTTCTATCTCAAACGATTCATTGTTGTCGTCTTTTTGTCAAAAGAAGGATGCGCACGCAATAAGGAGAACATGGACAGAATTTTCCAGTCACTATTCATTATATAGAACAAAATATTAAACATAAGATAATTCTCTTTGGTGAAATCAATGTCCAATTCAACTGAGTTAATAGATATCAAATAACAAAACTGTCTAATGCTGATGAACACGAAACGTTGACTATGATCACAATCAATGTTAATGTGTAAGCACTGAATGCGTTCACATTCGTCATAAACAGTGACTGTAACTCATTAATACCCGAGGTGTGAATAAGCAAAATAGTCTGACATTTGTCAGGGTAAAATTTGCAAAAAGTCACTATTGCGTATTCGACGTTAAACAAACAGTAACAATAACAAAGAGTTATTACAAAATATGCCACTGAGAAGTAAGTGCCATTTAAACAAACATCAACAAATATATGACTGAGACTAAAATGAACACAAGACTTGGCGTCATCAGGAGAAATGTCACTGAGTGCATTCGCATTTGACATAAACGGCAACTTTTTATAGTAACGCCCACTGGATAGGTTTTTGTAGGCCTTCACTGAAAAAAAAACTGTTGTAACAGCTAAAGGTATTTTTATTAACTCAAAGAGGGGCACTACCATGGAGGTGCTTTTTCTTCTGCCTTCACTGTTTAGCTCTTGTTGTACTGTGAAATAAAGTCATGATTTGTATTACATGCAAATGAGGTTAGTAGTTTATCATGCCCCAGTGGTGTGGGAGTTTATTAACATTTGTGACAATGTCAAGTCAAATCTCCACCTTGTCTGGGTGTGTGTATGTTTTTGAGGGGGAGGGGAGATTGAGATATCAATATTATTGAACAGTGCACAACTTTGAAGTAGAAGGCTGATAAGAAATAGTAAGGGGTCGTGATGGTTAAAACAATGGTTTTCTGTTAATATGTTGTTCTTGATGGTAAAATGACACAAAGGTAGCCAGCTAAAGTTAATTGACTAGCCAGTAATTTGGGCTTGCTATGACAACTCACAGGCATCTGCTTAGGAGTTGGTTTCAATGCACCCTCAAATACCACAAAACCTGGCCTGGAAAGGTGCTAGGTATGAAACAACAAAATGCTAACCTTTTCTTCCTCAAATTTCTCAACTACACTTTCCTCCACTCCTCGTTGTCGTAGAAAGTTGCAAACCTGTAAATGCATCAACAACATCATAAGATAAAAACTAAAAGTACAGGTTAGTATTGTTTAAAACAGACTGCATAATAAAATGGAAATCAATCTCACTAAGATCTTCCGAGATCTTATGACGTACACTACTAACAAGATTTTGCACTGATTAGGTAAGATCTTGAGAGATCTTCCTCGTGTTTTAGCTTTTTTCTCGTTTACAACTTGAAATGTTGAAACGATTTTTTGCTTAACTTTTGACCTAAATACAGGACTAGATATTTATTGAGAGTATTATTATACTTGAATTTCCTTGTCGGCGTAAAATAAAGTAAGAATCAAGCTTGTTCTGTCTGTTGTGGTTTTCGAGCATAGCCTGGTTTTGTGTTCTTCGACGGATAATTTACACTGTCAACGCAGAAGAAAAGCGAAACAATAAATTAAAACTAGCTAACTTCCATCTATTCATTTTCTCAATTCTAAATTAAATACTACTTACTTTCTCTAGATCGGAGTCAGACGAGTCAGCCATCTTGCTTACAACTACACGTGCTCGTAGTTTGAGCCCGCGAGAAAACTAGCAGCGATCTACAAATGAGCGGTAGAGAAAAAAGTCGCGCCAGCGAAAAAAAGTCGCGCCAACAAAAAAGTCGCGCCAGCAAAAGAAAGTCGCGCCAGCAAAAAAACAGTCGCGCCAGCGAAAAAAAGTCGCACCAGCCAAAGAAAGTCGCACCAGCAAAGAAAAGTCGCGCCAGCAAAAAAAAAGTTGCGTCGCAGGTAAGAAAGTGTGCGCCACATGTATGATGCTGTACCTACACATGTATGGCACTTACAAGGCTCCGTATAAGAACTAGTCTTCATTTCGAGTCTGCAAGGAGGCTTTGGAGTGTTTTGGGGTTTGCTTCATTTGAGAAATTCTTTTACCCCTAAAATCGACAATAATATATAATTTTTTTATTGTTGTTATATTTGTATTTGACGATGCGTATCATGGCGCGAGTAATTTTTTCTTTATGGGGACTTTACCCAGTTGTGTTTAAGAGTGTGTCCCGAGAGCACCGGACAGTCGTGCTACATGCCATCTTGCCGATTTCAATAAAACTTTGCCAGTTTAAAGGGAAAAGTTTAATTTTGATTACTTGGTCGAAGTTTTTGCAGATCCACGATTTTATCGGATCCATGATATGATGGCGCAGACCTACAAAAAACTAGGAAGAAATTTATAAAATTTCGGAACCCACAAGCGATAAAAATATTCCATAGAACATGTCTGTAAAGAGGCAACATACTTGTTCAATGCTGGCAAAAGAAATTGCCGTGACTAAAGATATCGGTCTAGGCACACCATCCAGAAGAATGCTTGCACCTTTGATTGCAATGACACAAAAACAAGAAAACGTAAACATCTTTGTCAAGTTTGAAACGGGTTTTGTTGATATTTTACTGCTGAAGTCGTCATCATTACCACCTCACAGGTGAAATAAACTTGACTTGTCACTTACATTCGAATTACTTCTCTCCCAAAACTCAAAAAGACAAAGTGATTTCTGTTTTGGTTTTTTCCGGGGGTAGATAGACCACCCCCCCGGTTTCTCTTGGTTTTCACCAAAGAAATCGCCTCAAAATAGGTAAAATGATGTTTGAAGCTCTCACTGCGATGGTATTTAACCAATTAATCAATTAATTAGTTTCATGATTGATGGAAATAAATAGCAGATAAAAACACATTATCTTGAGAAATAGAGTTATAAATAACAGGGGCTCTTTGAAACAAATAGTGATAGAAAAGTTTCAGTATTGGTCAACATTGACTTTTCATAGCGTTCTTCCAAATCTGATGGAACGCGCTGAGGGAATTAAAATAACATACATGTGTGATAATGCAAGAGAGGGAGTAAAAATACAAATAAAGAAAAAGGGGAAAAGATAGGAACCCGTGTTGCAGGGTGCACATATCTTTCGAGTCAGACCTACTCACCTAAGCCCGACACCACGCAAAGAAACTCGAAAGGGTGCTGTATACCAACTGGCTCGCTCGTGCACGCAGGAAAAGTCATGAGAATCAGCGAAAATAACAGCAAATGCAGACGATATTTGCAGTCATAAAACAGGCAAATAAAATAACAGAAGGATCAAGAACTTTCTAGAAGTGTTTTCTCGTAAAGAAAATATAAACAATTTTTACTTCTCATGAAAGGTCACGCAGTCACGCTACAAGTACTATTTCTGTGTGGACTTTCTTAATGGTGGAAAGTGGAAAACCATTTTCCAGTCTTATTTTCTAGAAACATGGCGCAATTAACGAAGTTTATGGGGCTATTGATATTTCCTTTCAAATGAGGGGGGCAGAGTTTCCCGTCATCCGCGGTCTGGAAAAGCTAAAGTTATTACACACGTGGACTTGAACGTCAATAGGCACGCGACATGTGACTTAAAAATCTCCTCTCCTGTTTCAGTTTCCTTATTGAGAACTGTGCGATAATAATAATAAACAATCAAATTACAGACTAATGAATGTTTTGTTCTGTACAAAAGCCATATTTGCTGATTTTAGCAAATTTCCATAGTAATAAACGACATAAGAAAGAAACGCTACGATTTTCCCATCGATTTTTCGCCTACATGCATCTCTCTAAACGTGAAATTTCCCATTCCTACGAAAAATCTCGAAAGTTTTTCGCATTTTTCAGCTTTCTTGATCAATCATCTTGTATGAAGAGCTAAAAAATGTAGGATTATTTGGTCAAGTGACCGGCCAGAGCCAGAATTGCGTGACAGGTGTAGTTTAGAGAAACTTGTCACAGTCGCAGATTTTAAAAGGCATCTAAGACAAAAATACGGTAGTTCCCAAAGATTTTTTTGATGGTCTTCAGAGATGAAATGATGGATTACATGGATTATAAAGGGGAATTAAGATTAGTGTTTTAGCTTTTTGGCAAGGGGAGATATTTGACCTCAAAGTTGTCAAATATTTGGATGAATCGAAAAGTCTAAAAACAAAGTTGTTTATTTACCTCTGTTGATTGAGAAGACGCCAATCAAATTGACTGATACTTACGTCGAACATTTACTAAGGATGTAATGATATGTGGGCAAACCCTAAAAGTAATTGGTTAAATACCATCGCAGTGAGAACTTCATAAATTTAACTATTTTGAGGCGATTTTCTTGGTGAAAACCAATAAAAACCGGGGGGGATGGTCTATCTCCCCCCGGAAAAAAAACCAAAACAGAAACCACTTTGTCTTTTTTAGTTTTGAATAGACCCTTTAAACTGGCAAAGTTTCATTGAAATCGGTGAGATGGCATGTAACACGACTGCCCGGCGCACACACTCTTCTTAAGTAACAATGTTTATATAAACTGCCTTCATGTGGCAAGTTTGTTACGGCTTCAGTTCCCAAGATGAGTTCGGTGTAACTGGAATGTTTTTGAAAATTTTTGAGGAGTTATTTTTAATTATTATTCTTATCATTTTAGCTTTTTTTCTTTGAATTGAGCCCCGTATATGTATGCTTTACCACTGGGCTATAAAGAACTCGAACTCTATCTCGGAGAGCTAGGAAATTTCTAGCTCTTGCGTGAAGAGCGCTCTGCGTAATTCCAAATGAGTCATTTCTGACGCGGCGATTGAATTATGAAATAAGAAAAACAGTTATTTCGTTTTGGTCAACATTTATTAGCTTACGCATTACTTTCGACATTACTCCTATAATGACTGAGGTTTACAAAAGGTTTGCAAAGGACCATCGTCATTATAATTATGTTTATCAGTGGCTGACACTCGCTCGCCACATTTGGTATCGTAGAATATGGGTGCTTAGTATAAATGTAGAACTTAGTTTTACTGCAAATTAAATCAGTTTTCAAACGTTATCATTTTAAACGACTGATAGTTTACAGCTAAAAACTAGATAACAAGTAGATTCAAAATCCCAAAAAGGAACTCAGACTAAATAGTTTAATTATCACACTCGCCATCTTTTAAGGCCAAACGTCGGAAGACGGCCCTAAAAGAGGCCCGGTTCACACACTTCACTTCGGTATACTCCGGCCACTACGAGTAAGAATATCATAGACACTCTCCAAAACACTTACCAAAATTATTGGTTAAATTGAACGGAATTCAATGTTATTCTCAAACACATTTATAGAATTCATCTAACCTAGCTAAGGATAATTAGGAAAAAAAAGAGATAAAAGGAAAAAATCAGACACGCTTAGTGTCCTCTCCACTGAAAATTGTGCTAATATGAATCTTCATCAGTTTATATTGCTGAGTTTTTCGGTTTGTACTGGACTGATAGCATCGTCGCTGTCGAGGGCCCCCACCAATTAGAGATTGTATTGGCATCTTGCAGATTGTTTATGTTGGACCGCCTGTGTAGTTTTCCGTCCGGCTTCACGCGGAACAAAGGATAGTTGTTTTTCTCTTCATAGTCAACCAGTGGGATAATGTCGGTAACCTCAGCGGTGTCGATAACTTTATTAGGGTCTTGGTAGGCTTCATACACTTGGTTGACTGATTTCTGAGTAGCCTCGACGACATATTTGAAATTGTCTTCGCTTTTATGAAGCATTCCATCACCATAAGCAATCCACTTGTCTCCTCTGACATTAGTTACTCGCAGGCCAAACTGTCCGTCTTCATCATGCATACACTTACTCAGGTAATGACCATCCACATGGAGATTTGTTGCTTTTCCTAATTCTGCTCTTGGCGTCCTGTGATGAAAAGAATCTTACCCATTGAAAATGATAGTTGTGGAATATGGAAAAATGGGTTTCTAGAAAAAGCTTCCGTGTGCAAAAACTTTCCTTGCCAATTTTGGAAAAAGGAGACTCGTCATAAACCAAATTTCCCGGGCACTGAAGCGATAGGCTCCCCCAAATATCTCCTTCTCTTCTCCGTTAGGGAATTTCTTTCTTTTCTTCCCTCCAACCCTACCCCTTGAAATAAAATAAAAAACAAAACAATGAATTTCAGAATGGGGGTTCTCTGTTGACGCTTGACTCTTGCTGATCTTATCGCTGAATGTTGAGAGAATTAAGTACGAACAGAACAGCATGATTGTCCTTTGGAATGGACACGATACCTAATGATCAATAATCCTTGATGGCTAACCAACTCCAATCATAATGTTAAATGATAAAATTACAATTATAGTTAATCTACAATATCGTAAGGGTTTCCTTGTATTGGTGTCGGAAAAAAGGAATGGAAATATTATATTATTCTAAGTCATTTAATTCAAATTATAAAAAGGGCAGGTTGGTTACTTCTTACTCCTTCTTGGGTGGTCTTATCTTAAAGGTTGAGTTTGGTCACGTTCTTCTTGTAAGTTTGGCCACGTTCTCCTAGTGAGTTTTATTTGTAAAGGTGATTTTCTCTTAAGATACCCTTCCAGGTATAAATAATACTCTGAACCAAGGTTATTTGTAATTTTTATATTATCCATCTCGTTTCTGTTCTGGCCGATCTCATCCCGTAAAGATATGAAAATTAAGGTAGAAATTGATTGTAACTGCGTAAACAACCCTAAGGTGCATACTCGGTATGTGAGAACTGTAATACGTAGTCAAGCGTGATTCGCTAGTTGAGATGGTACGATGACGACACAAGAAGATTGACGGCCTAGAAATGTCACCCGCAGTGTCACCTTTATAAACGGAGACTCTAGTTTTCCCTGTCAGATAGAAGCTAGTCCCCGTATCAATTTGGTGAAGAAAGAGAATAAAAAAGAGTTAACCTACCAAACGACGAGTGTTAGAAAATTTACTTCTAACAATAAAGATCATAAAGCACTTGGCTCGATAAATATTATCATTCCTGGCTGACCTGCCCAAAAACATAACACTTTAATCTAGACAAACCTGAGAATTCATTTGGAAGTATTACACAGTTTCAGTTGTTCATGGATCACTCATAATCACGACAACCCAAAACATTCATTTGGTAATACATGGCGTTTTCTGGCGAATACGGTCTCAATAATTTCATTAACATTCGAAAAAGGCTTCACTGCGGATGAGCTATTGGATTCTTCTCCTTCTTGCTCTTTTTTTTTGTCATTTCCCTCTCCATATATATATATATATATATATATTTTTTTTTAAATAACCAATTTATAACCCGCGTTGTTATCTTGCTTCACAGAATGCCAAAGTAATCAACACGATTTGTCTGTAAATTGAACATTTATCAGGAGAAGCTAATATCCCAAAAATAAATACACAGGAGAGTGGCAACTATAAATGCTTGCACATCACACAAAGGATACTACAACACACTAAAATTTATAAAACACATAAATCAATACAGATTACAAACTTTGAGAAAACAAGAGAAGGAGATTGGGCAACGACAAATAAGTGAAGTTATTGTTCTATGGAGTTTTGTATATAGTTTTACTTGATGTAATTTTGAGTTTTTTTAGCATACCTGATGTGTCCACTAGCAAAGGTGTCAGTAAGAAAGTGACAAGCAAACGCCTCCATGGCATATGCTTCATGAAGAAGTTTGGTCTTCTCGTCTTCTGTGTTTGCTTGACTCGCTTCTCTTGCTTTCCCCAAGGCCACCTGATGACCAGTCAGATAAGCGCTCCTGGCGTGTGGTAGAAAATGGTCATGATTATTCATGGCCAATTTGAGCATTCGCCCTGGTTTCACGGGGACACCACCGATCCATATACCACCAGTGATCTCATCTTGTTTTCTGAAATCCGTGTCCTTATCTGCAATAGCTATGAGCATGCGCAACTCTTCTACTTCATCGTCGGGTGCACGCGCCATTGTGTTGAAAGCAGCCATGAAGCGCTTACAACGGCCAACGTCTTCTTCATCAAATGGATCGATGATGGGTGCTTTCGGTATACCATAAAAATCTCCCCCCAGGGCTACAATGTGCTCAAATTTGATTTTAATCCCATTTGGAAGGATAAGTTGCCTGTCTTCTTCTTTCTCGGGTTGGGCTCGCTTTGCGATGTCTACGTGCTCAGGCGACGCAAATCCCACTTTCATCGTGTACAGCGTGAGGTTCTCCGTATTCTCGGGTTGGGCTCGCTTTCCGATGTCTAAGTGCTCAGGCGACGCAAATCCCACTTTCATCGTGTACGGCGTGAGGTTCTGCGTATTGGCTTCCGGGTTTCCACCTTGTTCGTCCTTTAATTCCCTAGAGATGTGTTTAAAAGGCGTATCAGGATTCCAGATTTTTGCGATAGCCCTTGATTATCATTATATTTCTCTTGTAATATAGTTTAAGTTGAACTATCCCGCTCCTGTCTGTTTCTTAGCAAATGTGCCCATAATCGAGCTGTCATAGAAATGATTTTGAGGAGAAAGTCAGTGACCACGATCTAAGCAGTGAAATGGCTATAAAAAGGGGAAATTTTTAAGACCCCGTGGCGTGTTTTTTAGAATTGTTACGCATCCATAGTGGTAGAAATGGTAGTAGTATTTGCCCACCGATTCCTGAATGCTCATCTGTGTTGAAACGTACTGGTTCATCCGGCCTAATTAATATAGACATAACTAAATGTATTTAAGATTAAATTGATAAATAAGTATAAACATGTCTAGATATAGATAACCGGTCTTTTATCCAATATCGAGTATACTTTCTCTAGCGAGTGTATTTGGCTGAATATACAGAAAGATAGATGTTTTTCATACATACGCTACCTTGCTGTTCTAATAATTTCGTCTTGCTGTCTTTTGCTGAAAATTAGATTGATTTCCTTCCCGATCCCTGATCTTTGCTGGAGTGTGACGCAAGATGCGTACCCATCAATTGATTTCTCTATACCGGAGTTCCTAATGTTGTCTGGGGGTCTTTCATATTGTTCCTCAGCCAAATTACGAGACATCTTTTCATCAGGTATAGCTCCACGAGTTGAAAACCTATTTGATATACCAGCAGACATTGAAACACATACAAAACATTAAACTTAAAGAACAGGCGTTATAAAAATAATTTGGAAAATCAAAAAAGCGGACAGACTTATGGATGAATAAGTGGATTTAAAAAGATCAACCATTAAGTGGAAGTTCTAAAAGATCTCTGGGGTTAGCCAAAGAGAAAGCTGACTATGCAGAAAGCCTTAGTTTGAAAGGTTATACTTTCGCATGTTATTTGTGGATAAACATTTCACTGAAGCCTTCCCTCACTACAAGGATGTTTAAATGGCTGACCATAAAGTGGAGTTACTGACACAAATGTACAGTTTCCTGTATAATTAAAGAAGACAGCATTGTTTATGTTCCAAAATTTACCCGTCAATTTTCCCAGTTGCAATTATATAAGCAGAGATTTGACTCTTGATACTAAAGAAGTGAAGGCTTTGCCTGCGTTCTTGCACGATGGCAGAGTGCAAATGGAGACTAGTTTGCAGTCGTTTAGGCCTTAAAACAGTCTAAACTACAACATGTACACAAGTAAGAATAGTCTTATTTAGAATTTAGAATAGCATTAATGCCAGTGTCAAGGGTTGACAGCATTTGTGTTGTGGCTCACTTGTACTGTGATCTCAAAACTCCAAACGTAAAGAGGGAGTCATCGTAGCTGTTCCACTTGATGTTAAATTGCATCTTTAAAGATATTCTTTTCTATTTTTGAGAACTTCCCACAAGAAACCCTAAACAAAATTTGCACCTACATATAGGGCAAGACCTTGCTCCTTGGTGATTGACTGTTTCATTATAATTTTGGCAAGATCTAATAAACTTAACATTTTAAGCTCAATGAGTGATCAGCTTCAACTTTCTCTTCAAAATAGAAGCCCATTATCAGTAGGTGTAGACTGTTGGGCTCAAAGGGTTGAAACCCTAATTTTTCACTGTGTAGGTCTGATAAATCAACGAGTGTGGAGCACCCCTTTAAAAACCATGATGGTGTACAGTTGTACAGGTATCTCTCTTCGCTTCCATCGTCAATGTCTACTCGCACACATCACTTCGGTCTCTTAAGATCTGACTTGACAAATTCCCAAGCGGGAGTTATAAAATTTTGCTTTGCGTCCGTTGAGAGACAATGGAGATACAATTGGAGCAATTAGTATTGTTTGAAAGTGATGGTAAAGCTGAGTTGGAATTGAGCGTGTACTTACGTGGAGCGGGAATTTACAATGTATACTTAAGCTTTTCGAAAAGTAAATAAACTTTACCGACGTGTCATCTGAAACTGACGGCAGTAACAGGCTAAAAAGGAATATTTCATGGCGAAATTGATGGTCGAACCTTGTAAATCTGCCTCATTTCAGTCTTAATACAAATAAAAAACCCGACATTTAAAAGGTAATTTCATTTTACATCTGACCGATTTTAAACTATGTAGCCTAATCAAGATAACGCCACTAATTACGTCTATTCTTCTTCGATGAAGAGCGCTTCGTTTCGGTTGTCTGAGCAAGAAACAATACTTGGGAACACGGCATACACGGGGGATTACATGATTGACAGTCGGATTGACAGGCCCGCGTGAAGTTACGCATGCTCTCTTTCTCTTTTTTAGCTTATTTACATTTTCTCGTGCGACGTTTTTCAATGGGCGCGATTCCGTAATGTTTTCAGATTACCGGTCCTTAAATTTAACGTTTATTTAAGTCGTTTAATGAAAGAAGTTTGAATACTTCTCACTTTCTAGTCTTAGAACTACTTTACCATACTCTGTGCTGTGGTCATAGCCCTACACTTTGTATTGATTCATTATCATTGTTTGGTTATTATTAGATGTGCAGGTATTAAGGAAAATAATGAATTCCTTTGGTTATCACAAGGTATTTGCTCATGTTTTGTCTTATAGTACATGGGCTCAGACAAATTAGGCAACCATATGAAATACCTAACCGCCAACTTTCAATAGCCATGCAATCGTAGATATTCTAAAACAGTTTAATTATACCTACTCCTAAAATGTCTCAAAAAAAAAAAAATTTGCCTCGGCCAGCTTTTTTGTATGCGTTATAATTCTCAAGTGTTAGTCAAGTTATGAGCTTCCATTCACATGGCATTTGTTTGAAAATATGGACCCAAAATGAAGACCGAACGTTTGAAACTGACCCTTAGTGTAGTATGGACTCCGTATGAAAACGGAAAGAGGGTGTTTTAACTGAATTTGGCTCTGATGAGAATAATCAAAAACTCGTTTCTAAGGTTAGATTTTAGCAATTGTTTCTAATGGTGTCGCACATGGGAAAATAACTAATGATAACAAAAAATAAGAGTAAGAGAAAAACATATTTTACCTTTAAAGCAGTATGAGAAGTCTTCCGGTAAGGCAGACTCCAAGCAATGATCTGACGTTCCAAATTGAATACATTTATAGGTTCTGCATTTGCGTCATTGATCTCAAATATTCAAGTTAAGATCTTCCTTCCGGGCAGCGTTTAATGGCCGAAATATATTGGAACCTGTTAGTAACACTGGAAGTTACAATCATGGAATTGTACTATCCTTTAAACATCATTTTCATTGATTGCTTACAATCGCATTAAGTGGAGCGAAATTAGTCCCTTCTATTGATTTTCTGCCGCATACATACGAGTTTAAGAGATTCCAGATGAATCAATCGTATGTTTACGGTTCTTAAGCATACATTTACCTGCGGTATCTGCATCCGCGTTTTTGTTGTCAAAAAATTTAAGCTATGGTCTTCCTTCCGGACGATATTTGTTTGAAACTGATAAAGGACCACGAAATACAGTTAACAGTTGGTATTGTGTAAGCGAAATAATCATTGTCCAAATTTTTTTTATGGATTGAAAATCTCGCTAATGCAAGCCAAAGCTCTACTGTGAAATCTTTTATAAACTTTCGGAAACAAAAGGAATTTTCTTAGCGTCTTTATTGAACCTTAGTGCACATGTCAAACCCAGCGTTAGATGTTTTCGCCAGAAATTCAAATGTCAGTGTTTTATGCAGAGCCTTTTTGTACGATCATGCAATCTTCCAAACTCTATTTCACTAATTAACGTCATCATCAGTGAACTGATCTTACTATACGGATGTACGAAAGCTTCCACCAAATACAGTCAATGCGGTAGTTTGAAGCCCCTACTGAAACAAAACTATATGAAACTCTTTTGTTTAGCAAACGTAAGCCCGACTCAAACAAAACTATAGGAAACTCATTTGTCTAGTGAATGCCAGAGGTAAGATGAAGCGTTTGCACCTACGTCAATTAACCTGAAGGAAATAAATCAATAGCAGTTGCAAGATCATTCGTTACAGCTACTGTGATTCTTCTTGTTCGAATCACTATTTCATCGATTGACCGTCACTTGATTATAGACTAATTTCGGTCTTGGCAAACAGAGCTGAATTCTACTGAGAAGGAAATGATCAGAAGATATGCCCTTATTTCTTTGAGGAATAAATAATTCATTTTGCTCTCCGGTTGGCGTAGTTTCACATTTACGGACATGATCATGAAAAGGGGCCTTACAGTGTGATTTCACAAATGGAAAGCCGGTTTTCACTGCTGATTTGGATACCCGGTCCAATAGCACTAGCCGATATGGACTCCCTCTCGCTCATTTTCCAACTGCAGGGGACCCCTTTACAGAATTGTATTATCTTAGCTTTCCCTCCATGATGAATTTATCATGTTAATTAATGCAAACGTTTTGTAAACGCTCGTTTGATTCTGTGTCAGAATTCCATAACAACTACATGAGATATCAAAACAAACGGATTTTTTCCTTGTCATCTTTTCCGCTTGGACATCGGTTCGGTGCATTTTGTGGAAACCGTGGCTATTAAGTGTGCCTTAGTGGCCTTGCCATGTGATGCTGCTGAACTAGGACGGATGTAGACGAGACATTAATAAAATCAAGAAAATGTTAAATAACCGAAATAAATCAAAGAAAGAGTAATTTTATTGATATTCACCATTAAATCATGCCGGTACTATTTGAGGTTTTATCAATTAGGGTTAAGCTTTAAGATTCTTTATGCACTGTCACTGAACTACAAGACAAGCAGTTCATAACAATAACAAAATAGTTAAATCTTACCAAAACAGGCAATACAACGGAGACACGAGGTCGAGTGCCCCAAAGGTTACTGGGAAATTGCATTAACTCACACAACCGTAGATTTCATAAAATTAACAATTGGTTCATACGTCAGCGTGCGTTCATCGAGATATGAAGCACGTAGGAAGTTTGGGTCTTGAGTGCTCTCTAAACTTCCCAGGTACTTCATATCTCGATGTACGTACAGCTGACGTATGAACCAATTGACTGTTAACTGTTTCGGTTTTTACCTCACGTACAGCATTCCTGCACAGAATTTCTGTTTATTCCAAAAGTGTCAGCGCTCGGTATCTCAGGACATGGGTAGCCATGTAAAGCCCTTTTCACCTGCCTCAAGTCTGAGTTTAGTTGCCTTACATCAACAATTTATACTAGACAATACTAGTTAGCCAATGAATTATTTACCAATGAGTAATTGTTTCCTCCTCCTTAATGAAAGACGGGGTTTTATTTTTAATTTCTATTTCCCTAGGTGGTTTCCTATAGGTCTCGATAAAATCTAACAGGCCCGTTTTCCCAGCTAACGCCTATATATATTTTTTTAGATTAGACTGTTCCACTAGTATTTCGGTACCCAAATATATCTACCCTTTAGGACTGAATAAGTAAGTAAGTAATTAAAAACGAGAGGTTATCCATGAAGATGGATAGCAAAAGTAACAATTTAATCTCATTGGATTGTCCGCACCGGCCACAGCTGAAGCAACGCTGTGAGTAACGAAAAGTTAAAGACTGTGTAATCTTAACTTTGTAATTTTTTGTTGGTCACAATAATTGCAAACATCGGACCAGAAAAATAGTTTGAAATTTAGCTTTCAAGAATTGCTTGCAAATATGCGCGAAATTTTAAAGATCCTCTGAAGTCTCACGGAAGAAAACACATGTTTTATTTCAATCATTTTATCCGATCCTGTACGGGTCCGCAAATGATCTCAGGACCGCAAATGATCCCTGACCGCAAATGATCCCGGACCGGAAATGATCCCTGATGGGGACCGCAAATGATCCCTGATGGGTACCGCAAATGATCCCGACTGAAAAATAAGGAATGGCATGGATGAGGGAATGGTGCGGATAGGGAATTGGATTGGATAGCAATTATTTTTGTTAAATAATTTTTTTTAAATAAAAATTAGTGAGCAGCACACAACGACAAATCTTGTCGACTTAGTTTATTATCCGACCGGTTTCGTCTGATCTCACAGACTTCATCAGGGATTTAACAAGATGAACAAAATTGAACTACTCAGTAGTACAATCTTGAGCCCCAAAAATAAAAATAAACATTCCTTAATTTGTTATGCTAAATTTCCGTAACATTTCCAATTTGTTGCGCTGAATTTGCGCAACATTTCTTGTTTGTGGGTGTTTTTTTGCAGTTCACACCCCAATTTGAACGTCATTTGTACCGCAAAAGTCCAGTATATACGTCCAGTTTTTATTTTTTAAAAATATTTTAAAAAATTGTTTAACAAAATTACATGTCTCACAGTTGGAAGTGCAGCTTTGCTTTTCTTTCGGTGGCGTGAATAGTGCTGACGATGATCGTCCATTCATATAATGAACTCTGATGTTGCGTAGGCAACATATATATATATAATTGTTTTAACCTTCTTCTGATATGTTAGTCCATGCTATTCCTTATTTTTTGGTCGGGATCATTTGCGGTCCGGGATCATTTGCGGTCCTGGGATCATTTGCGGACCCGTACAGATCACCCATTAATAGATAAGGTCGCAATAGGCCTGTGAGAAGTCTTGAAGTTAGATTATAAACATTCAAGAAATCTGTATAAAATATAACTTTCCATGAAATAGTTGACTTTTTCGTGTTTGATATATGATTTAAAGCTACATTTTGCTCCAGAAATGCTCAGAACGACAAAAACTTCTCGAAAATTGCTGTAACCGCAACAAGTTGCTCCAAACACCAAAAGTTCCTGATTGGGACAGGCCCCATATGTAAATACTTACAATAACCATGATGGCAATAACAACATAAAAAATTACACGTCAGATAAATTGAAACTTCTTGCAGTAGAAATTCCCGTCGATACTACGGCATAGCGTGGTGTGATATGTGAAAAAGTGTATGGCTATTGCTTTCCCTTAAAGAAACAAAGAGATTGAAGCGTTTGATTCTAAGAAAACAAGTCGTTAATTTAACCATTCTCGGTCCAGTGAGTAATTAATAAAGGTAAGAGTTCCATTATCGTCGGCGAAAAACAGCAGAAAAAAAAAGAAAAGAAAGAATATAAAGAAAATAAACCAACAGAACATCTAGACTACTGTTCCGACACAATAGACTACTTTTGTAATTGAAAGTAGCGCAGCGAGCAAGCCGCTTTAATTAAATTTGCAGGAACTTGCAGGAAATAATTAGATAATACCGATATTCAGTTAGCGAGATGGTGGATAAGTAAATTGCGTGCGAGTTAGGGTCATGGTCTTTTTTGTCTAAAATGAAGGGAAGAGGAGCAATTAAACGGCATCTGACGACCGCGGTTTTTTGCTTTCAAATTAGCAAAATACAGTTCTGCTTGTTTTCATTGTTAAACTGCCCCGGGAGATAATCGTGCAAAGAGATCCAATATTTATCAGCCAAGTGTCTTCTCAAGGTGGCTCCAGAGAGGTCCTGCTTGATTATGTGTGACGCACACGCCCGTGTCATGCTTTTATGGCGCATTTTTAAAATTTTTCTGGCCTTGAGATAAACAAAAATTATCAAATATAATACACAAAGGCTAAACTTTTGTTTTCCAAAATGCCAAAATGGGAGGCACTCGTTGGCTAGGGGTAATTTTTGATTGCTTCAATTTTCTCCAATTTGCTCCAGTGAAATCTTCCGCAACCTTCTCTTGATGCAAACTTTGTCCTGGTCATAAACTTTTAAAAAGTCTGTAAAAAATTGAGTTGAAACGTGAATTGGCCACCGTAATGGGGTAAAAATCTTCCAAATCGGCACCCTTAATCCCCACGGAATCAACGAGCACTTTTCATTCAACTAATTTATTCCTGTTTTCCTGTCACCATATTCCCACCAATAACGTAGCTCCACTTTCTGCATATAAACCCACACACAACCCACAATTCCTCCAATCGCTCTAACAAAGGGCTAACTTTCGAGACGTCAGCTTTTTTACACTTTACGGTGGCCAATGTACGTTTTCAACTCAGTTGTTAACACTAAATTACCTGCTATACTCTCCCACCGACGCAGCACCACAGTTTCTTTAGAAACTTACCCCCCCTATAAAAAATTGGGTTATTAGAGCAGTTTCTTGTAAAGTTATGTTTTCTGCTGCCTCTAACATAGAATCAGTCTCATAGTTTTTTATTTCCATTTGTTGCTCGTTTCTATTTTCATTTATTGCATGGCAATAGGAATGTCATAAATGTGTTAAAAGCTTCATCAAACATTAGGAAATTCTATTGAAGAAAACGCGATAAATCTTACTCGAAAAAATAAAACGTTTTTCTTACAACAAAACATTACTACATAGAATATCACCTCGCAATAACGATATCTGAGCATGCACGAACTTTCAAATCTGTCACGCGCGAGTTCAAGAGTTAGAGCAAGCGATTTCCATTTTATTTTTACATGTTTACTTAGGACCGGCTAAGTTGATGAATCTCAAACACATTAACATATGTTGGTCAGCAGAAACTATCTACAGTTGCCCTCATGGTACTACCTTTAATGCAATGAAAAAAGAAGTGAAACAAAGATTGAAAAATTAAGACGTCAGGAGGAAGTGAAAATGGGGAATACAAAAGAATATCATGATAAGTTATAAATGATGATAACAATATTATGGGCCATACAATAAAATAACCGATACGTAAAAACAACTACAACATTGAAGGTGGTCACCTCTTATATAGTTTCCTCGGAGTAAATCAGTTAAGTTATTTGTCAATATATCTAAAGATTTAGCAGTTACTATATAAATGTGTGTATACATATATATATGTGTGTATTCATATATATATATATATATATATACATACATACATACATACATACATACATACATACATACATACATACATGCATGCATACAAACATGCATACATACATACATACATACACGCATACATACATACATGCATACATACATACATACATACATACATACAAATTTTGGGGTAGAGTCTACCTTGGCATAAAGTGCTAAATGCTGTGGTAGCAGAGATAAGTATACATAAGTTAAAGAATTAAAGAGGACGCATCGATTCTGTCTGACGAGCGCTTAGGCGCGAAACTCAGAGTCACAGAGAATCGAATTAACTCGTGTACATACATATATATATATATATATATATATATATATATGACAGAGCGATCTATTCCATTCTTCCACTGTTCAAGGAGAATTAAAGTGTTTGAACGCAGCGTCTTCCTGTTTTGCCGATGTATAACATTTTACAGTAATTGCAATTTCTGCAACATATGACATTGATGGAGATGCAGGTGAAATGATCAGTGACCTTAATCACCAATAGAGGCCGATATTTTACCAACTTTATGAATGAAGGACAAGTTTTGCATGTTGTCCAGCGCGCTATTTGAAAGTATCGGGTTGATTATTAGTTTGTAGTAACTCCTGACCAAAAAGTTGCGCTTGCGCAATTCATCACTCTTAAGTTATTCCACTCTGCTGATTTAATCTATGGTTTTCATGGATTTAATGGCCGTCCCGAATCTTGCTCTTCTCTCGCTATGTTTAGTATACGTCAGTTCTAAGATAAGTAAGACCTATCAATCGCATTTGCAATCATTTCTTTATTTATGTTTAAATTTTAAATTTTTTGTATTGATTTCTCAATTTTTCTATTTACGTAGTTAATAACTATTCTATGTATTTTTTTCTTTCATTAAGTTATTTACTGTTTGCATGGTCAAGATATCTGTTAGGCAGGAATAAATTTCCGTTATGGCGTTTAGTGCAGAGCGTTTTATAAACTTCTTTTCAATAAGTCAACTAACCATAATCAGTAATAGATTAATCAGTAATAGATCTGAAGTCAACTCCTAAGTCTTATAGGAATTACAATAAATCGTTCTATCGCTCATGTTTCCTCGGTTAATCCATAGATCTACTACGGCGAACTGTTTGTGAAAGGAGTTTTGTCCCCTTTAACGCTATGTAAGAAATAATTTTCCCCCTGATAAATTTTCTATTTAAGGCTGTGTAAATCATGATAACTTTACATATCACATTAGATTTATCTATGCCAACACCTGTCTAACGTTTATTTAACGTACATCATCCCCATATAGTTTTTGTATATTCCATGATTGCCTTGACTTGTGAAACCATAAAGGGCACGTTTTCCTTTACCTGTTTGGGATGAAATTATCAACGGAAAAGTGATATGTTTGTAACATGCCAAGCACCAAGGCTGTCTTGAATCAGATACTTTAAACCATTATCAACAAAAGTATGCTACACACTTCGAACTACCACTGAAAAGGTAAAGGAAAAATAGATTTAAAAAACAAACCAAAACAAACAAACTAACAAGCAAAAGCAAAACATAGAAAAGGTTGAAGAATAAATTGTAAAAATACATATGGAGCTTTCCCTAGATCCACCCAAAGAAACTCGGTCTATCTGACTATTGGGGAATAACCCTTCATTTCGTTTGGTCAAGAGAAAGAATTCAAAGATACCAGTAAATTAGCTTTAAAAAGTTTACAGTAATATTTGCATATTATCATAAATAATAAATGATGCTGGAGATTTCATCACTCACCGTATTGGGACGAAGACCAATACTGGCCGCCGCACTCTCCGTTATCATGTCCATCAAAAACTATAGTTATTTTTGAACAAATTCGCACAGTAAGTCAAAGGGTGTTTAAATACTGAAAAGTGAAACTTAATCGCTTGCTTTTCCTAGCGTTGCTCTGAATGGCTTCTGTTATTTATATGCTTTGCTCTGGTAAGCAATTGAGATTACTTGGCTTTTAGTTTCTGTCAGCCAGAATGCCTGGAAGATCCCCTTTGTCTTTGCAAGTACTTGCTCCTTTGGATACTCCCAAGGGTCTGTGTCATCGTTTCTTCCTTCGTAATGGAAGAGAGGGTTTTACTTACACGCCAAGCTGTTCCAGATGTTCAATAAGTAAAACAAAGCGCGATAGAAAACGGCGCAATAGTAACTGCGGAGCAAAAAGAAACGGGTCTGTGGCGGGCCACGACTCAAGCCTTCTTTGTTTTTGGTTCCGCCTTTATCATTGTGTCGTTTAAAGATCGCGCTCCGCTTTGTCACATTTAACGCTTGGAACAGGCTTTTACACACGCTGGGAATACGCAATCCGCAAAACTATTACATGTCCACGAACACATTTACCTTTTTACATATTTACTTACCCCAGTAGTTGTTCGGCACGATAAGATATCCCTTTTCAATCCCTGTGCAGCTGCTACTCTCCCAACCATTTGGATAGGAGTGGGATATGATAATACGTGGACAACTGAAATAAACGAAAGGTTTTTTTTTCCTTTTTTAAGAATAAGTAATCAAGCAACAGCCCTATATCGCGTTGGGAATTGAAGCGGTCAGCCAGTCTTTCATAGTTTTACACTAAGAAAGAACTTCAAATGCGTTAAACTATAATAAATTGGGGACGTGTCGAGAATTTGTGACGGTTTCTAGGTATAGCTTGACATGTGGAACGATTTCCCTTATCGCCACGCTAATTGGTGTTCCAGCTCTGTGCTATATTGAAGTCAACTTCATTCTTTCAACGAGAAGCACTTTTTGTTGTTTAAATAAACACCCAAATTCCACAGCACTGTTTTGGTGATACATGCGCTTTCTAAGATTGCCTTTTGGTATTGCTGTTTGAAATGCAATAATCAAGTTGGGCAAAAACGAGTAATGGAAAAAAAAATAGTTAACTTACTTTCCCTGATGACATGTTGAGTTGAATTTGTTTTGCCCACTGGGTATCTTAAAAGTCAGAAAAAAACGAGACTAATTCATATTATGATCGTGACGAGCTTATTTTACTTTTTCATCTTCTCAAACTAACCACTTAAAAATTCATGCTATTGCTATCAACGACATGCTCTGATTCCATAAAAAAGGAAACGAGATTGAAGCAACAGCTTTAATTCTTCTTAGAAACATTCTGTGTTCGATTATTCGCTCATCGTTTTGGTTTTGAACAAATTTCGTTACCTTCCAGCTTCGGTACATTTTTCATGAAGTCGTCTTCCGTAAAATAACGTATGGAATAAATGATCAAATAAATGAGTATCAGACATTTACCCGATAAAATACTGTATGCAAGAAAGTGCCATCACTTTGTAACACATCGACCCTAAAAGTTCCTGGAAGGACACAAAAATACATTTAACTGCAGTGCAAAGAAGTGTTTCGTTACCCATTGTAAAGTGATTTAAGTGTATACCCTTACATTTTCAAAACAACATTTTGATATATAGATGTAAGACCGATCGTGTCTGAATGTTGTTATCATAACAATAGTGAATAACTAATCTTGCTTTGTAAAGTCATAGCTGAATACACAGCCTTCATCTTCACTTGACAAACCTACACAGATAATAATTCCAAACCAATATTTCAGGAATAGAAAACCTTTATGTGCATAACTTTTAACCTGTTAGCTGTTTTAAGTAGTAAAATTAAAAAAAAAATTAAAAAATAAAATTAAAAAAACAAGCAGAAATCTGGAGAAATTTTGTCATTTAGAGAAAATTTTCAATTGATTTATCAGATCGTTGAAAATACCAATTATTTCTGCTTGTTTCACTGATCACTTTCTTAACTGACTAAGGTCTAGCTTGGATGAGTTTCGCGAAGCGCCGGCCGCTTTACGAATCGCAGAAGACTCATCTTTACTATCTGCAATTGATGATTGGTGATTCCCGTTATCGTTGAGCTGCAAAAATGCAACATTGAATAGGGAGGGGTCTTGACAATAATTTATAATGAGTTACAAATAGGAATGTTATAATGCACATAAAAAAGAGCTATTCAAACACAATATGTCAGCTCAGAATGTGGATTGATCAAATCCTCAATATAGGCGCCCTTTATGTCATACTGTTATTACCATTTTTGTTATTATTATCATTATTGTTATTTGTCTTTTTTTCATATTCACCTTCTTCCTTTGCTACTTCATGTATATCGCTGTCACTCAACTTTCTACCCTGGCTCTTGTGCGTAAAAGGAACGCACGATTTTATGCTTAAGAAATTTGATGTAGGTAGTGTTTCTTAGAGCAAGAAGGGAGAAAAAAGAAAAAGATGAAATGAATGAATGTGCAAATGCGAAACAACTAAAACCTCAATATGTACCTTTATTTGTTCCTTTTTTATTTCCTGCGATTGTTTCCTCGACAAAATGTACAGACCTATTTTTCCCAGGAAACGCTCATACATTTTTAGCATGGACTCTATCGGATACCTGGGATTGAAAAGGTATTCAAAGGCTCTATCACTGGCAAAAGTGACAATTCAACCTCAGTGAATTGGCCGAAATTTGAACCAAAGCAACACTGCCACTGAGCAAAAACAGTAACAGAAGTTGTAATCTTTCTCTCTTACCAGAGGCAGAATTTAAGGTTTTTTTTTTAAGTAAAATTTGCTCTTTGCTTTTTATTTTATCCTTTTGTACATACCATGTTTTTCCAAATCACAGTAAACTTGTGCGTCTCTATTTCCAATAGTTATCCAATAATATCCGCTTTCCGCACCAGGCAATTTCTTTAGAATTTCTGAACAAGATTTGAATTCATCATCCTGTAGATTATAGATTATAGATGGTTATTGGCAGAAATAACCATCATAGACTATGGTTACGTGCTCATAGCGGTCGGATTAGTGATAGGTTGGTCCTTCATCGTCAACATACTATGCCTCTGTTTCTTACTTTGAAGAAATTTTTACCCTCTTAATACACGACTGACCCGGGCCTCTATCAACGGCCACCGTTTTGTGGAGGTTACCTATGCTAAGGAGGCTCTTTTCTATCAAAGTTCGCGACAACATATTATCCAAAATGTCGCATGTACTACTCGCCCGAAAGGCTGCTTTGCCATGAGAATTACTCGCTACCCAAATTTTGACTTAACCTTCAGGCTACAGCGTCTCCTGTCCTGCGGTGATGTAAGCACAAATCCTGGACCGGTCGGTGCATTGAATTCAAGATCAAATCCTTGAGAAAATAGTCGAAATGCTTGCCAGCTATGCGAACGTACAGTAGCTCGAAATCATCGTACTTTAAAGTGTTCGCAATGTAATCTACGAACTCACAAGAAGTGTGGTGGAATGTCTCCTAGAGAATATAACTTGCTCCAGCAAAGGTCGAACTTACGAAGGGTATTGAACTAAATGTCTGTTTACCGTGCTATCTTACGCCAAACCCTATGATTTGATTAAGGAACCCACGGATTAGTACCGGCCAAGCTTCTGAACTGATACTGCTTTTTGTCGACTCGACCTGGAACGAATCCGACCTTGTTGAACAACTTAAGTCTTATAAACATGATCTACTTATGATTCACCTAAACATCAACAGCATTCAGAATAAGTTCGACGAGCTGAAATTACTAAAATCACAAATCATAATACTTTCTGAAATGAAGATTGACTCTCCATACAAAAGTGACCAGTTCCGACCACAAGGCTATCAAATGTACAGGAAGGAGAGAAGCCGAAAGGAGGTGGCGGACTTATTGCGTACATTTATTTCTTCAACTATAGCTTCTAAAATTGTAAAAACGCCAACATTTAAACACGTTGAAGTCCTAACAATTGAAATGATGATCAAGGACCTTTTATTATTAAAAGCATATAGACCTTGACCTGGTATAACGATAATTGTCTTATGGTCAACCCCGATGAGATCCAGTTGCTGATGATCAACTCTCAGAATGATAAAGATCAAGCTTTATTAACATCCAATGCGCATGTCATTAAAAGTACTGAGGACTTTAGCCTTCTCGGAGTTGACATCGAAGAACACCTTGTATTTAGCAAACGCATTTGTGAACTGTGTAAAAAAAAAGAAATCTGATCCCTGTAAGTCCTCAATATTGCCATAGTTCACCTTATATGGCACTTATGTAAAGCCTTCGGCGCCAGAAAAGTTGAAAGAGTACAGAAACGGGCCCTTAAGATTGTGTATAACACATATTCAGTGGAGTACTCCAATCTCCTTAATTGTGCCCAACTACCTAGCTTACAAAGCAGGCGTTTACAAGATCTTGCTACCTTAATGCATTAAGTTAAGTGCAGTTTGGTACTTAGTAATGTCGTTGACATTTTTAGTGTTCAGTCATCCAAACATCACCTAAGGAATATGGAATTTCATTCACCCACATTTAATAGTGAACATTACGGGAAACATTCTTTAATGTACTTTGGACCATATATATGGTATAGATCGGACAACAAATTCAAGGCAAACCTACCTCACAATCCTTTAAGTAAAACATATAGCGTTTTAACCTTGAAGATCTTATAGGTGACAATTGTAGCTCCTGTCTAACTTGTAGTTCTTGAGAATTTTGAAAAATATTTTTAGCATTTTTCTGTATATTTTAGTGGGGACAACTCCGTAACCTTTAACTTTTAAATTTTAACTTTTGATAAATTTTAGATCTCAGTTAATTATGAATTTACCTTATGATACCGTGTCTAAACTCATTTTATTATTGTTTTTTTCCTATTATTTTTAGTGTCCCCAAATAGCTCTCCAAGCTGAAAACATCGACACTTAATAAATAAATTTGTTATGTTGTGTTTTGATATGTTATTGACTACATGGCTTCGTTTATTCAATCATTTATCTATTCACGCATTTGTTTATTTGTTTACTTATTTCTCTGTTGCTAATATTTGGGAGCCCTGTGTACCACGCCCTATTTTAACAAACAACCATCCAAGAAAGACGTTTGGTCAATAACACAAATGCATCCTATATAATAATTGCGAAATGTTGTCGGTTATTCGGAAAGGATGTATTCACTAGTTGATCGCAATCGTGAAACAACGGAGCTTAATACAAGAGTATTTTTTTCTCAAGTTTGGACAAAAAGCTGAACCAGAGGCAGAAATCTCACTTTTTAAATCGAAAAGGATACGCGTGGATAGAGATTTTATTAATCGAACCTGAAATTTTGAAGATACGTGAGGAACATATTTTGATGCTGCGAGGTCATTTTTTTTAACTCGTGAATTGTGCGCATGCGCAAGAGCGAGTTCTAGATATGATGTGGAGAATGGCACACGCTCGCTCGCTCGCTCGCTCGCTCGCTCGATTGGTCGATTCCTGTAAACTTTTTTTCGATTTTAGGCTTTTGAAACGAAATGGCGACCTTTGTTGCTAAGAATAGTGGTGGGGTGAAAAAGAAGCCAATGATAATCTTAAAAGAGTTTTTTTTTTCGTTTTAGTTTCAACAAGCGGCGCCAGCGACTGGCAGGCATGCAAGGATTCACACTGAAATAACAGAACAACCTTCGTTTTTCATAAAATTGTAATTTACAATCCTTGAACTTGAAAACAATCCGAAGATTCATTGAAAATATCACTTACTGCGAACCGCTCGGAGTTTACAGATGTTCAAAAGTTTTTTCTGTTGTGGTGTGAGATTGAGGACAAAATCGATCATTGCGTTTCGTATCGTGTGTTTTTCCTGTCTGAAGCAACAGAAGATACCGGCGACGGACGAAATTACAAGTTAACACGAAAATCAAATAACACCTAAACAAACAATTTTAGCTACCGATTTTCAGCGATCTCTTAAAGAACAATTTTCTTTTAAGTTTCAAGATAATTTGAAGATTCAAAATAAATATTACGTACTAAAATGCGAAAGTTATACACCACAAAATTGATAAGTAGGCCTGAAATGAAATTCTATCTTGTTCTTGATTATAAGTTACCTAGCACGTGACTAAAATCTACTCAGGCGGAGATAAAAAATGACGGTGGCAGTCTTGGCTTAGTTATATCACTCAAAGCTCGTTCCCGTTTGTCTCCAGATAACATTAAACATAATCCAAAAAATCATGTGTCAATTCACGAGTTTGCTCACAGAGCACTTCGATCTGATTCTATATGCCAGCCAATCACAGGTGGCAAAAGTGAGACGACAAATGTATGAAAACATTATCGTCTCTCAAATCAGCATAACAGTGGGAGGATCACGGATTTAGAAATAAATAGCATAATTTTTCGATATGTACTGCCAGATAAACATTATTTCGTTTAATTTCTTTATATAGAATTCGCCAATACCATACCATGTTCATATAAACTGATCCTTCCTTCGGACCAAAATCCCTTGGGTGAGTACGTTTGTCTGCAGCGTTCAAGTCACATGACTTATCTTTTAAACGAAAGTTCAAACTCTTGCAGCGAGACTCGTTCAAGCAGAACATTACACACTCAGTAATGCTGGAAGTTTTACTTGTTGTAATAACGTGACCGGAAAGATGATGACCATACTCTGAATATGTGGGGCGACCGCATTGCGCAATGGCTTGGGTTAGCTGTGCATGGCATATGACGATGAGCACACCAAAATAACACAGAACCATGATTTTCTACTGAAAATATGAAAAACAAAAATTTGATTGAAATAAACTTAATACTCAATACATAAATTGTGATCTTTTTCATCATTGCCTAAACGCGAGTGTGAAAAAGTAGAAGATTTTTAAGGAATTCTCGCCGGCTGGTGCAGCCAAAGTCAGCCGACCATGACCGTTGGAAACTTTTCAAAATAATATAGTTCCTCATAGTGTACTTACCATAGGTGTGGCACCTTTCGGGTCCTCTACAGGAGCTTGCAAGATTCGATCACAGATCACGAGAAGTAATTGACAACGGATAGTGAAATCCAGTTAGAGTGTTTTTAATATACGGGAATTAATACTTCAAGGGAAAAGTGCAAACAATTTTGCTCTTAACGTCTCAATAAAGTAAACAAGGCAAAGAACCTTTTCATCTAAAAATTGGACACATGATACCTATCGCTCAAAACATATCATTAAAAATTAACAGTCTGAATTTTTGTATTTTCAACCTTAGCCAGTGAACATGAAAATTAAAACCAAAAAGATTTATAAAGCAAAAATGAAACAGGGAAGATAGATATGGACAATCTGATACAGGAGCTTCGTTTAAAATCTAATGGAATCTATAAGAGAGACAATAATTTACTAAAAATGATATTTCAATTTGTAAACATTTAAAATAAATATGTCAGCAAAAAACGAAATAGCGGCACGTTTTACACAGAATTAAAAATTCTTGTGGAATAGAATTATCATAAAGACCAATAGGGTGAGTTTTATGTCGTAACGTGACCGTGGCTATGGCTTGCTATTAAAGGAACGAAGGGTTTGAAAGGTTTATTCCAAGAAAAAGAAGTGGGTATTTAACCGTTCCCAATTCAGGTGACTGAATTGCTTTTGGTCAGAGATCCATTATCGTGGGCCTATAATTAGCTATATTTCCTACTTCCTGTGAAGATGCAAAAAAATGATTGCAGCTGTCAGTTCCATGTGGAAATTAATGCAAATGACGCAAATGGATGTTATCCGCTTCGCTCGATGGAGAGAATTGGGTCTCTTAGGAATATCTTCACATGTTAACATACGTATTAGACACCGAAATTAGTCCTTTGGCCAACATTGTAAAAATTTCGATTAATTCTTTTAGGTCCAATTGACGGCGAAAAACGCTAGGAAAAGCAGATACTTAGACGTTCAGTTGTACGTTTTTAATCCAAAAACTTTTGGATTAAAAACTCCCTATTATTTAACATAGTAAATGTTTTATTCAAGAAAATAAAATTTAAGGATAATGATCTTGTTTCTTTCAAATGATCTTGTTTCTTTCAAGCAGCTGAAGATGTTTTCTCGCCAAGTGTTTGTGATACCCACATTTGGAAGCTCGGTAAATTTCATTTTCGTTTTATTCCAACTACACAGAAATAGGAGTTAAGGCTGAATATCAAATCTTACCATGGGGTGAAAGTCAAACTCAAGTTTTTCATGCATTAAGTACAGTCATCTCCTACCTTCCAAGATCCAACGTTCTTTGGTGCCCAACACTAGACTTCTTTAGCCAAACGCGTTTTCTTTTATTAGTCTGGTAGCTATGGTTACGATAGAAACTGTTGGTTTCAAGCCGAGATGAAAATTAATATTAGAAATGAACTTCCCTCGTCCTGATTGGGCTCTTTGCACAAAAAGCTAAATTGGTAGAATGACACGCGGCGAAGAATTTAACTAAGTGATTATTAATTCCTTGAAAGTGTCGCACGTCACGTCAGGCGCAAAGGCATTATAATTATAGATCGTCTTTGGTAATTCATGTCAAACAAACGCAATGCAGGTGAATTTGAGAGAAGAAACGAGAGACTTTAATAAGAATTAAAGGCAAGTCCAGCGAAAATGGTTTTGAGACTCACACAAACATAGATAAAGAGGAAAATTTTGCACTTCGTACTCCTTAGCTTGATGAATTTTATTAAATTGATTACAGTGTGTATATAGTTAGTCTATGTTAATGAGACTGGAAAGACAGATGTTTTCTTTCTGTCATCCATAATTTTCTGAAACGTGTTGATTTTCCTTGTATGATTCTTTTTCTTATTTTCTACAATCAGTTTATTTAATAAATAGAGAAGCCTTGACTGTGCTCTGTTCTGTTATAAAGCACGCAGGAAGCGGCTAGAGCACGAAAGAAGTGTAGGGAGAAACACGAGACGTAGTCGAGTGTTTCTCCTCACTTCTTTCTTTATAACAGAACAGAGTACAGTCAACGCTTCTCTATTTGTTTTATAATAAAGAATCCGTTAAATTCCCCATGCATTAATTTCAATTTTCAAAACAAACTTTATTTCCAAAGCGAACAACAGTGTCGTCAGCATGCTCTATACTCTCATAGAGCACGCTACAATAAGCCAATCAGAATACCTGTTAGAATGGTTCAAATAATCTGATTGGCTGTACAAGACAAAAGCTGTCAAAAGTGTCAAACCATCAAAATTCAAAAACCATCAAAGTTCACAATCTGCGATAGATTACAAACTAAAATAGTTCGGCAGGTCGAATTTAAGGCTTTTGCCTGAAGTTTTTAATACAGAATCTTGAAGTGAAATGTTCAGTGAACTTCAGCCGAATTATGGCTAAAAAGAGCACGCGAGTTTTTTCACATGACAAAGTAGAAAACAAACTGTTCAAGGCGAGTGTTTTTTAAATGAACGACGGCCGAATTCACCGGAACATGAAGATCGCTCGGGATGACAGCGCCGCAAAACTCGGCTGCAGTGACTGAAGTGACTTTCCACTCAACACATCGGAAAGGATATAAAAACGAGCTCTTATTTTTCACTCGAAGGGCGGCCGATGTAGTTTCTGAGGCTTGCTTTACTGTGATGACCGGAGATCGCCATGATAAGCGAACTGCGATGGACTTCAGCATGATCATATGACACCGTCATGCTTAGTATGAATTTTAACAGTTATGCCAGTTTGGTTATATTTTTCATCATTTCTGTTTTGTTCTGTTTTGTTTTTGAACTCTGAACTTTATATACTTTACGAGTGTTGGTTGTGTTTGATTTTTATTACCGTACGTAAGCTTGCAATCTAACTGAGCGTGAAAATCTTTATCGGAATGTCTATTTTGTTTTTCCTTTAAGGATTTTCGTATCTGCTCACGTTTTAATAACGTAAATTACGGCGCCTGGTATGTTTACAAACCTTTCTTTGGTTCTTCTGTTGCTTCTTGCCGGCTCGCTTGTTCCGAAATTTCACTTTCAATTATCGGAAAAAAAGCTAAAAAGAAGTCCCGGAAAAGGTCGAACATAGTACAATTTGGCAGATGGCGTGACAGCTTTAGCTCAGTTCTATGCTCTATACTCTCATAGAGCACGCACTTTCAACCAATGACAGCGCGCGTTATATCCGAACTTTATTATAAAAAATAATATAAAGATAAAATAATAAAGATTTGAACGGCTGCCCATGCACTAGAAGTGATTATCAACATTTTCTGTGTGCGTACAGCGTTTAAAGTCTGGTTAAACAGGTGTTCTTAGGCAATATTGCCTGATGCGTTATAGTTAAGCAAACCCATTAGAGACTGGGGCTCCACGCTGTGGTAGACCAAGCACACACCAGGGTAGGTGAGATCCAGATATAGAAAATTCTTTCCTTTGTGTAGAGGCAGTAAAATCATTGTGTTTTCGCTAAAAAATTGGGCTGAAATGGCCGTGACCAAAAGTTGCACTTGCTAGGCTTGAAATTTTGAGGACTATGTCACTCCAACTAATCTATTAATAAAGTTTTCATTGTGAGACATACGCTCTAGGGTTGTTTAGTGCGATTGTAAAGGAACTGTTTGCGTCCGTCTGCGATGACGCACGTTGGGTTATTTTTCCTTTCATCAAAATGCTCCATTCAAGTCTCCTTTCTTCTTTTCTTCAAATTTTTTAGTGTAGTTTTTCCTGTGGCAAACAATAGCACCGCATCAATTCGGCCGTTGGTTGCAAATAATCAAAATGGATTTTTTCTCTTAGTGTCATGTCCGGTTCTACTAGAAGAAATGGCCCATTGTTCCAAGTCAACTTTCCAAACAAAAGTCCTGAGTAATAGGTAGTCCTGAGGGACTTTGGCCGAAGGGAGGCGGAAAAGCTCGTAACTGATCGAGAAAATTATCGGAGTGACAATTTTGCTGCACTGTGGGAGTGGGTAGTGTAAATATGCACTAGTAAAATCAATCTCCATCGGTGTACCCAGGGGTAGACTTGACCCTCGTTTAGCGCATCGAGCCAAAGGTTCGCAAATTCAAAAATAATTAAATTTATCCCTGTTGCAGTGACTCATTTAAACCACCTCTCTCTATATGTAAGTCAAAGTCGCCTAGTTTTTACCAGTCAGTTTTTTCAACGTACAAATATATTTTTTGGTCTTACTACTGGTGTTTAATACAATCGAAAGTGACGGTTTTCTGTGGAGAGCCTCGAGGCGATGGAAGACCTTGTTTCTGGCGCACAGCTGTTTTCAAACGAGGCATTCTTCAATTTTTAGAACCAGCATGTTTACCTAACACGAGGATCCTTCTTGCAAAGGCGCCGAATTCGTGTAACTATGTTGAGGATACAAGATATACTGATCAAAGCAATAATTTCTAGTTTTTGCGAGAGCATGTATTTGAGTTATTTTCGTTTTCAATCAAACGCATGGCAAGATGAGGGTGTGATATTTTTTCTCTCACAAGTCTCACAATAAAGAAGGTGCGAGTTTTTTTTTTAATTTATCTTTTGCAAAAAAAGCAGGTCCTGTTTAAAAGTAGGTCTCTCTCATTAAAAACTATCAGATTTTTACAGCGGATTTTAACAATCTTTGTAAAAAGTAAGGAGCTGTCAACAGCTTCTCCAAATTTTCGTAGAGGGCAGGCGCTGGCGCACAGCTGTTTTCTAACGAAGCGCTTACTTTCTGGAACCAACAAGTCTACCTAAGAAGAGGATTCCTGTTTTACAAAAGCACAGAATTCTTACAACAATGTTGATGACACAAGATGTACTGATCGAGGAAATTATCTCTAGTTTTTGAGAGGAAATCTATTTTGAGTTATTCTCGTTTTCAGTCAAGCGCGCGGCAAGACGAGAGTGTGATATTGTACTCACAAGTCTCACAATGGAGAAGTTACGAATTTTTTGTTTTTCGTTTGTTCTATATTCTCTTTCGGAGAAAAATATCAATAGGTATCAATTTGATGTCGGTTTGTGTAAACACAAAAAAATTGTGGGAGGAGATTATTCAGTTTGCTTACGAAGTGCGAAATTTAAATATACTCGGATTGAACAGTCGAGTCGAATGGGAGAAATTGACGAGCGTGTGCGACTATTTCCACTCGCCATTGTTTTTTTAACTCCTTTCGTTGAATTGAAATACGGAAAGAGAAAGATACCCGTAAAACTACATGAATTAACGACGCGCGAGGCTTCGGACGTTATTACCAGGTTTAAATCATACGCTAGAGGAAGGAGAATATGAACCTTTTTGTGCACGTCAGGAACAAAATCTCATTCACGCAGCGCGAAATTTAAATATTCGCACATTAAACAATCGAGCAAATGACGATAGTCTTCTACATGATTCAACGGCGTGGTAGGCTTCGGGCGTTAATACCGGTTACACATGCTCTCATCACCTTTGTATCGCACAGTGAGCCTCTAATTGAATATATCTTTCGCCAGTTTTAAGCAATGTAAAGGAAAAAACGGTGACATTTCTATACTTCAGATACGAAAGCTACAGTCGCCCCACCATCCACCCCACCGTGACTATTTGTATCCTAAAAAAATCTACCATAATCACCCCCACGGGGAGGATTTGTCGTATCATCAGTTTTGCCGATGGTTTAAATCTGCCGCTCGTATGATAATCGGAAATTTGAAAAATCCCGCGTGTATTTTAAAGCTGTTTCCGCCATTGTTCCAAAGTAGCCATATACGGTCATTGTTAATCGTTAAACAAAGCCTGCTCAACTTTCAGCTGATCCGCTTTTCTTGATAAAAATAAATTTCATCCGTTTTATTCATTCATTGGGTCAAGAGCTGACCCAATGAATGAATAAAACGGATGAAATTTATTTTTCCAGGTTTTTTTTCTTTTACGGCTTTCGCTATTTGCATAATTAGTCCTTTTTAAATGAGGATGTAATACTTCCATCTTGTATAATTCTGTGTGTTAAGGATATGCGATTACATCGAATGACCTCAGCTAAAAGATTTAAAAAAGGAACTAGTGTAGATCGTGAAACAATTCCAAGTTGCTTTCGTAGACTGTTCAATAATCACTTCACGTATAGCATTCCTTCTTGGTTGCGGTATATCCCGAGACTAGTCAGCGGGTGTCCGGGACAATGATAACCGTACAAAGCTCGTCCCTCGTAACCTGGTAGTTATAAATGATAAACCTTTATTAGCACCAAACATTGGCAAGTGTTATAATGCTAATAATAATGATAATAACAGCATTACACTTTCTATCACTGGGGTGAATCCAATTTACACTAATCAACTTTCATCTAGACCCTAAAATACAAACAAATTGGAAATAAAATTTTAAATGGAAATACGAAATTTCGCTGAAAAACCGTAATTGGCAGGCTGTAGACCAGTCAGCGATATACAAAGCGCAGCCAAGGAGGTAAACAACTGAGAATAAATCTAGTGATAACAGGGTGGAGGGCTTGAACCCGGGTACTAATACTCAGCATAGTATGTCAGTTTATAATTACTCACTCTTGTACGTTACAAATTTATTAAGGGAAATACTCAGAAAATACTAAAGAAATAGTACTAGTGAAGAGCCTGGAGGCTGAATAACTGTTAAGTTTTCGAGTCAGCCTCCATTTCGATTAAGTTGCTTAACACCCTAAATGTATGAATGTGAGGAAATATGACAGCGGCTAGGATGATGTACCGACTGATATATCAATCCAACTTTAATTAGAGCTCTCTCTTCCTCCGGGTTTACTTTCCACAAGAAAACAGCGCACGCTCTGGGATGAATTTTATTTGGGACATGTTGGATTTCATATATGTGTTACTGACCACCATCATAATCATAACCATTACAAATTCCTCAAATATTATTGATACATTCGCTGCTTCATTTTTCACCAACAATTCTGTACAGTTGCAATCTGACAGTGTGATCGGACAGTTGGCTGTAATCGAACAGCTGAAGCAGCCAATCATACTAAGTCCACTCAGCTACTCCAATAATCACAGAAATGATCAAAATAACCATAGCAACAACCACTTATCCAACGTGATTAACAAATCGGGCATAAAAATTGGACTCCCGCTTCGCGGTCGTCCAATTTTGTTAATCACTCGTATGATTACAGACCGAATCGGACTTCACTAGGTCCTATTACCATTATTGATTACAATGTATATAACTTTATATATCGACTACCAGGAATAGTAAAGTCAATGATATTGATTAACTTTAACTTGTTATATCAAAGCTCCAGTGCTTTCACATTATTCAAAATATAGCGAGAGCGGAGCGGATACGCATGACGGAGGCTTGTCTGATTATTTTATAAACACCATGCATAGATTCCCAGAAGTCTACCACACCTCCTACAAATCGAAAATCACGCCTTAGCTGAGCAGATATTCTTCCCCTCAGTCGAACACTTTGTCATCATATTATCTACTCACGCACCGTATTCCTGGAGTCTAGACGACAACCATTGATAGCCACACTCCCCATCGTCGTGTACATCGAACACTAGAATAAGTCAAAAAAGTGAAAAAGGAAAGACATAATTTTCAATACCTATGTCAAGCCAGAAATTTCTCCATATGAAAAGCGATTGAATAACATACCATTCCCGAAAAGGGGTAAAGGGGACCCTCTTGTCGCCTCGTGCTTTGCAGAGAAATTGGGTCGGCGTTTCAATCCTCAACCTTTCTTCTGATCATCTCTAATCAAGTTTGATCTCGCTATCGGTACTATTTCGGGGACGGTTTGGAACACAGGATGACGGAAACACTGGCCAAATGGTAGCAAAATTAAACAACCTGAGACCTAGGACAGCCCACATCTTTGTTTTGGAAAATTTACAGCAGAATAATCGTGCCATTCGAAGAAAATAAAAAAAAACACAGTTGCATAAGCTTAGCACCGTGTAAAATAATGATTTGCTTGTTAAAGGGAATGAAAAAGAAACGATCATATGGGAAAGTAAACAGCATAATTCATATAAGCAAGTAGTCTTTTCCTAATACCCTCAGAGTCCAAACTTGCCATCGAATTGAATAAACCTCTCCACCTTTTGCAATGGCTTTGTTGTTGTTGTTTAATTCTTTTTCAATTACTTTTTTTTGTTGTTTTTGTTTATTTTTGGATTAGGGGATAGTTATGCTTATTACCATAACTATAATTACTATTATTATCATTGTTTTAGTTGTTATAATCATGATTATTATTATTACTATTATTATTACATATGCATGTCCAAAAACAAAGTTACCCTTTGCGATTTTACTTACCGCTATGACATCTGTGTGCAATGTGATATCCCACGTCAATACTTGTGCAGTGGTTCGTCTCCCAAGTATATGGGTAAGAATGAGAAACAATAATTCGCGGACAACTACAAAAGAATGATTGATAATAGTTAAATGTTGATTAGAATTCCCATAGGTCATAAGAGTAAACACGAAGGGACTGAAAATCAAAGAGGCTAAGAGGGCGGAAAGCAAGCGAGCTACACAAAAGTAATCAAACTTTATGCTATTTACAAACTAAAATTTAAATATTGTATAAATCGGAGAAAAAGCGTAAGGAGTACTTGAACCTACTTTCCCCAGCTGCAGGTTGAGTTGAATTTTTCCGGTCCACTGGGTATCTTGGTCAAAAATAGTACAAAGAGACAGTTACAACAATGACTGAATGAAAAAAGAAGCAATATGTATCGAGAGAGTGACAAGAGAGAACAATTTTATCGTGTTCAAAACATTCCATATTATATTCGTACCTGGAAATAAGTCGTAAAAATTCCATTATTCCTCAATATGTCCACTCTAAACGTTCCTGGAAAAATATGGATATTATGAAAAGAGGTATGTATAGTTTCAATCTCAAATTAAATGTGGTCCTAATTGAAGGTATACTTCATTTTGCGCGTGTCCGTTAATGTAAAAATGTAAAGTTTTAGAACTGAAAAGAATGGAACAAGGGCTGCATGTGCAATTGCAACTGGTGTGCTTATTCCGCTTTGGCGCCACTTGCAGACTTATTCTAACTCGGTAACAAAGTGAAATGTAACTGTTTTGAGAGGGGTAGGGGCTAATGCCTGTGGCGCTGCGCTGTTGGGGGTATAACAAGATAACCTGGTGTTATGAAATTAGTTAATAATGCAAATTAGCCACTGTAAAGAGTTTCTGAAGGAGACGGGCTCAGAGCTAATAGAGGAATTGTGGGTTGTCGGTGTGGTTTATAGAATCTCTATTCTCGTGTTTTTCATGTTAAATGTACTATGTAACAATCAGTAGTGTGGCTCTATATTTCTGTACATAAACCACAAGCAGACCACAATCTGTAGCTGTTTTACAATATTAAAAGAACAGTAAAATGAGAGAAATTACGAAATCGTGCTCGTAAATTTATATAAGCTTCGGTTTTTAATCCTTTATTTTTTTGGTCTGATTTTTTTTCTTAATAGTCACTCATATCATTTTTTGGTTTCCATACAGTTTTGCATTAGTTTTCGACAAGGAAAAATAAGGTCTAATTATTTTTCCTTCTTCTCTAACATTCCCTTCTAGCATTTCTATAGGAAAATAGCATTTAAGGAAATTTAATATCATGAGAATCTTCAAAACTTTGGCATGAAGTGGGTCACTACCTTTACCTTCTGTCTTTGTCATTTTATGTAAGTCCTCGTCGCCCAGTTTCCGGCTTGTGATATTCTTGTCCGAAAAAGGCACACACAATATGGAGTTGAGACAGTTGTTAGCAGTTCTCTGAAGATGATCGTTATTCTTAGAACTGATACTCACAACTAAGGTCCAGCCTCCACCTGAAGATCAAACATTTTTAGCATTAAAAGATGTACCGACTCGGTTGCTTGTGATCGAATATTTTCTCCTATTTCGGAAAGTGAATCTCTTGGAATTTTTTAGCCACTTTCTTATATTAATTACACGCTTCCTTTACCTACCATAATTTTCCATATCGCAATACACTTGTGCGTCTCTGTCTCCGATTTTTATCCAAAAATATCCGCTGTTTACCTGAGGCCATTCCTGGTGTATTTCTCCGCAGGACTTGAAGCCAATTTTCTATTGGAAGGAAAGAGTTAAAAAAGAAAAACAAACTATAATAATATGCCTATTTGTATCACGTTTAATTTATAGGCTCCACCGGCCGCCGTGATATCATGACTACCTCCACGAAAAGTAATGACCACATCACTAAATAATTACAAAGTTAGACAATCAAATATCCTAGCTGAGCTATCATCGCAATTTTTAAAACGCACTCGTTTCTCTGCCGAAAAAAAACTTAACGGATAATTAAGTACATTGTTGTTTCTAAGAACCAGTTACGACTGTTTATATTCAAATGATGCCAACTGCGAGAAACCTACGGTTATGTTCAGCGCGACTGGTTTAAAAATTTAGTTGAAAGCCACTGGAATCTACTTATGTCTTCTTTCTCAAGAGCAAAGAAATGTAAACAACCTCTTTGCCATACACTGTCATATGACCGTCCGCTAATATTGTTTCAAATGATTTTGCAGAGCTCGTAAAAGGTTATATTAACGCAACTTGTCACCCTGGTCGCTCTTTAAAAACTCAGAATAAAAGTCTTTTTTTTCTGTTAATCTCTTTATGGCCGTTTGATAACTCCTGGCGAGCCACATACTAATTGGACCCCTGTCAGATTTGATAAAATGTCACAATTCCTACTTGAACATTTCTGTGTCCATTAGGAGTGTCCATGTACACAGATCCTGCCCTCGGTCCATAATCCTCAGGATGAGTATATTGGTCTGAGTCATTTAACTCACATGACTTGCCCCCCAGGCGAAAGTTCAAACTTCTACAGCGGATGTAAATAGAGCAAATCGTAACACACTCGGAGAAACTGGAAGAAACGGTTGTCAATACTTCATGACGAGAGAGGTAATGACCGTACACTGAGTATGTAGACGGATGGCATTGCTTCAAAGTTTGGCAAAACATTGCCAAACTTATTATGAGGATCAAATCAAGATAAAGCAGCAGCTCGCTGGACATCACAGGTACCTTCTGAAATCAAATGTTTGGTTCAAAACTTTAAAATCTACTGCCAAAATTTAAGTAATACACAAACTTTATCTAATAATTCGCGTGTTCTACTGTTTTCCTTGTGAGTCTTTCGGTAAGAGTTTAGCGATACGACATAAACGAATTAAGTTAACGAAGGAATTTCTTTACCTTCAACTTTACTTGATCAATTGGCGATAGTAGATAGTTATCTCAATAAGTTATCTTAAAAACAGAATGAACCTTGAGTAATTCTTTTCTTAACCCGCTTTTTACTTCACGACCGTTTTGTGAAGAAAATCTTCCAAATGTTGATAATGTTTGTGATAATGGAAAGGAGCCCCATACTTTTGATTTGGACCACGCAAGATCTGCTCGTAGGCTAAGGTCGTATGTTCAGCACATAGTACTATTTGATACTTCCGAATATCTTCTAAAACCAATCTCAAAGCATATTTTTAAATCACCAGTTTAAAATCCAGCATTAAAGAGGAGATAAAGCATCACAAAAAACGAACTCACGTCGGCGATGATGAATCGAGAGCGGTATGAGCTCTCAACACAGTGCAAGCAACTTCCTTTGGAAAATAATCAGAGCACGAGAAATAATTCCAGTAGTTCAGATTTCTGACAAACAAACGAAAAAATTAACATAAATAACCTTAAAAACCTGGTTAGAGAAGAAACAAAGCATTTATTTGACAGGTGAAAATTCCCTGCTGTGCTGCAAGAACCCAAAGCGATAATTCAATATCGTGACCCCTCTGGTGCAAACAAAGATAGTTGGTGATCATCTTTTTTTTCTGGTGATTCTGGCTGTAGCAGTTGTTACAAACCATTAAAAAAAATTTTCTAGTAAGAAATGACTCTTCAACGCCCGATAAGTCATCGTGGGAGCATTACGTAGTCACTTTGACTCATTATTATTGTCACAAGCTCTTCTTATTTTCATGTTTTAACATTGACCATCAGCAGGTGCATTTATTTGGTCATTTTCTTTTCAATCAATTAGTTAAAGTTCTTATGACACTAATATTTTTCTTTTGCATTTTTGTTTGATAGCTGTACTTAGACTGTATTAAGCGCCTAGCGAGTTCACCTTAACTATTTTTTTTGTGCACTGAAAGTACGATTTGGCGGCCAAAAAGAGTACCCATTAAGCGCGCGGCAAAAACGATCATGTTACATCGTTGTTTACTACTTTGAAAGGATGTAGCTGTATGGCCAAATTGACGCGTTTCGATCGTCGGCCTTATGCTCCGTACCGGCTGTTACAAACACATGCCACTAGACAAATTAGGGGAAGATTACAAAAGAATTCAGCTTAAAACAATGCTGATTAAGAAGCCTGTTCCCACACCGTAAACGATTGTTCAACACTATTTTCGGCTGACATGTCGCGAGCGAAGAATGGTCGGAGCTCCTTATTGTTCAAGTTTATTTCACGCACTTGACGGATGTACTTATACTCCTTGGCTTTCCACATGACTACATTTGCGCTTTTCTTACCGTATGATAATCCTACTAATTGTAGTTTCCATCGTTTTTTGTTACCAGAAATACATAATTTGTGAAAAAGTTTAAGACCTTCCTAAATTGACCGAAATCTTGTTGCGTGAGTGCGAAACCTCTGGCGAATACTGGGATAAATACAAGCTCGAAGGACCCGTGTATTCTTCTAACCTAAGTTTCCGAAAATACATCCCACGAGCCATCAATTCCCCCCTGCCCTCAAGAAACTTAAGGGTAGCAACAATACCAATGTCAATGTGATAACAGCACTACAACGAGGTAATTAAAAGAAGCAAAAAAATTTATTGAATTAGATGGAAGCGAATCCAAGCGCTGTGTGAAAGTCGATGCATACGAAATATTAATTTACAATCATGATACTGATGTCAGTTATTTGCCATTGAGCGAAATGGGTCATATGACAATGCTGTACTTAAGCTAAAGAAATTTTCCTTATTAAAATCTCTATTTGAGTTTAACTTGAATCAGATAAACTTTCTCGTTTTCCATTTGACCGGCTCAACGAAGACGGTTCCTCAGCCTTTGCAATCTTTGAGAAAGGAGCAACTTGTAGTGAAACTGCCCGACGACTGCTCGGTACAAAATCATCGTGCTTCGTGATAAAGCCGATTCTTTCGTCAAAATTTAGCTGACGGCATGCTAAAGGAATCATTCTACAGCAACGAAACTCTAGAGCACAGACTAAGGGGAACCTTTACTGCACTTAGTGCGTAGGAATAAAATGTGATGTCAACAAAAACGACCTCAGCTCCCCATTCTTAATATAGATTTCGACAAGACACAAGAAACCGTTTTAGTCAGTCTTCGTCAAAATCTTCTTTTGATGCACGCGGTTCCGTCGGGCTGAACCGTACTCGCAACTTCCATTTCTTCTTTACCTCTTGAGTACGATGTATCGAAACTCTCGGTGGAGCTTGTTACCAGCAGGTATACATCGTTATCGGACATCATTTCAAAAGTATTTCAGCGCTGACTGATGCAAAATTACAAGAGATGTGATAGATTTGTAAGTGTCAACTAAGAGTTTTCACAATTTTCTACGTCATCATCCACTAATTCGTTACAAGTCCACGGGACACTTTTAAGACAAAATAAGGGCACTTTAGGGTCCGAATAAAAAAGTTTTAAGTTTTTTGAAAACTTTCTTATATCGGAATTGGTTTGTACATATGATAAGCCAAATATTTACGCCAAAAAAAAACAAAAAACAAAAAAATTGTGTCATAGACACTTTAAAGGAATTCAGGAACTAGGGGCTAGAACCAGAAAGAACGATACTTGTTACCTATGACGAGTAAATGTGTGAATGATCGTGACCCTTAGAGTTTTAAAAAAAAGCTTCCGCGTGATTCAAAACAACGCGATAATCAGATGATAGCAGACGTCTAAACACGAAAAAAAGTGCGTGAATCCGGGTGATATGATTGTGCGGTATAATTATATTGATGCTTTTAAGGGGAAATTGAATTTCGTAAAGTAAAATTTTGGTCTGACCTCAGGATGGATGAGACGCAAATTGTATCAGTCAATTGTTTGTGATTAATGACATCTCCAGAGTTTTGCCAAAGGAATTTTGGAGAACAAGATAGAAATGTGATGAAGACAACCTTCACAAGAAGACTTACCGCCTTCTAGCTGACATACCCCTGCTTTCTGACATGCTTGTTTATTTGTTTTTATGATAAATACAAATTTTTTGTTTTTGTTTGTTTGTTTGTGTTTTTTTAGGAGGGGGAGGGGCGGGCTGGTATATATTCATTTTTGATGACCCCGGCAAGTTAAACATAAATAACATACGATGTCTATATTTTCACCTACAGATTGATTTTTAATACCATTTATCAGGCTTTTATAACTACATCAAAACGAAGATATAGGCAGTCTGCATCCTTGCAAGAGGCTAGCCCTTGAACAAGACTTATAGAAAAATACAATATCATCAGTTCAGGTCTTAAGTTAGGGGCTTTAAAATGTGATGAGTTTCGTAAATAAAAGTTAATATTCCTCTAAAGAGACACAAAAAGTATTTCCCAAATTATTTAAATCAGCAAATAGACGTCATAATACATTGGTCTGTAAATGCTCCTACGCCGCTAACTCAGTCTGCTGAGGCTAGTGACAAGACACATATTTAACCTCGGTCATATGCATGATTTCTGGATTTTAAAGTGTACTCCCATTTCTTAGATAAGAAAAAGCAGTGAATTACATTTATCCCAGTCTTCAGCAGACAAATGGTGACTTTTAGACATTACAATCCCAGAGCAAAAGTCCAAGCTACTACTTATCAGTCATGGTATGGCTAAATCTGACTAAAAAGAAAGCTTGAGAATAAATGATTGATACGAAGCGATATTGTTTTCTCAGAAGCGTGCAATGATTATTGTGTGAAAATCAACTCCACGCATTTTCAAAGCTTGCCTTAATAGATCATCGGTGACATAGGCAATTTCATGCATTCTTTTACAACCTCAGGGCGACTCTTAAACAGCTCTGCAATTTTTTCCATCAAACAGCGCGTGCTACTTCCTATTTCCTTTATCAAAGTGCACACGATGGCTCCTACCGCTACCTCTTTAACCATAGTGCACACAATGTTTGCTATTTCTCTGATCAAAGTACACATAATGTTTGCGTTGACGTCTACCACGTGGCGTCCAAGACCTGCTCCAACGTCTGCCATGTAGCACATAGTATCCGTCATCATGATAGCCATAGTGTCTAACGACGTGTGCACCAAACTTGGCCAGGCAGCTATCAAAGGATCTTAAATATTTCAAGTGCTTTTATCCTCCTCGCCGTCTGTTAGCGCGGACTTTGTCTTTTTTTGTCTGCTGCTTTTTTTCTGCAAAATCAAAAACAATTTACCATGTTTTATGATTTTCTAAAATAATACAGTTCGTTTTCCCCACAAAAACCTATTGGGGACTCTCACTATAGTTTCCATGAGTCAGTCAAAAGCGCTTTTGTAACCAAACGTATTCAAAACTTGATAAAGGAGGTAAGTTTCTAAAGAAATTGTGGTGCTGCGTCGGTGGGAAAGCGACAAATTTAGTATTATAAACTGTGTTGATAACGAAAATTAGCCACCGTAAAGAGTTTCAAATTAAAGCTTAAAGTTTTGTCCGTTAGCCCTTCGTTAGAGCGAAAGACGAAGGGCTAACTAACGCTCGAAACGTCAGCTTTGTATTCAAAACTGGTCTACCTTGGTTTAAGCTGTTGTTCCTTTGACCTCGCTTTGCTTGTTTGTATGACTCATCAATTTTTACTTCCTCTGATTTTCCGCTAAGAAATAGAGGAACTAAAAACTGCCTGGATCAATGCTCTAATTTGAACATGTATGCCTTAACCACTTTGATTCGACTTGGAAACCACACTGGAGACAAAGAAACCAAAGACTTTAGTGAAACCAGCTATTTCTTTTTTTGGGAGGGTTAGTTAGATCCTAGTCATGTTTCAGTGTTTAAATACTACTTTTTTTTTCCAATTACCGAAAATCCTTTAATCTTTCTGTTGCGTCATAACATTATAATACAGAGGCATACTCTGTACACGTGAATCAAGCGACCCCACCGAGCGACCTTCACTGACCTTCTTCAGATACAAATGTTTTGGAACATCATGATAAAGAAAAAAGTATTGCGATAAGGAAATTTCATATTTTTTTGTTCCTACTGTAATCATTTCCGAAAATTTTACATAACTGTTCATGACGCAGAAATATTTCTTCATCGAACGAAAGAGGAGGATACACTGGCCAAAGATCAAGAGTGTTCATGAAGCCCCGCCGTGAAACACGAGATGTTGCAGCTTGGCGTTACGAGTGTACTTTGTTATGAAACATACTGAAGAGATTTAAAAAGCAAATGATCCCGCCCTCGGATATTTACGGACTAAGCTCATTCTCCACATTTTTTTATAAAATATAGCTGTCAAGTTCAAATGAATCAAATTGTTTAACTCACCAGAAAAGTTACATTAAGCAGTGTTAGTTTTTCGAAACAAACGAAAATCGACCCAAAGATTGGCACTCGTGCTACTCAGTTTGTTAGGCAACAATTCGACTTACTACACCGTGTGCCGACAAATATTTTACCCTCCTAGACAAAATACAGAAGCAATTGAAAATAGAACTGAAACACAAACCTTTGTACCACGACCTTGTTTATAACCAGAACTCCTTTTTTGCTTCAATCTCCAGAAATGATCCTCGAAAGGAAATGCTCCCAAGCAGCCTTGGAAATTCGAAGACAGACTGTTTTGGCGTCTTGCAAATCGGCGCAGGATGTGATCTTGCGCCTGACGTTTTCGTGGTTTTAGTGGGAAAAAGGCAACACGTGTTTTGTTGCTAACAGGATGAGTGACAGTTGCTCGTGGAAACTGTCACCATTATGATGGGTAAATCCAGTCAGGGTCAGACAAGGTACAAATTGCTACAGCTGATTAGATTGCATGATAAAGAAAATAAAAAGGAAAGGCTACACCGCATGCCTTAGACTACAAAAGCGCCATCATTTGGAACAAATGCAGTTAAGGCTTTTTACCTAATTCTTATTTCTTTTTTTTTCCTAACCTTCTTTTGTACTTTAATAAACAATGATGACCTCCTCCCCTCCGCGTGCGTTACATTACATGTATTATGTAACTTACACTTCGCTGCGGGTGACTCCGGATCAAGTGCAGTTTTGAATGGGTAGAAAAAGACAACTTAAAATTTCTTACTCTTTGATTGCTATTGAATCGTCTAGCTTTTTCGTTGGTCAAAATTTATTGATGCAGTATTAATCAGGTTCTGTAACGCAGCAGCGATGGTGTCACTATTTGCGAACGTGACTCTTCGTCTTGTTTACCATCGATTGTATTCTATTTTTCGATCAGACTATGCCTAGTCGCACCTTGGCTGGCGGGATATTGCCCGGGTGATGAAGAATTATCCACCGACACTCGAGCTCATTACACGAAACGGAAAAAGAACGTGCATAAGAGCGGTTTTGTGTCACATGGACGCAATTTATCAAATTTAGTACAGACTGTGAGGAGAACCTAAGTATCAACGCTACGGCATGAACGTTTATTAACTCAAGAGAAGGAATGAGACCTTTGGCAGAATGGACGTAGCGAGCCGACGAGAAGTCTGTAGAGGTCTGGCTCTGATTTATAGCAGTGGGGAGCAGAAGGGTATTTTGCGGCGCATGCGCCTGTAAATTTTGTTCGACGAGTTCGGCGCCATTGTGAGACTCTCAGCGCGCTTCTACGGGTTTTCAACTGGGTGATCGACACTTTTTTATAATACTTTTTGGAGAGGGATGAAAGAAAATGACAAGTATACCAATATATCTAACTCTGTGGGTACTCGTGGTGTTTGTTGGCCCCCCTGATGAGGATATTTTAATGATCAAAGTGCGAACAAAACACGGGAAAAGCCAGAAAACGTGAAGTTTGAGATTTGATTTACTGAAGATCAAGATGTGCAAATGAGATAGAAAACCTTTAAGGTTAGTCTTAAGATGTTGATGTTTTATTTGTAAAAATCCCAAACTTGTATGTGAAGATGCTCGTGAGATAATTATTTGATCCGATGAAAGAAGTTAATTTAGAACGTGATCTTATTTTACTTCAACTTTGAAATAAAATTGCGTTAAGTTCGAGGTGGCCCCCAAGCTTCAAATCACTTCAGATAACATCATCTTTTCTTTCTCTTTGTAGTCACACTGAACACAAGGCTTTAAAAAATGTTCCAGCTTCAGGATTAAGTTGCTCTTACTACAGCCTTCGGCGAATTCGTTTTTGGGAGGTTGAGGTGGATTTTCCAAGTCATGGCTCACAACTGTCTTTGGCCCTTTTGCTCTCCAAGTCTGTTGAACATGGTAGGTAGGCATGTGTCTTAGCACCGGTTATAGTTTGGTTTTCATCAACACCGGCTTAAGCTTATTTTTTCCTGAGTTTTAGAGGGAATTTTTTCAATTGCCCTTTTGGGCTTCAGGTGCTAAATGGAGAAAAAACTTCGATAGAACTTATTTATCTCACTCGCCCCCAAAGCCCTCACCACTGTCAGTTAATTGTTTATTTATTTGGCTTTCGGTCAAACTAGTCCAATTACCCCCCAAAAAATGCGTGGACTCTTCCTCACGAGCTTAAACAGGTGACGCTTTCTTCATGTTCATGTGTTTTACGATACGAATGACGTCGGCGTTATTCTGTCATGCTTATTTCTGAAGAATGCTTCTGCCTTGCAAAATTAATTTTAAGTCAAAGTTCAAGACGAAGCTTACAAACTAACTTAATCGAACTTGCTGTGTTACGACAAATGGCCAAGTACTCAATTATAATAATCCTGCTTGTTCTGTTTCTAATGTCTAATTGAACCTTTTTCAAAATTTATTTCAGCTTTAAAACTGCTATGTTTGAACCTAGTAATCCATTCTTCCAGTCTCACATAACCATCCTTTCTAGATATTTGACAAAGTGGCTGATATTTGCAGAGGAACTGGTCACAATAATGCCCCCCTGGAGACCATGTGTGTGACTTTAAAAAAGACAAATACTTGTTTGATTAAAATAAAGTACCATTGACTTGTCTGGTGGCACAATCAATACAGCTGTAAATGATGGATGCTTATGATGGTGTTGCATGAAGTGGTCTTCAAGGTCTCTCACAGTAAAGAAACCCAGGTCTGAAGTGATTTCAAGTTTTTTCAAATGTTTATCATTTTTTCCATGCTAAAGGACTTGTCTGACTTCCAAATTTGGTTGCTGAACTGGCAGGTTGAAAGAGTCATATGACTGATTTGCTTTTATCATGACATTAGTATACATAGGTATAGTAATGTTGTCAGGTCTTGTAACTGCGTGGGAATTTGAAGGGTTCCTTCCAGAAAATCAAGTGCAGCATGTACTGCAATTAGAGTGCAGGCATTACTACCACTAGGTCTTCCTCCAATGGAGCACTGGCAAATGTATAAGGGCAGTAGCCTCTTAGTTAGGTCAAGATGTTTGTGCAATAATGACATTTATGCAAAGAGTGGTCTGAGAATCTGGTGTTGGTAATGAAGCTGACTGGTTGTTGCAAGTACTCTGATTACTCTCATGCTGGTTTGCTGTGTGCCATGAACAAGGGCAATTTGAGCAACTAATGTCATCACTGACTGTGCATGTACCATTTTCACAGAAATAACATTTGACCTGTGCATTGTTAAGCCTCTTTTACTTTTTTTGTAGAAACTCCTTACACAGTGGACATGAAGTCGATCCATTGAGGCAAATATCATGGAATGAGTGAAAACAACCATGCAGAGGGTTCGATTCTCATCATGGCTGTAAATGTTACAGAGAGGTAAATCACATATTTTGTTTGATCCAGCTTGATATAACAGTGATACCTTAAAGGTAAAACAGTCATCTTCTTATTTTTGTTGGGGGACATTGTTGGCAGTGTGACATGAGTTGGAACACTTGAGTTGCAGTTGTTATTTGAGGAGAATAGACTCTGTCCTGGACTCTGAGAGATTTTAATAAACATGGAGGATTGTGCTTGAGCACATCTCACTTTTAGTAACCAAAGTTGGTTGTGTGAGAAAGAAAACTGCTTAGGTGTGGTGAAAAATGACCTGTAGTGTGATTGTTTACCCTTTGACTGGAAAATGGACTTTGCTTTCTTACTAAGTTCATCAGCAGAATCAGAACCTTTTTTCTGTGAATGGAGTATGCTATGAGTGTTTTCCACAGGATATTCATTCAAAATTGCAATGTAATTCCTTAGTAGATTATACACTTGTGGAGCATGTTTTTCCCCGTTGAGAGCACATGTTGATCCAAACAAGTGGTGCTTTGTTATAGTGCTGGTATTGGAGGCAAGTGAACATGATTCAAATCCTGATCTATGCTCTAAAATACTCAGACAAATTGTTAAGTTTGAAAGAAATGCTGTATATCGACAACACCAAAGGTATATAGCTGTCTAGTAAAGCGAGTAGGGTCTCGTGCTCTGCATCTTTGAACCGGGAGAACTTTGCCATCATAGTGCTGCATACAAGTGTCCAACCACCACACACAACCTCAAGAATCAGACTAATCTGATTGGGGTTATCTGCCAATTTGCTTCTTGGATAAATTGTTTCTTATACTGTTTTGAAAAATGGATGATAGGAATGAACAACATGTTCTCTGCTGTTTAAGGAAATATGAAGTGGCCCAATAGTTGGTACTAATGACAGAATGGATGGCTGTGATGTAGTTTGTGGCAAGCTGTTGTTCAAGAGATTGTCAGTAGTACCAGATGTCATTGGAAAAGAATATGAGGAATGATCAGTGAAAATATTGTCCTGTTGCAGAGGAGCATCTGAAAATCCTGGATGAGAGTTGACAAAGTTGTTAAGTGATTTGTACATGGTTTGTCCACAATAAAATTGGCATGGCCAATCCCCTGACTGTAAAACAATAAATTTCTTTAAATAGGCAGCCAAGCCAGTGTGCATTGCCACATCATATGCAGTATCAAAGTCCCCCTTTGACTTCAGTCACAGTTCTACAAAATTTAATAGGTGCAAATCGTCTATTTTGTGCATTGTTTGCACATTGTCACTGTCACAGTATTGATGAATGTTGATTCTATGTCTCTCAAATTCAGGATTAAAAAATGCCTTTGTGAGCCAGTTGGGCATCACAGAAGCATAACTCTCACTGATGTTGTGCATGGATGATGCAGCAGTAATTAGTTGTATGCAAAATACAATATCTATACCATTTTGGTCATGTGTACAAAGGGTGTGCATTACAGGTACAGCTGGAATGTCTTTGAAAGCTTTAACAACTATGGTACACATTGTCTTTGCCTCTGACAATTTTTTCTCTTGTGGCCTTCTTTTTGTGTGAATGGCTGTGAAATAATCAATGATTAGCACTATTAGCCATTTGTGATTTGTAAATGAATGAAATGACCCTTTTTTTGTTTAGATGTATGCGGTCTGTTGAATGCTGAGAACCAGTGACTGAATCCAGAATAGTGTTGAATAATTTTGTTGCACCTGCTGATATGTAAAATTCTCTAAAACTGTCTGGATCATACAAAGTTTTTGCTTTGATAACTACTATGTCATCATAAATCTTTTTCTTGACCAATGCTATTCCCTCTGTCATGTCACATCCTACATAGAGTAGGAAATAAAATTTGCATTCAAGTGAAATCTCAATTTCATATTGTTGCAAGTCATAATAATTAGGGGCTCATCAGGTAAAAGCCTCATGGTAGTTCTCAAAAACAAGTTTCATTACTACTTCTGCCACAATGTATGATATCATAGCGAGGTTAACAAAACTCTTTTCATTAATTTGATTAAGTCATCTAGTTTTGTTCAGTCTTGTTCCTGGGGGATACAAGCTATGGAAACAAGTTTGACTTTCATCCTCAATGATACTATCAGTTGTACAAGTTCGTTTTTATTGCCTGTAAAAGAGTCTCATCAGACCATCAGGTTGTTACAGAATGCTTGTTATTTAAAAAGGTTGAAGAGTAAAGTTGCTAAGCACATATCTGTCTTTGATACACATCCATTAAGTTTTTATTTGGAATTGATTGATTCATTGGGGGTTAGTGGTGGAATTTACCAGCAATATGTATTCAGTAATTTACATTTCAACAAGAAGCCCAAAAGTTTGACTGGTTTTAATACATGTATGCATATTGTAATCCTTTCAGACATTCCATTCAGAAGCTGAGGATGCCTTTGCACCTATTCCTCCTCAGATGGTGCAATTCCTATATGTTTTGGTTCAGGGGTAGTTTGGTCCAAATAAAGGGTTCAATTTTTGATGAAATTTGTCACATCATAAACTTACACAAAGATGCATTCCTTTTTTCCGAAGGAAATTTATAAGCTTCCAAATCTGAAATTTCCAAGACAAATGATTGAAAAAAGATTACCGTCACTCGCTGTTAAAATCCGTAATGTTTCCTCCATTTCTAATAAACTCTCCCCGGATACAGCTACCATCTCTCTAGTACTACTGCTATCTGACTTTTCTTTACATTGATCTTTTGTCTTTGGGTATTCGTCCTTGTTGGTTGCGATTCATGTGAACAAATTTTGAACAAAAACAACTTTGGTTAAATTTTAATTTTTGCTTATGTGGGTACTTCAAGTGTTCGATGATAACTTGAGAAAGCACTAACATGCTGAAACGAATTTCAAGTTCGCCTGTGTTCTACAGGACGTTATTTGTGAAGGATGCCCAAAACAACATTTGAATTTCTTTTTCATAACTTTTCGCCCTTTGAAAGTAACGCGGCTGGGACTTTCTCCCGCATACCACGCAACCATTTTTCGATTTTTTCGCGCTTCCAGCCAAGTAACATTGAGCAAAAAATAACAAGAATGACAAAAAACACAAATAGACGAGCCATTGTATTTTGTGCTCCACTACTACCGCATCTATTCGAAACTGGCGGGAAACAAATACGAACACGCGACGCAGGCGCATGCCAGCGGTTACTCTCAACAAACAGAAATTCTAATGGCGCATTTGCAGCAGAATGCCCCTCTGCTCTGATTTATTAATTCCAGACTCCTTCCAGACCTCTCGCCGGCTTATTGTACTTCAGGCCTTACTCAGGGGCCAGGATCTAGTAATAGCAAATGGTGAACAAACCCTTTCTTAAAAAATACGGTTAGAATGCAAAGCTTTACGTTTCACCATTGGGAAACCCAAAGTATTTCCCTTACGAGGTTTCAATTACGCAGATATAAGATTTTAACAGACCAGTGGTGCTGCAAATGCATTTTATCTCGGTGACTTATGCACTGAAACTCAGCGTCTCATTCGGAACCAACACCAGCTCCAGTCACGTCAAGTTCTGAAATAGTATTAGAAGTTAAAAGAATTGGCCGTCGCGGAGGTTTCAATTTTCAATCTCCGAACTTTCGGGTGAATCAGCACTATTACTAAGTCCACAAACGACATTTAGCATAAAAGTGCAGTCGCTATGAGGCGTTATGATTCATCCACTTGGGGTGTATGGACAATCCTGTATCTGGTGGGGCAAGCAAATGTATTAACACCTTTTTATTAAATAGCTAGCCCGTGGGCAAGATAAAGTGGAACCCGAGTACTGATTGGGTACCTGAGCGAGCAGGACGGGCCCATCTTCAGTGCCCGCTTTGATTCCATGCAAGAAATATAGACTGCATGAAGCGGACGTAATTCGTAATTTCTTGACAATGTCAGCGATAGAGTTGAAAAAGCGGCAGAAGACTGTCAAAACAAAGAAAACATAAACGACTTTAGGGGCTGCTCGTGTGTTTACTGTGCTACAACTTAGTTGGCTTTCTTTCCCGACTCACAATAAACAGGTCTGCTTATTCTTAATTCTTACTAAGTGTCATTGTCAGAGGAAACCGGGCAGGAGCAAAAGTTCGAGGTCGGCGTTTGACCTGCACCTTATTACCACAGAAAAAATACCTGAAAAAATATTTCTCAGGTGGCATTTTCAGAAGTTGGTGAGTTTTTTATTCCAAGATAAAATCTTTCATTTAATGAGGACCCTCCACGGGCATAACATAGCTTGATTTTCGGCCAACTTTTGTTGAACCTATATGAAAGAACGTTAAGTGAGAAAAACTTGCCACAGGTTTTTTCACACCGTCAACCCACAATGAACTGATTAAAGTCTAACAATCTTTCTTGTGCTGAACACTATGTTTTTAATGTCGCACTTAATATTAGCACCAAATTGAGAACGAACGTGAACCAATTTTTTTCCATTTTCGCAGTGCTGTTTGTCAAACGTGCGTGGTTTACTTTTGAAGTAAATTATTGTATCAATAGCGTGTTGTACCTTTATTAAAATACAGCACACTTAAAATTGGTATCTCTAAGTAAATCTCTATGTAAATCGCTATCGTCGAAAGTTACTCGAAAATGTCGTTCAGCAAAAAATTTTCCCGCCAAATTTTGAGAGAAGAAATAATATACAAAAAATGTCTTTTCTGGACGGTAAGTCGAAAAATTACGAGACAGTGTTCAGCAAAGGTAATCAGGTTTAGTTAGCTGTGGACGAGTATTTACTTCTAAACATAGCATAGATCTAAACGTAACATAGATTTCACTACTGACTAGCCTGGCAGGTGACGTTGTTTATAACAGCTGACACATCAAGAACTGCATGCAACTGCATGCAAACTAAATAAAACAAGACTTAAAATGTTTTCTACTGTCTGGTTGATATCACATTTTAACTCTAAAAATAAGAAAGTAACTTGTAAGTAAGGTACAACTCGATGTTTCTTCTGACTGTAAACAAAGTATTTACTGCTTAGGGCTATTTCGAAAGACACCATAGGTCTCCATTGCCGGCTGCGCCGCAATCCGTAATATTTAAGCTTATATTACAAAAAGTCAAGAAAGTAATTCGTAAATTTAACGACGGCATTCGCGTTAACGCTCATTTTCCGCACGCGTGAAACAGGTGAAACATTTAGCGTATGGATTTAAGGGTTCAATAAATGATTTCTTTCTCGCTAGTGAACCAGAGATCTCTAATTGAAGACTTTCGCACATTTCTCTCAGCTCAGCTACTTTCAGTACCGGTATGTCGAGTTTCTTCGCTTTTGAAAGTTCGCACAAGTTCCTATTTCGGACAACAATAGGATGCTGAGGTACAGTCACTTGAAGGTTTACTGCTATACGTAGATTCTCAAGAGCAATTTCATTTCCTAGCGCTTCTAAATCCGAGTCCTCCGCCGTTAATTCCTGGCTCGTAGCATTTTCACTCGTATCTTTTTCCATTTGTGTCTGTCGCTGGACTGCTGATAGCCGTGAGAAAAAAACTCTTTATCTGCTGTGCTGTTCTCCATTCCTGTGGGGTGAACAGCAAATGTTCAGCATCGTCCTTAACGATTTTCACTTTTCGAGCGACCTGAACCGGATATTCCTTTTGCCCAGTTCTACAGCCTGTCTCAAACTTCTGAACCAAATATGCTTTTACATGAGCCTCCATTCTCAATTCTTTACTGTTTTGAGTGCCCATCCATTAGCTGTTTATCTTTTTTACTCGAAGAGGGATATGGAAAAGCTAGTTCTTCTCCGGAGTTAGTTCCAGTTTCATGAAAGCCGGATACATTAACGCCAGTAAGCCTCTCGGCCCACTTTTTTCTGATGCTATCATACAGGGACTCCGATTTCAACTCTCTTACGTGTTTTCCTGAATCCATGTGTTGTTCAACCTCTTCGAGTGTTTAAAACTGAGAACACATCCAGTTTCCGTGCACGGGAAAACTTCAGTGAGAGGCCGAGTGTTTTCTGCAATAGTACCTCGTTCTTTCGTTCTGGCACAAAAAGGTTGAATTACCTTCAGTCCAGTGTCTCTTTGCCCTTCGATAATTACTTTGTCATACGGAGAACCTGGACCAACATTGTAAGCTTTCGAAGCACGGACTCCCCTTTCCTCAAATAAAAAGTTGTTCAGAAGGCTAATTCCAGGGATTTTGTTTTCCACGCCAAGCGACTTGATGTGAGCTTTCATGGAGGCAGTTTTCCTGTCGCAAATATCTTTTCCGGCTTGGGGGTCGGAAAGTCGTAGCGTAATGGTGTTACACCAGATCTTGTCCTGATGTACTGAAGACTGAGGATCAAGGGCCCACTATGATAACAATCAGCATTGTCTGACCTCAAAAAAGCTTTGTTAATTGAAGGGTACTCAATCTTGATGGTGTTGAGTAGATGCTCAATGACTGACATAACTGCGAAGCTGTTTTGCTCGCAAGTGAGGAAGAGATGCACAAAGCATTCAACTTGACATTTACCCTCCTCTTGTGAGTGTGTTACGACAGCGCTAATATGCCAGCTCCTTCCCCGTTTGCCAAAGAACTCAGACATCTGCTCCCTGTGGTGCTGCAGCAGATATTTCATCGCCCAGTCCATGATAATCAGGCATATTTCTTCGTCAAGCTGAGTAAGAGCGTTCTGTTTTGCTTATTCCTGATTAACAGAACGAAGTAAATGTGCTTTCCAGGCTTGGACTGCTGGAGAGCACTCCTTATGCTCGAAGTTTATTCTTGCTTTCGTTTCGTCACTGATGACTAAGTCATCGATCTTCTTTAGTATGTCGCAGAAATTCGAATCAAGGGAGTCACATCTATCACAGTGAATGTCCGGGTCGCTTAAGGCATGTAAGGTACAATAGTCGCTGTTGTGTTCGTTTCTACCCTCGTGCGTTTTACGGTCCGTCTTTAAATATCTTTTTGCTTCTTTCAAGCGTCGTCGCATTATTTCAGCCCAATGCTCCCCTGCCCCGTTTTCCACCAAAGTGTCGACGATTGCGCGCAGGTTGTCAAATGCTTCAGTCCCTTCCGCTATGATGTTATCAAGGCCATGAAGAGACCTGCGCATCGACGCTGAGCGAATGTCGAGCATTCTAAACAGAGAACGTGTACTTGCTGGCTCAAACTGTTGCTCTCTGCAGTAATTTGTGTGCTGTTCGATAATTCTAGAGGGAATCAAGGTCTGCACAATAGCTGGAATGATAATGCATTCGCCAGAGTCCAGCTTAAGAGTTTTTGTTCCAAATACAACGTCTTGATGCAGCTGTGGTTGTGAAATATAGCTTATGAATGATCAACTTTTCCCTTATCAATTATTTTTCGGAAGATTGTTTGTTTGGGAACAACTTGTCCTTTTCCTGCCTCAGTGGCATGCTGACGAGCCTGGTCAATTCTCCACTAAGTTAAACCAGGGATTAACGTTTTCAATTCCATGTGGCTAAGTCATTTGCGAAAAGAGATAGGATCTTGCGTTTAGTTTACCACGACTCCGCTTTATCATAAGTTTTGATCAAGACATCAATGAGCCCAGTGTTTGTGTCGAAATGCTCTCTTTTGGATGAGCTACTCTCGTCCCACTCGATTATGTCTGAATCATTTTAGATACATTTCCAAAGGTCTTTTTTCTTGCCCAGGAGGCGTTTGAAGTAGAAAGGATGGGACTAAAGCGTCCAATTTTCAGGTTTCCCAAAGCATCATTTAGTGCCTGTCGTCTCTCATTTTGGATTTCCTTCTCGTCGCACCAAATGCTTACCTCTTCCTCAGGAACACTGATTTGAGAGGCCTGCGACAACGGAGTCTTGTCTGCGTCTTCGTCAAGTGGCTGTACATCTTCAATCATGGTGGCTGTACATCTTCAATCATGGTTTTCTCCTGGAGTTGTCACATTTGCCAAGAAGACTTAATTCTAAACAACAACAAACAACAAAAATTTTCGATTACCAGCCAAGCACTGGTCCAATCCTGGACACGGATTGGCAATCTCCGTCTTTTATACAGAACTTATGCCCTGAAGAAAGACTGCACACCAGTTTCCTTATTGATCAAATCAAAACAAACTAGAAAACATCGAAATATTAGATCACCAGCCTCTGCTGGGGAAAATAAATCAGCAAGGGCGAAAATAAATCGGCGAATGAAGCGCGCCAAGCGGTAGTCTGGGTATGGGAAAGGGTGGCACCTTGTTTCCCCTCATTTTTTGCCTTTTTTTCCCACTGTGGAGCTTAGTCCCAGACAATAACGTTATTTATTTTGCACATCTTAATTCGTGCGAACGAAGTCATGTTTTTCACAAACTAGTCCTTACTACATAAACGCCACTTAAATAGGCTACCTCCGAGTTTTAAAAATGAGGCCAAGTGCACAACCTTTCTCGTGAAAATGAGTTATTTACATGAGTATGAGCATGAAAAATAATTGCCATGTTAAAGGCTGACCACTGAACCTCGTTTTGATATAGAGGCCTTAGAGAACTCGGAAATGGTCTATTATTCCTCAGAAAATAAATAATGTAAACAATAGCATAAAATATGCAGCCATCATAGAAGAAAATATTTCAGTTGCTTCAGCTGTTGTTGATGGAGTCATCGTGAGCTTGAATCCCCTCATGTCAAATTTTTGACGAGGATTTCTCGTCAAAACAAACGTTATACGAACATGGACTTGGCTATCCCCCTTGGGTTAGAATTTAGGGAGTCAGACCGGGCTTCGGAGACTGCTTGGGTTCAAATCCCTTCGTTCACGTGTTTTTATCATTGCAATTATCACGTTGTTTTCCTAATTTTAATTTCATCGACAGTTCCAATTATATAATGTAAACTTCTAGTAAACGCCAGTAATTAGTAAGTCAGTCCTCGCTTTCGTTCTTTACTGGACTTTATACTATGCTATTAAGCTGACCTGATCCATGCCTTCATCCAAATGTACATTAAAATCACTTTTCTCGCGCTTTTTATAGTGTTCCAGCCTACGACTCGTGTAGATTGCTATCAAGAGTAATCAACAACAGGAAACAATCAGAATTGGAGCCTACTCATTTTCAAGTGCCACACCCGTACACCTCCCTCCCAGACACTTTAGTGGCAATGAACAATTCAAGAAGATCACAATTTCTTTTTGCTACACCAACAGTATTTTTAGTTTTAATTTTTGTATTGACATAATGCATGTTTACTGAAAAGTTTGTGTGAAGAGTTTAACATATAACTGATAATACTCTCACCAGTCCAATTTTTGTAAGAGGCATAATTCGCAGACTTCATATGGCACGCGCGCAAACAACAACTTTAAAATAACTTTTAGACAAGATTGGTTTTTGATAAGCGTGAACGTTATCAACTTCGCTTTGTTCTATAGGCGTTTTTTATTCCATTGGCATATATGTTTTGTAACTCGTGCAATATTAGTGAATCGCCATTACATGGTTTTGTGCTGTTTACTTTGGCTCAATATTACATGCCTCTAAAAACTAAATTACTTGCACATGAATGAACAGTGCAATGAACCGCACGTATAAGACGTCCCATAACCTAAACAACGAGTACGCGAGAATTAACGAAATGTATAAAGAGAAGTCTTCACTCACCTGCCCCGATAGGAAGAATCTCCTTGAACTCAACAAATATTTCTGTGGGTATTTTTGCATTAACACGCCTAGGGAGACTAAGTAGCTTTTTTAACCTCTGATGAGCCGGGTAAGAGCAAATGTAATTCTTACGGCCAGGCCAGTCAGTAGTTAATTGTTTTCTATGTTTGAGGCGAATGGTTAAAGCCTCTTTATCATCCTCTCTTAATATGCCAATACGTCCCGCCCGGTTTATAATCAGTTCCGAGTTTGCCTCTCCTCGACCACGCTTTCCACTAATTCCAAGACTTACGAGGTGCGAGGTCATATCTCGTTTGCACGCCAACAGTGGAAAAATAGTGGATCGTACTCCACTCTCAGAACACGAGGATTCTTCCGTTGAAAACGGACAATTCATGATTACAGATTTAAGCTGACCATTATCCAGTAAAGTAGACATTCCTTCCTCGGAAGGCTTACGTGACAAATTAAATCAATCTACATGCAGGTGAAAACACACTGATCTTATTACGGTATTATGTAAACAACAGTTTTTTTCCGTAGACATCAGTAATTAAACACAATTCTACATCTTTTTTCTTATAATTTTGCTAATTGCACTGTTCAGCAAAGATGGACGAAGTAACGTCGAATAAATTCAAAGGGTTCGACGTAGCGTGACACAGAAAATATTTCGCGGGAAAGTTGGACCAATTTTATATCATCAGTCGAAATCTGATTTTATTAAATTAAACGCATCTACTTTATCAAGATGAAAATCTAATAGCCACTACAACAAGTGAAAGAGATTAAACCTGATCACCTTCTGGAAGGCCTTGCTGAGGATGTGAGCTCAATGCTGATAGAAGTTGATGGAAAAAAATTCGTTGCTGAAAATTTGGCGGGAAACTTTTTGCTTCACGTTATTTTGGTGGAACTTTCCAAGTCAGTAATTCCGAGTTGCTGAGAGATACCATTTTTAAGTTTGCTGTATTTCAGTAAAGGTTTAATCAGGCTGTCAAGAACAGTAACTTTCTTTAAAAATAAATCGCGCACTTTTGAGAAAACATAGTGTAAAAATGGCAGAAATCTAGGTCTGGTTAATTAACGACTTGGCGGTGATATTAAGTACGACATGAAAGACATGGAACTGGGACAAAAATTGAAAATTATATTTTAATCGGTTTATTATAGGCTAAAGGTTCCAAAAAGAGAAGGGCTATTTTTTTCGCTTCATGCTAATTCTTATAGGTTCGACAAAAGTTGGCCGAAAATCAAGATATTTCATGCCCGTTGAAGGCCCTGATTTCAAGAAAATTTTTATCTTCAAACAAAAAAAAACTCCAACTTCTGAAAATACCACCGTTGATAATCTTTTCAGGTGTCTTTTACATGGTTAAAGGTGGAGGTCAAACGTCGACCTCGATCTTTTGCTCCTGCCCGGTTTTCTCTGACAATAACACTTAAAGCTAACTAAAGTATTTTTCCCGCATAATAAATCACTTATTGGTCAAAATGGTTGTATATTAGCGTTGCCCTTTTTTTATTTGATTTTTTATTGGCCTCGACTCCCTCTCAGCCCAGCCATATTGACCTCACGATTGGTCGATAATTATCCCATATAGAGCAATTTTGCTTAAAAAAAAAAACCTTCAGTTTACTTTTTTCTGTTAGCTAAGTCGAAACTAATTCCAGGGCATTTTTATCGCGATCTGTTCGCGCTAAGTTGCTCGAATATTGTAAGAAAGCAAAAATTTGAATAAATATATAAATGAATTGTTCTTATCAAAAGGAAAAACAAAGACAACAAAATGAAAAGTATTGGTCTCCCATTTGTAAGGATAAGAATGAGAAATGATTATGCGCGGACACCTGTATTCGACAAGAACAAAAGTAAAGACAGAAAAAAAGGAAACAAAGCAAAGCATAACGAAATACAATAGTCTCTATATCTGTACATACCCTATTCATCCGCATAAGTTAAGGCCAGAGAAAAGTATGTTCGCTTTGGAAAGCAAAATGACATACGTCACCCTGGTAGAATGGGGAACATGAAGAGATCACCTTGACCCTGAGCCATAGCTGCTGGCTGGTTTACGTCGTAGGACACCACGTTAACGTTAATAATACGATTTACTGACTGAGTGGAAGGGCCAGGCGGGAAGATATTTGGCTCGAGGCCATGACGTAAGAAAAGAGCATGGCCAGGTCCATGCTTCATGACCAAGTGTGAAATTTTCTCCCGTCCGTTTCGACCAAACTCAGCCAATGATATCGGTTTTTGCTTTGTCTTTGGGATAATGGGAGGGAGTGTTTGTGACTTCAACCACGATTTCGACCGAGGTGAGAAAGTAAGGCAGTCTACATTGGCAGACTCTAATTCATCTTCATTACACTTACGTTCCAAAGCCACATGTTGAATCAAAGTTTTCTGGGCCACTTGGTATCTAAAATTGAGTTTTAACGAGGATACACATGATCATTCATGGTATTCAACAAGAAACAGCAGTTAAACTCAAACATGTAATGAGCAATACTTGGTAAAAAACGGCATTAGTCATTTTGCAAAACATCAACTCTAAAAGTTGATATTAGATGGTTCTCAAGCGTCACTTGAGAGGTCTTTTGCTTTTTTAGACAGTTTCGGTCAACTGTCTGGCCTGCGAGTTAATTGTGGAAAAACCGAAGTTCTCTGGATAGGATCAAAGAAAGGGTCAAATCAAATTATGTGGCCAGATAAAAACTTGAAATGGGAAGATGGTAGAGTCAAGGCTTTAGGTGTTTGGTTTTGTACGATCCAAAATGAAGAAATGAAAATGAACTATGAAGACAAGGTTCACAAAGTTTAAGATATTCTTAACAATTGGCAAAACAAGAGATTAACGCTTCCTGGAAAGATTACAATTATAAAGAAGTTGCCTGCATCCCAATAGGTCTACATTTTGTCCCCATTACGTACATGTTTTAAATCGTTAAAAGAAATAAATTATTTGCTTTTCAAATTTCTCTGGGATGGAAAAAGGGACAAAATCAAACGGTCTGAAATGATTGCTGACTATGGCGATGGTGATCAAAAAATGTTGGACATCATGGCATTCAATAAGTCTTTAAAGATCGCTTGGATAGTAAAGTATATTTCTGATGATTTTAAATCCAAATGGAAATTTATTTGGGATTTATTTCTTTCAAAATGGGGAGGAAAATTAGTTTTTCTTGGGAACTTGGAAAAAAAAGACGCTACCAGACATGATATCATGGAGAACTTCCTCCGAGAACTTATCGAAATCTGGGTGGACTTTAATTTTTAGAAACTCTTTCTTCGCCGAACACGACTTTTGTTGTAGTAATATAATATGGAATAATTCATCAGTCAGAATTGCTAATAAGCCTTTTTTTATAAGCACTGGGCAAAAGCTGGTGTACAAAATATCAAAGATCTTGTTAACGATGATTTTAAGGTCATAACTTATGGAGAGTTAAGAGAGAAATATTGCTTATCTGCCTCTTTCCTTGAATTTTATGGAGTGACCTCAAATTTCTCCACATATGTATAGCGACGAATTCCTCTCTATTTAAAAAAGAAATTTTGGAGACTGCTCTCTGTTATTTGTGCAAAACAGACAAGGAAACATTAATCCATCTTTTCTGGCAATGCTTGGTAACCAAAACTTTTGGGGAAGGGTTCATTGTTTTTTCGTTTCAATTCATTTGATACCAGCCTCATACGTTTTGGATATCTATGAATATTTAGGTTTTAGAGGAGAGAAAGATGATATTTTAATAAGCCATTGTTTTCTCCTCGCAAGGTATTATATTTATTGCTGTAAATTTAAGAACATATCTTCATCTATCAGAGAATATGCGCAACAGCTGAAATATAATTTAGAAATTGAAAAACAAATATCTATCGTGACTGATTCACAGAATAAATTTCAACAGAAGTGGAACAAAATACTTCATGCACTATAATTGCTATATAATTTGCGGGCGGGCTCCAAATGTGAGCCTGCTCGTAGGTTATATCTTGCTCTCCTTATGCTGATCTTAAGCCTCTGAAAGGCAATTTTTTGCTAAACGCTGTAGTTCTGGGTTTTTTAGCCCTTACTCTTATCTATCCCACCCACAATTTAGCCTTTTTGTCTCTCGTAACTGTTAATTTTTTGTGAACAAGTTTCTCTTTTTTGTGTGTGTAAATGATGTGCCTCTCAATACGTGTGCATCATTACGTTGTACGTAGTGTGAGTACAGCAATTTAAGTAGCATAAATATTCATTTTATCTTAAGAGCACTGTAAGTAAGTAGTGTAACGCAATATGCGAAGAGAGTCCCGTGAAAGGGATCTTAATATAGTGAATGTAAGTATCATGTTGTAAAAAAAAAAAAAAAAAAAATGCACTCACCAACCTTGCACGCACGCACACGCACGCACACGCACCCACCCGTGGACGTTTCTTAGATCACAGCTCTTTATGTGCATACATACATGAAACTGCCTTTCTTGAAATTTGCAGCAGAAGCAAAAATAGAAAGCTAAGCGACTACAAAATGAAGAACGCAAAACGCTTATTGTATTCAATGGATCCAAGAGATCATAACTCTAGGTGGACATGGACCAACGTATAATTGTATAAATGATAGACTCTGAAACCTTCTTTAATTTCTATGATAACATTTTAGTGTACCTGAGAATGTACTTGGGCAGTTTGATCCGAAAGGTAAAAATATTATTTATTTATGGAATGATTCGCCTATAATCCAGCTCACAGCTTTACCTTCAAAATGCATCATTTCTTGTTCACCTTCGTCTGCAAATTTTCGCGCTGCGATGTCGCCGTTCTCTTCGACAAAGGGAAAACACGCTGTCGGTTTAAAGCAATGTACTTCAGCGCCTTGAAGGTGATCGTTGTTCTTGGAGCTAATGGTCACTACCAAAGTCTAACCGCCACCTATTTATATCAATATTACAAAATAAACATTACAATCATTTTAACTGCATGGCTAATAGAAGCATTTCGATAAAATAGCCAAGGACTGTGTAAAAGAAAAAAGTAAAAACACATAAATTGAATAGATACATAAACATATGGGAAAGTAAGCAAAGAATGCCAACAACAACAACAACAACCACGTCCACAGCAACGATTTTGCATGATCAGGGACATTACAGAATAAACACTGCTCTCATTTCAACTGCACGGCTAATAGAAAGATCTCGATAGATTAGTCGAGCAAGAAAAGTAAGAACACATAATCTGAATAGACAAATAAACAGATCAGTAAAGTAAGTAAATAACGCCAACAACAACAACAACCACGTACATAACAACGATTTTTCATGGTCAGAGAGTTCTTATTGGCTGAACAATTGTTTTCTTCTTAGTTGGATTTTTTCGAGCTTTTCTAATCAGTTATCTTTTATATTCTAGATCAAAACCGGTTAAATAGGTTAGATTAGCTACAAGATCCAACACAATGGATCATAGTGACTGCTCTTGGGTAATGTTTCAGTCTTGTCAGCTATGGTGAACTTGATTGAATAGAGTGACAAAAAACTGAAAATGGCTCAGCAAGAGAGAATTGAAAACATTGATTTTCCAATAGATTCTAAGGCCTAAGTTAGCCGTAATAAAATGAAAGGAATTATTTGACTTGGGGCTTACCTTAGTTCGTCATATCACAATAAACCTGAACTTCTCTGTTCCCAATCGTTATTCAATAATATCCACTTTCCACCTGAGACCATTCTTGCTGTATTGCTGCACAAGACTGGAAGCGAATAAAAACTTTTGCTGGGTTTTCAATTTGAAAAAAGAAAAGAAAAAAATATACCGTTTGTTTTTTGTGTCGAGCGCCAACCTTGACTTCACTATTGATCTTATCATGTTTATTATTTCCAAAGAGAGAGAGATAAATAGAGATAAATCATTACAATGCAGATTTTTTCGCAATCAAACGAAGAAACATTGGGAATGTATTAAACGGACAAACCTTGGGTGACTCAGACACGCCCAGTCGATAAATCCTGTTTTTGGTCCATAATCCTTTGGGTGGGCATGTTTTCCTGCGTCATTCAAGTCACATGACTTATCTTTTAAACGAAAGTTCAAACTTTTGCAATGGATCTTAGTTACACTCGTGGTCACAAACTCAGAAAGACTGGAGACAAATTATGGTGGACATCACGTGACTAGATAGTTGGTGGCCGCTTATTGAGTAAGCTGAAGGACGGCATTTTCCGAAGAAGTTGAGGATCTTTGCCGAGCATAAAATGACCAGAAAAGGGGAAAAAAGCTGCATCACACAATCAATTACTTGGAAATTGATCACATCATAAAACTCAGATGAGCTTCGAAGTTTTAAAGAACAACTGAGATATTACGAGGGCCCTAATCAGTCAAAAACCTATCGATTACTGCACTGATAAATCCAAACTTTCCTTATGTACTCCAGACATCCTGCGTGGGTTATAACCCCGGTAAACCGATAGGTAGAGCAGTCTTTGCATAAATAACACACGAAAATGAAGTCCCTCCAAGAAATAAAGTCAACCTACCGAATCGATCATAACTAAATATACAAATATACAATGATCCCCAAAACACATAACTCCGATATTTTTTTCGTCTAAATGAAGTTGTGCAAACCTTTACTTCGCCCGAAGTCGAAGAAAACCGACAGAATTGAAACCCTGTACATCTTTTAAACTTTCAACACTCTGCTTATTGAAAAAAAAAAGTCTTATTCACGGGGAAAACAGTGTACTTTTAAAGATTTATGCAAAAGTTAATCAGCTTTCTAAGAAAACTTTAAGCACAATTTTGTATCATGCATAATAACAAAGAGTTTCACGTACTTGAGCGAGAAGAATATCGTCAACTGAAGGGAACTGAAGTTGATTTAATGCGGGTTACCTGTAAACTACAAACCTTCTGGTATTCGGGAAGCTCATTCAGGCCTTTGTTTCGATGTAATCGTACAAAAACTTGAAGACAAGTAGACTCGAAAGCAATCCAACTTTTGTTTTTCGAAAAAGTAAGTTATTTTTCAGATATTTTAATTTGCGAGGCAAGGCCTGGGCATCGGGCAATTAAAAATGAATAAACCATTGTAATCCGGTACATGACGATACAAACCTAATTTATTTGAACGACTTGTCTTAGCGACAGATGGTAGATCTCATAACGTAGATGATGAAATAAACCGATAAACTAAAACTTTCACGAAGGACAAGACAAGTAAATTGAATGAAACGGAAGTGACTGATTTGTGATCTGCCCGAAAACATAGAGCACTTTCATATTGGTTGAGGAGGAGAAGTAAGTAAATCAAGGGGACTTGGTTTACTTACTTAAAATTAATGAGTCAACTTTGTTTTAATTCTCTAAGCGCCAAAAATTATCTGTCAAAGGGATATGTCAACTTGACTTAATCGCAACCATCTTGAATAGGCAAATTGTAGAAAAACATTTATTTAAAGGAAAGAAATAAACTTACCCTCACAAATTGTCGAAAATTGAGCCCGATATAGAAGCTGGAACTGTTCTTTGTTTTTATTTTATCTTTTTCTTCCAAGAAACGCAATCAATGATTCAATCAATTATTCATTACCTTTACTTTAGATTCTAATTATAATAAGTACAATACATTGTCTTGAAATCTTGACCTATATTAGGTTTTTGCTTTTTTGTGGTTTGGTTTGAAGTTACCTGCTCCAGAAAAAACTGCACAAGAGTCATCACAACAACTTGCTTTTTCAGGAAATAAATGAAAAATGTATGTTTCAAACAGCGACAACAATAATTAACGAAATTTGGTTTCTTCCAAGAATCATAACCCGGGGCTCAAGTTCTTTGTTACAGGTGTAAGTTCGTACTTGGCTTTATGTGCAGTTACATGATGCAAACAGTTGCAACACTGACTCGATCTTGTCGACTGACCGTGTGATCCCGAAGGCACCCGAGGAAATCCTCTCAGCATTCATGGTCAAAAAGCAAAACTCTCTGCACAAGGCGAGGAGCTTCATATGCCAGAAGGACCTTGGAATCATACAATGCGGGCGTCGGCAGAGAAGGTTTAATTTGAGTTTGGATTGTATGTGGTGTGGGTGACCTATATCTCAAGAGGTATACAAATGTAAGAGATATAATAATGCGCTTCGAAAAAGGTTGCAAGGGAAATTTATTTTGTCTCATTACTACTTTTGCTGTATTTACAGACAGTTATGTGTCGTAGCGCTTAAGTTTTTTATTTGCGCTCTCATTTCAGTTGATTTCTTGTTAAATGAAGTTGACTTTTCCAAGTTATGCTGCATTACGCATCCTTACTATGCATAACTGTTTCAAAGCAAACTAGCGCGCGTACACAATAAGAGGTGACTTTTTCTCCAGGGCCGTAGATCGCTTAAGACTTAAATCATAATTTCTCCCAAACGAGGACAGTGACCTATGTTTTTTTTTTCTTTCTTTGATTTGAGCAAAACCTTTCCTCAAAGTAAGAAAATGAACAATTTTCGGAAACCCGAATCTAGCAAGTATACTAAATATAATTGTCACGATCTTATAGGAATCATATGGGTATCTAACAACGCCAAAGGAGGAAACGGGCCATAAATTATCCTTCAAGATTTACATACCTATAAGATGATCGATTGACTAGGTAAAATATGGCAAAAATCTGGGTGCAGGTTTTATACGATAGCAGGGACCGTAAAAGTCTAATTATTTTATTTTCTAAACTCGTGATCTGAGATAGCTTAAGAAAATTTTGTTTTAAAGTAATACTACATTTAGATAAAAAGCAAAAAAATTATCTTTCGTTTTTAGGCGTAGGCGTGCCTCATCACAGGACATTAGTAACGATAAAACAAAATCAAAACAAAACATATTCCTCCAAATCTCTCCCAGATAGGATTACTTTACAAACAACATCCGGCACTTGTGTAGGGAGATTCTATGGCTATTGCCGTAGCACAGTTGATAACCATAAAATGCTCGTCTTTGAGGGTCTGTTGGATGAATGAGATAAAATTTGAAATAATGTGATTGGAAAGTATAATTCGTGGTTATACCATCAGACTTCATTCCGGTTTTTTACTGATTGATTCATAGAATGCTGACATAACTCACCATATTCCACTGAAGCAGTGTTATTTTACAAACAACATCCCTGAGTTGTTGAGGTAGATTCCATGATTATTTTCGACGTGGCACTGTGGATAACCATACAAGGCTCGCCTTCCATGGTCTGTTTTCGAATGGCATGAGATATGAGAGTCAGGGGCTATTTGAAAACACATGATTTTGCTATCGAAGTTTGGTACTCCCCCGACTCAAACGTTAATCTATTATAGAAGGTCTTACATCTCGTCATGTAACATTAGGTAGAAAGGCATTGTTAAAGTAAACCTCTCAAGTTTCACCCAAAAGCAGGACGAAACAGGCACTTGCGATTTGCTATCAGGCCATCACTTCTCCCACCATAAGAATATTATACAGTCTAAATTCTTTGGCCCCTTAGAGTGACTAGCGACATATTATCCTTATCAGCACCTTTCTAAATGTATCGAGAATAAGATGGAATATATGCTGGCTACTGATGTTAGAGGATAATCGTTTAAAAATCATTTATTAACCAGCTATCGATTAGAATTGATTTTGCAACTGAAATGAATTGCCATTTACTCCTACATTTTGATGAACCCCACGGATGGTCACACTCCCCATCGTCATGTCCGTCGAAGACTTGTGACAAGAAACAAAAAGAGTCAAGGTAAGTGGTTTAAGAAAGGGAAGAAGAAAGGGGTGATATTTAAAATGCTCACTTATAGTTACGCCCAAAAGAGGAATTTTTATTCTTATTCTGAGATAAGGGGGTGAGGGGGCTGGAGGAGGGAGGAAGTTGTTCCCAGTAGCGTCCTCAAAACTGATTTCACGTGTTTCTTCAATTGGCGCAATCTCTCACATCTCATTGCAACCAAAGTCTTGGATATATGAATTGGAAATTTTTGTCCATTTTTGTATTAAATACTTTTAAAGTAAAAAACATGGACCTTAGTTTCAAAATTTCATCGCTATATTAGCTTAATTCCGCCACCAGATGGCGAATCCTATTTGAACTGTCTCTGGTTATTCTCTGTCTTCTAAGTGTTTTATTACAGACGAGGACGAGAGTTCATAACTCATCATCGCATATCAACATTTCTATTACCTCTGTGGCAACCGCGGTGTATGCGGTAGCCGACGTCAATATTTGTACAATTGTTTGTCTCCCATTGATAAGGATAAGAATGAGAAATGATTATGCGTGGACACCTGTATTCGACAAAAACAAAAGCAAAGATAAAAAAAGGAAACAAAACGAAGCGTAACAAAATACAATAGTCTCTCTTTTTGGACTTACTCTATTCATCTGCACGAGTTAATTCTTGTGTTCGCTTAGGAAAGCAAAATGACATAGGTCACCCTGGTGGAATGGGGAACATAAAGAGTTCACCTCAACCTTTAGCTTTAGCTGCTGGATCGTTTACATTTAAGGTCACCTCGTTAATGTTAATCAGGCTAGACTTATTGACTGAGTGGGAAGGCCAGGCAGGACGAGATGTAAGAATAGAGCACAGTCAGTGCTTTATGACCAAGAGTAAAAATTTTTACCGTCCATTCCGACCAAACTGGGCCAATAATATTGGTTTTTGCATTGTCTTTGGGACTTTGGGATAATAGAAGGGGGTGTTTGTGACTTCAACCACAATTTTGACCGAGGCGAGAAAGGAAGGCAGTCTACATTGGCAGACTCTAATTTATCTATATTACATGCACTTACGTTCCATAGCCACATGTTGAGTTAAACTTTTCTGGGCCACTTGGTATCTAAAATTGAGTTTCAAAGAGGATATACGTAATTACTCGTGGTGTTCAATAAGAAACAGCAGTTAAACTCAAACATGTCATAAGCAATACCTGGTAAAAAACGGCATAAGTAACATCCTTTTTCAAAACATCAACTCTAAAAGTTCCTGGAAAATAAAATACGTGTCAAGGTTAGAGGTGAAAAATCATCTGCAATGGAATCTGCATAAATCAAATATCTCCAAGCTCTCTATGTGCATACCGTACATGAAACTTCCTTTCTTGAAATTTGCAGCAGAAGCAAAAAAAAAGACTAAGAGAATAAACAAAGTAGAACGCAAAACGCGGCTAATTATATTTAATGGACCCAAGAGATCTTAACTCCAGGTGAACCAACATATATAGAAATATATATAAATGATAGACGTTGAAACCTTTTTTTTTTCCTATGATAACATTTTATTGTATCTGAGAATTTCTTGGGCAGTATGATCCGAACAGTAAAAACATTAATCATTTATTGAATGACTCGCCTTTAATCCAGCTCACAGCTTTACCTTCAAAATACATCATTTCTTGTATATCTTTGTCTGCTAATTTTCGCGCCGCGATGTCGCTGTTCTCTTCGACAAAGGGAACGCACAATGTCGGTTGGAAACAGTGTACTTCAGTGCCTTGAAGGTGATCGTTGCTCTTGGAGCTAATGGTCACTACCAAAGTCCAACCGCCACCTAGATATATCAACATTACAAAATAAATCTTACAATCATTTAACTGCATGGCTAATAGAAGCACCTCGTGTAAATAGCCAAGGGCTGTTCATAAGAAAAAAGTAGAAACACATAAACGGAATAGAAAAATAAAAATCTGAAAAGTAGGCAAAAAATGCCAACAAAAACAACAACAACAACAACAACAAGCACGTCCACAACAACGATTTTGCATGGTCAGGGAGTTCGAATTCCTAACTTTCAGTTGGCTGAACAATTGTTATCATCTTAGTCGGATTTTTGCCAGCTCTTTTAATCAGTCATCTCTTATATTCTAGATAAAAATCGGTTAAGTAGGTTAGATCATTTAAAACCATTGCCGGTTCCTCGATATTTAACAGTAGGAAAATAAGGCTTAATTCAATTATAGTAAATTTCCCACAAAAATATGAAATCGTGCCTGAAACCAATTAGTTGACTTGGGCTTACCGTAGCTCGTCATATCACAATAAACCTGAACTTCTCTGTTCCCAATCGTTATCCAATAATATCCACTTTCCGCCTGAGACCATTCTTGCTGTATTGCTGCACAAGACTGGAAGCGAATAAAAACTTTTGCTGAGTTTTCGATTTGGAAAAAAAAAAAATCGTTTGTTTTTCGTGTCGAACGTCGAACTTCAATTTACTATTGATCTCAACATGTTCAATTTTCGAACAGAAGAGAGAAATAGAGATAAATCATTAAAAAATATAGGTTTTTTTTCACAATAATTAACAAACGGAGAAGCATGGCCTGTGTTCTGTCTTGTTGTAAAGCGGGCAGGAAGCGGCTGGAGCACGAAAGAAGTGCATTATTTTCAATTTTCAAAACAAATTTTATTTCCAAAGCGAACAACAGCGTCGTCAGTATGCACTATACCCTAATAAAGCACGTTACGATAAGCCAATCAGAATCATTGTTAGAATGGTTCAAATAATCTGATTTATTACAAGACTTAAGCTGACAAAAATGTCAAACCATCAAAGTTCAAAAACCATCAAAGTTCAAAAATCATCAAAGTTCACAAATCATCAAAGTTCACATATCATAAAAGTTCACAATCTGCTTTAGGTTACAAACTGAAATAGTTCGGCAGGTCGAATTTAACACGTTTGCCTGAATTCTTTAAGTCTCTATCACAGAATCTGAAAGGGACTTGTTCAGTGAAATCCGGCCGAATCGAAGCTCATAAAAACAAGCAAGTTTTTTCACATGTCAATTAGAAAACAAACTGTTCAAGGCTTTTGTTTTATGAACGAACGACAGTCGAATCCACAGAAACATGAAGATTGCTCAGGATAACAGCGTCAGAAAACTTGCCTTCTGTGACAGATATGGCATTCCACTCAACACATCAGAAAGGGTATTAGAGCAAGCTCTTAATAGTTCACTCGAAGGGCGGCCGATGTAATTTGTGAGGCTTCTTCACTGCGATGACCGGAGATCGCCATGATGAGCTAGCCACGATAGACCTTAGCATGATTCATGATTAGTGTGAATTTTAACAGTTTTGCCAGTTGGCCATATTTTTCATTCCTGTTTTGTTCTGTTTTTTTTTTTTTTTGAACATGAAACTATATTTACTGTACGAGTGTTAGCTGTGCTTTATTTTTATCACCTTCAAAACTCATCCATTTCGTTTTCTCTTTGAGGATTTTCGTCTCTGCTCACGTTATGATAACATAAATCACGGCGCTTAGCGTATAAACAAACCTTTTTTTGGTTCTTCTGTCGCAATTTGCCGTCTCCCTTGTTCCGAAATTCACTTTCAATTAACGAAAAAAAAGCTGGAAAAAAAGACTGGGAAACAGTCGGGCATAGTACAATTTGGCAGATGGCGTGAAAGCTTAGCTCAACTCTATGTTCTATACTCCGATAGAGAACGTTCTTTTAACCAATGACAGCGCGCGTTACATCCGAACTTTATTATAGAACGAACCAGCATTGGGAATATAATTATTGAAAGGACAAACCTTGGGTGATTCAGACACATCCATGTAGATACATCCTGCTTTCGGTTCATAATCCTTTGGGTGGGCATGTCTTCCTGCGTCATTCAATTCACATGACTTATTTTTCAAACGAAAGTTTAAACTTCTGCAGCGGATTTTAGTTACACACGTGGTCACACACTCAGAAAGACTAGAGACAATCATGGTGGACATCACGTGACCAGACAGGTAGTAGCCGCCTATTGAGTGAGTCGAAGGAGCACATTTTCCGAGGACGTTGAGGATCTTTGCTGAACACAAAATGACCAGAATAGGGAAACAAAGCTGCATCGCACAATCAATTACCTGGAAATTGATCACATCATAAGACTGAGATGAATTTCGAGGTTTTAGAGGACAACTGAGATATTATGAGGGCCCTAATCAGTCAAAAACCTATCTTTTATTGCACTGTTTAATCCTAACTTTCCTGATGTTTTTCGAACATTCTGCGTGGGTTATAACCCCGGTAAACCGAAAGAAAGTGCAGTCTATTGCAAAAATAACACACGAAAATGACGTTCTTCCAGGAAATAAACTCCACCTACAGAACTGACCTTAACTAAATCTAGAAGTCAACTATTATCCTCAAAGCACACAACCCCAAGATGTTTTTTCTGTTTAAACGGAGTTGTGCAAGCCATTACTTCCCCTGAAGTCGAAGACGAAAAATATGATTTACACCTTACATTGTTTAAAGAAAAAGAAAGCCTTATTCACCGAGAAAAAAGTGTACTTTGAAGGACTCGTGCAAAAGTTGATCAGGTTTCTAAGAAAGCTTTAAGCACAATTTTGTATCATGCATAATAACAAAGAGTTTCACCTACTAGAGTGAGAAGATCAATTGAGGGGAACTGAAGTTGATCTAAAGCGAGTTAGCTGTGAATTACAAACCTTCGTGAATTCGGGGAGCTCAACCAGCCTTTCGTTTCGATGTAATCGTACAGAAACTTTAACTCAAATAAACCCCACAGCAATCTAACTTGTGTTTTACAGAAAGAGGAAGTTCTTTTTCAGATCTTCTGCGTGGCAAGGCGTGTGTGATTAAAAATTAATCAACCATTGTAATCCAACACATGAAGAAACAAACTCAATTTATTTGAACGACTTGTTTTAGCGACAGATGGCTGGAGATCTCATAACAAAGATGAGGGGAATTGGAGTTGATCTAAAGCGAGTTAATTGTAAATTACAAACCTTCAGGCATTCGGGAAGCTGAACCAGGCTTTTATTTCGATGCAATCGTATGGAAACTCAACAGAAATAAACTTGACAACAATCTAACTTGTGTTTTGCAGAAAGAAGAAGCTCTTTTTAGAACTTTTGCGTGGCAAGACGTGTGTGATTAAAAATGAATCGACCATTGTAACCCAACACATGAAGAAACAAACTAAATTTTTTTATATGACTTGTTTTAGCGACAGATGGCTGGAGCTCTCATAACAAAGATGAGGAGAATTGGAGTTGATCTAAAGCGAGTTAGTTGGAAAATTACAAACCTTCAGGCATTCAGGAAGCTGAACTAGGTCTTTGTTTCGATGCAATCGTACGGAGACTCAACAGAAATAAACTTGACAACAGTCTAACTTGTGTTTTGCAGGATAAAGAATTTCTCTTTCAGATATTTTGCGTGGTAAAGTGTGAGTAATTAAAAATGAATCGACCATTGTAATCCAACACATGAAGAAACAAACCCAATCTATGAATGACTTGTTTTAGCGATAGATGGCTGGAGATCTCGTAACAAAGATGAGGGGAATTGAAGTTGATCTAAAGCGAGTTAGTTGTAAATTACAAACCTTCAGGCATTCTGGAAGCTGAACCAGGCTTTTGTTTCGATGCAATTGTACGAAAACTCAACACAAATAAACTTGACAACAATCTCACTAGTGTTTTGCAGAAAGAGGAAGTTCTTTTCAGATCTTTTGCGTGGTAAGGCGTGGTAATTAAAAATGAATAGACCATTGTAATCCCACACATGAAGATGGAAACTCAATTTATTTGAATGACTTGTTTTGGCATCAGATGGCTGGAGATCTTATAACAAAGATGATGAAATAAACCGATAAACTAAGACTTCCGAGAAGGACAAGACAGATAAATTTAATTAAACAAAAGCAACGTTACTGATTTGTCATATGCCTGAAAACATAAAGCACTTTTAAATTAGTTGGAAAAATTCCTTTTTTTGCCAGAATAACTTACTTACGTAAAATTAATGTGTTGTTAAAGTTCTATAAGCGTCAAACATTCTCTGTCGAAGGGATATGTTAACTTTACCTAATCGCAACAAACTTGGAAGGCAAATCGTGAAAATTTTGTTTTAAAAAAGTTTACACTTAGACAAGTACTACTTTAATTGGTATTATAAGGAAAGATATTAACTTTCCCTCTCAAATTAATGGAAGCTGTAACTGTTATTTGTTTTTACTTAAGCTTTTTTTCCCAAGAAACGCGATCAATTATTAATTAATCAATTATGCATTACCTTTAGTTCAGATTCTGATTAAGTACAATTCTTTGTTTCGAAATCTTATTTCATATCAGGTTTTTGTTTCGTTTGGATTCGGTTAAGAGTTCGACCTGCTGGCAAAAAAAAAATGTAAAAGAGTCATCAAAACAAAGTGCTTGTACGAGAAATAAATGAAAAAAAGTGCGTTTCAAACAGCGAGAGCAATAATCAATGAAATTTGGTTTCTTTCAAAATTGATAACTCAGGGCTCAAGTGCTTCGTTAGAGGCAAAGGTTCTTACTGGCTTTATGTGCAGTTGCATGAAACACAAAATGCAGTCCTGTCGATTGACCGATTAAAGGCATCTGATGAAACCCTCTCAGCATTAATGGTCAAAAAACTAAACTCTCTTCACGAGGTGCGGACCTTCATGTGGCAGGAGGACTTTGGGATCATACGATGCGGGAGTCGGCAGAGAATGTTTAATTTGGGTTTGGATTGTATGTGGTGTGGGTAACCAATATTCCGAGGGGTAAAAAAATGTAACGGAAAAAATGATATGCTTCGAAAAAGGTTGGAGGGGAAATTTGTTTTGTCTCATTACTACTTTTACTGTATTTACAGACAGTTATGTGTTACAGCGCTTAAGTTTTTTACTTGTGCTCTCATCTCAGTTCATTTCTTGTTAAATGAAGTTGACCTTCACAAAGAAGTACGACATCACGTATTCTTGATTGTGCGTACCTGTTTCAAACCGAACTAGCGCGCGCACACAAATGGTGGTGGCTTTTTCTGTATGGTCATAGATCACTTAAGATGTAAATCATATTTTTTCCCAAACGAGCACAGTGACCTATCATTCCTTTTTCTTTCTTGGATTTGAACAGAACCTTTTCTTTGAGTACGAAAAGGAGTAATTTTCGGAAACACGAATTTAGCAAGTATGCTCAAATATAACTGTCATGATCTTGGAATCATATGGATATCTATCTGTGCCTAAAGAGGACAGGGATCCCCAAATATTATTTCAAAATTTACATACCTATTAGATAAAAATCTCTATGCAGGGTTTATATCATTAAGACTACCTTAAAGTTTTCACTATTCTCTTTGCTAAACAATTGTTACTTGTCAATGGCGATTTGGTGAAACTTTTGGCAGTAAAAAGCAACGGTAAAATACGGCGTAAGACGTTAGGCGTGTAAGAAATGTAAAAAAAATTTTTGAAAGTGAAAACGGACAATAAGAACGTAGCAGGAGAAGAAATAATTAGAAGCTAATAAATAAAAATTAAAGACAAATATAAATTAAAAACAATTAAAAACCTAATGAAAAACCTTTGTACGAATTGAGTCCGACTGCACATTGAGAGCAGGTCTCAGTTCTTGAATAAAAAACATTTCATAAAGTAGGCAGTCAAATTTGTTCGCGCACTTCTTTAAAACACTAAAAAGTCTTCGTTACATCCTCAGGGGCCAAAAAATGCTTGTTAAAAAAAAAATGCTTGCCAATGGATGAAGTCGAGCTTCTGTGTTCGTGAGCATGGTGGTGCAGATGGCGGCGTGTAAAACCAACATAACCTGCATCGCACAGGTCACACTTAAATTTATAAACAAGGCACTGTTGATTCACAACCGGTGGCTTAGCTAGTCGGTGAGGAAACAGATTGATCCGATGCTTTGGCGGCAATAAAACGTGAAAAAGTAGCTAGAGTTGACGAGTTTGTCAGTATATTTTAGTCGAGAAAATAATAACAATTTTAGTCAATCGCATTCTTCAGAGATGTAACACCAATTGGATGAAAGCCGAAATGCACGATCAAGCATAGTTTTTAGTAACCTGCGTTTGTATCGGTCGTCTACATGGCTTTTGTAATGCAGCGAGAGGCCAGTATTGGTGGGTTTAACGTATACTTAATTCTCAACATGTGTGTGTTTGTTGAGCCATTACTTGTATTTTAAGAACGATGACCGAAATTCGCAAGAGGCACTATCACGAAGTCCTAAGTATCCACACCAGGAAAAGATCGTGATTACTATCAAGAGAGGAGGACCTTGATTAACGCATCATTAACATCTCCACGTACAAGCTTTCCTTTTTCCAAAAGCTTGTGCTTTGTCGTGTTTTAAAATTTGCCATCCCTCGATTTACACAAAGGCCAGCTGTGAGAAAGCTTATTGGAATCTCGAGCCACATTTACCGGAAGAATTTCGTGATCTTGCAGCATCTACTCTACGGTCGGTGGCGCTGAATTATATCCATCGAAAGGGCCCTAAACCTCCACGAGCACTCCTCAAAGTTATTCACCATTTGGAGAGGCGTAATGACATTGTCGTTACAAAGCCTGACAAAGGATTTGACGTCGTGGTCATGGACAAAGATGAATACCTGCGCTAACTTGCTGACGCATTCATAAACGATGTCACCAAATTTAGGATGATTAACCCAGATAGACCAAAGTGTAGAGGTAGACCACCCAAACACTATCACCCCTTGCTACAAAAGGAGAAGGAACTGGAGTCGCTTTTTCGGCGAGCCCTCTAAACTAAAACCTCTCACCCGACACCTTTGAGTTCATAAATGAGGTTCACGATTTGACGATTAACAACGGAGATATTTTGGTCTACTATGATTTCTTCCCGGTTCAAACAAACGTCGTATTTTATCGTTGGGTAATTTTTGAGTCTTGCCAGCGTGGAAGGTAGGAAAAGATTCTCGTTTTTCTGTCAATTAAGTTGGATTGAATCGGTGAACTTAACTGAGTAAGATGACCACCGCTAAAAACAGTTCAGCAACAAAGAATAAGTTAATTGCAGTGACAAAATACAAGATCGTGACTGAAAGGAGTTATTTGACTTGGGGCTTACCATAGTTCGTCATATCACAATAAATCTGAACTTATCTGTTCCCAATCGTTATGCAATAATATCCACTTTCCACCTGAGGCCGTTCTTGCTGTGTCGCTGCATAACACTTCAAGTGAATAAAATATTTTGTTAGGTTCTCGATTTGGAAAAGAAAAAAGAAAAAAAAATGAAAATGAAAATTATCGTTTTTTTTTTTTTTTTTTTTTTTTTTTGTCAAGCGTCAAATTTTCATCTTAATCTTAACATATTCATTTTTCAAAATAGAGAGAGATAAACAGAAGTAAGTCATTGCACTATAACTTTTAGCATTGGGAGTTCATTTCAAAATTGGGAATATATTAAAAAGACAAATCTTAGGTGATTCAGACACATCCTTGTAGATAAATCCTGCTTTTGGTCCATAATCCTTTGGGTGGGCATGTGTTCCTGCGTCATTTAAGTCATGTGACATATCTTTAAAACGAAAGTTCAAACTTTTGCAGCGGATCTTAGTTACACCCGTGGCCAAACACTCAAAAAGACTAGAGACAATCATAGCGGACATCACATGAACAGATAAGTGGTGGCCGCTTATTGGGTAAGTCGAAGGACCACATTTTCCGATCTTTGCTGAGCATAAAATGACAAAAATAGGGAAACGAAGCTGATTCACACAATCAATTACCTGGAAATTGATCACATCACAAAAATGAGATGAATTTCCAGGTTTTAGCGAACAACTAAGATATTACGAAAGCCCCAATTAGTCAATAACTTATCGTTTATCTGCCATTTAGGAAGCTGAATTAGTTGCTTTTTGGATGTAATCGTACAAAAACTTTAACACAAATAGACTTGACAGCAATCTAACTTGTGATTTGCAGAAAGAGGTTTTTTTTCAGATATTTTGCGAAGCAAGGCGTGGGTATCAGGTAATTAAAAATGAATAAACCATAGTAATCTGATACATGACGATGCAAACATAATTTATTTGAATGACTTGTCTCAGCAACAGATGGCTGGAGATCTCATGACAAAAATGAATTGAGTAAAACGGAAGTAACCGATTTGTGATCTGCCCGAAAGCATAGAGCACTTTCATATTGGTTGAAAAATTGTTGTTGTTGTTTTTTTTTTCAAGATAACTTGGTTTACTTACTTAGAATAAATGTGTTGTTTACATTGCTGCTGGCAGTAAACTGTACAAGAGACATCACGACAGACTGTTTTTACAGGAAGTGATTCGGTAGAGGCGTAGCTTCGTACGTGGCTGTATGCGCAGTTACATAAAGCACACAATTTCAAAGCTAACGCGATCTTGTTGATTAACCGTCTGATCCCGAAAGGCATCTGGTGAAACCCTCTCAGCATTAATGATAAAAAAAACTAAACCCTCTGTCCGAGGTGCGGAGCTTCATGCACCAGGAGGACCTTGACATCATACAATGCGGGCTTCGGCAGAGAAGGTTTAATTTGGATTTGGATTATATCCGCTGTGGGTGATTTATACCCCAAGGGATATACAAATGTAGGAGAAATCATAGTACGTTTTGAAAAAGGTTGCAAGGGAAATTTATTTTGTCTCATTACTACTTTTACTGTATTTACAGACAGTTACGTGTTATAGCGCGTTGATTCCTTGTTATATGAAGTTAACCTTCACAAGTAGTACTACATTATACTTCCTTGCTATGCATAACTGTTTCGTAAATCATTTAAGATGTAAATCATAATTTTTTCGCAAACGAGGACAGTGACTAATCACTTTTTCATATCACTAATCACATTTTTTTTCATATGCTGTTTAGAATGATAAGGAAGATTAAAGTGTCTAGCGACTGGTTTGGATGCGTCCTTGTCATTTCTTTCCACATCGCGAAGGTGTTCTCGGAATCGGTTACCCAGTCGTCTTCCTGTTTCGCCGATGTCTAACTTATTGTAATAAGTGTAAGTTATGCAGTAAATAACATTGGCGGAGGTACACGTAAAGTGATCAAAAAAGTTCCAGATTGGTCATTGGTTTGAAATGAACTCCTGACTAAAAAGTTGCCTATGTTTTTGTCACGTTTGAATGAAATAAGTGGGGGTTGCGAAAAGATAGTGCCAGTCTCTGAATCGTTTTTTTTCGATTTTGCCATCGAAGTTTGATGCTTCACCGGCTCAAACGTTAATCTATAATAGGTCCTCCATCTCGTCAGGTAAGATGAGGTAGAAAGGCATTGTAAAGGTAGATCTCAACTTTTTCAGGTTTTCATTGTGAAGGTAGAGATCTTTAACCAAAAGCGGAGCAAAACAGGCTCTTGCAGTTTTGTTATCGTACCACCGCTTCTCCCACTACAAGTAGATTATATATTCTTAAATCTTTGACCCCTTAGAGGAAATTCGGTTAAAGATCATTTATAAACCAGCTATACATTAGAGTTAATTTGCAATTGAAATAAGTTGCCCTTTACTCCTACATTTTGACGAATGCCACTTATAGTCACATTCAGCATCGTCATGTTCGTCGAAGACTGGTGAAACAAAAAAAAAAAAAAAAAAAGGGAGTCAAGATAAGTGGATTAAGAAGGGTAAAGAGGTGATATTTAACATGCACTTACTTACACCCAAAAGAGGAATTTTCATTCTTACTCTGAGGTAAGGGGGTGAGGGGAGGGGGGAAAGGGAAGGGAATTTTGCTCAAGTTTTTGTTCCAAGTAGGCCCTGAAACTGACTTTGCGTATGTGACTGGCGCAATCTCCCGCATCTCGTTGCAACTAAATTCTTAAATATATGAATTGGAAATTTATCCCCAGCCACTATTCCTTATAACTCTTTATTATCAAATACTTTCTGTAATAAAAAACATGGAGCTAAGTTCTAGAATTTCATCTCTCTCGATCTGCTTAATTCCGCCACCAAATGGGGTACCTTACTTGAATTTCTGGTTATTCTTGCTCCTTCACGAGTCACTGCAGCCGAGGAAGAGCGTTCATAGCTCATTATCACACACCATTATTTTTATTACCTCTGTGGCAACCGGTGTTAATGCGGTAGCCGACGTCAATATTTGTACAATTGTTTGTCTCCCATTGATAAGGATAAGAATGAGAAATGATAATGCGTGGACATCTGTATTCAACAAAAACAAAAGTAAAGATAGGAAAAGGGAAACAAAAAGCGTTACGAAATACAATAGTCTCTCAATCTCTACTTACTCTGCACGAGTTAATCCTTTTTCAAAAAAGTAGAGAAAAGTGCGTTCGCTTTGTAAAGCAAAATGAATGGGGAATATGAAGAGATCACCTCAACCCTGAGTTTTCGCTGCTGGATGGTTTACATTTGAGGACACCACGTTAATGTTAATTCTACGAGTTTTTGACTGAGTGAGAGGGCCAGGCGGGAAGATATTTGGCTCGAGACCACGACGTAAGAAAAGAGCACAACCAGGTCCTTGCTTCATGAGCAAGAGTCAAATTCCCTATCATCCGTTCTGACCAAACTCAGCCATTGATATCGGTTTTTACATTGCCTTAGGGATAATGGAAGGGGGTGTTTGTGACTTCAACCACGATTTAGACCAAGGTGAGATAGAAAAGTAATCTACATTGGCAGACCCTAATTTATCTATATTGTTAGAAGTAATTTCTTAACACTTGTCGTTCAGTTGACTATTTCTTTTATTCTCTCTTTTATTACGCAAGTTAATACAACGGGGACTAGCTCTGATCTCTCGAGGAAAGTATGGGTCGTCGCTTCTAAAGGTGACGCTTACTGAGCTGTCAATCTCTAACCTTCTTTATGCTTTTACACTTAACTAGCGAATCACGCTAAGCTACGCTGAGCGAAGTTCGCATACTCGGTAGATACCTTCGCGATGTTTACGCTTTACAAAATGACTTTCTATCTTAATTTCTTAGTCTCACGGTCAAGGTCGAGCGAAACAAAAACAAGTTTGACAAAAGAAAATTATTATAAACTTACTGACGGCATTAAAATCATACTTGAAAAGATATCTGAAGGGAAAATTGTTCTTGAAGACAGGTACATATCGGCAGAATAAACAGAAAATTCGGAGAGGAAAGGGTGTACTCAAGGTACCGCCCCTAAAAGAGCTACGAGCTAGCCTTGTAAGTTATCGATTACAAATTCAGTGCGGAAGATGAAAAGTACTACACGTTTACACCTTAAGTCACCTCTGAGAAAAAGAGGTGTCGAACGTGGTAAATTCAATTAAAAAAACTATTTTCCGGATGGGGAATTCAACATGGATTTAGCCTAAAAACGAGAGTATTAAGGAGGCAAACGGTATGAAGGAGGGTTATTTCCAGAAAATTCCTGCACGGGATCAATTTTTATAAGGTAGAGTCATTTTCTTAGTAATTGATCATCTTTTAGCAACATAATGGAAATATACTGATATCTAGTCGAAAACCGCAGTTTGCGCAAAAACATCTGTCTTCATGTCAAATTCACGATCATAATAAGGAAAAGGTAACCAAACTCTACCTGTAAGATAAGACCGCCAAAAGGAATAATAACTGATCAACTGGCTTAATATAATTTTTACTGAGTAGCTTGGGCTAATATATCATTTCCATTTATTTTCACGTTCAAATAAGTCAAAAATCACCTAAAATGAATATTCTTTCTAGATGCCAATTTTGGTTCTGAACAATATTACATGCGCTTACGTTCTATAGGCGCATGTTGAGTTAAACTTTTCTTGGCCACTTAGTATCTAAAATTGAGTTAAAAGAGGATATACATAATTACCCATGGTTTTCAACAAGAAATAGCAGTTAAACTCAAACATGTTATATGTAGTACCTGGTAAAAAACGGTGTAAGAAACATCCTTTTCCAAAACATCAACTCTAAAAGTTCTTGAAAAAAAAGTGTTAAGCTTAGAGATGAGAAATCATTTGCAATGGAGTCTGCATAGACCAAATATCTCCAAGCTCTCTATGGGCATACATACATTCAATTACCTTTCTTGAGATTTTCAGTAGAAGCAAAAATAGAAGGTTAAGCGAATACACAGTGTAGAACGCAAAACCCGGCTAATTGTATTCGATGCTCCCAAGAGTTCATAACTCTAAGTGGACCAACATATAATTGTATAGGTGTTAACATTAAAAACTTCTTTTATTTCTACGATAACGATTTAGAGTATCTAAGAATGTTCTTGGGCAGTCTGATCCGAACAGTATAAAAATTAATTATTTATTGAACTTTTCGCCTTTAATCCAGCTCACAGCTTGCCTTCAAAATGCATCATTTTGTGTACATCTTCGTCTCCTAATTTTCGCGCCTCGATGATGTTGTTCTTTTCGACAAAGGGAACACACAATGTGGGTTTAAAACAGTGTACCTCAACACCTTGAAGGTGATCGTTGCTCTTGGAGCTAATGGTCATTACCAAAGTCTAACCGCCACCTATGTATATCAACATTACATTTATATATAATAAACATTAAACAATCTTAACTGCATAGCTAATAGAAGCATCTCGCTAAATTAGTTAAGGACTGTGTAAAAAAGAAAAAGAATAAAACGCATAAGCTGAACAAATAAATATACATCTGAGTAAAGTAAGTAAATAACGCAAACAACAACAACAACAACCACGTACACAATAACCATTTTGCATGGTCAGGGAGTTCCAAACCCTAACTCTTAATTGGCTGAACATTTGTTTTCATCTTAGTTGGATTTTTGCCAGCTTTTCTAACCAGTCATCTCTTATATTCTAGATCAAAACTGGTTAAGTAGGTTGGAATTAGCTACCAGATCCAACACAGTGGATCATAGTGACTGCTCTTGGGTAATGTTTCAGTCTTGTCAGCGTGGACGGTAGGAAAAGATTAGTTCCCCTTTTTCAATTAACTAAGTGGGATTTACTTTGGTGAACTTGATTGAATAAGATGACAAAAAACTGAAAACAGCTCAACAACAAAGAATTAAAAACATTTATGTTCCAAAAGATTCTTAGGCTTAACTTATTTATGGTAAATTTCTGATAAAAATGTGAAATCGTGACTGAGAGAAATTATTTGACTTGGGGCTTACCGTTGTTCGTCATATCACAATAAACCTGAACTTCTCTGCTCCCAATCGTTATCCAGTGATATTCACTTTCTACCTGAGGCCATTCTTGCTGTATTACTGCACAAGACTGGAAGCAAATAAAAAAAATAATAATAAAAAAAAACTTTTGCTAGTTTTCTCAATTTGAAAGAAAAAATAAAGGAAAAAAATGTATCGTTTGTTTTTTGTGTCGAGCGACGAACTTGAATTCAGTATTGATCCTAACATGTTTATTTTTCCAAAGAGAGAGAGAGAGAGAGAGAGAGAGAGAGAGAGAGAGAGAGAGAGAGAGAGTGAAATAGAGGTAAATCATTACAGTATAGATTTTTTCGCAATCAAACGAACAAACATTGGGAATGCATGAAAAGGACAAACCTTGGATGATTCAGACACATCCATGTAGATAAATCCTGCTTTTGGTCCGTAATCTTTTGGGTGGGCATGTTTTCCTGTCTCATTCAAGTCACATGACTTACCTTTTAAACGAAAGTCCAACCTTTTGCAGTGCATCTCAGTTACGTACATAGTCACATATTCGGAAAGACTGGAGACAGTCATGGTGAACATCACGTGACCAGATAGTCGACAGCTGCTTATTAAGTAAGCTGGAGGACGACATTTACCAAAGACTTTGAGGATCTTTGTCGAGCATAAAATGCCCAGAATAAAGAAAAGAGGCTGCATCACACAATCAATTACCTGGAAATTGATCACTTCATAAAACTGAGAAGAATTTCGAAGTTTTAAAGAACAACTGAGATATTATGAGGGCCCTAATTAGTCAAAAACCTATCGTTTATTGCACTAGTAAATCCACACTTTCCTAGTGTTCACGAAACTTCCTGCGTGGGCTATAACACACGAAAATGACATCTTTTCAAGAAATCAAGTCAACCTAGTGAATTGATCTTAACTAAATATACAAATCTACTACGATCCCCAAAAGACATAACCTCAATGTTTTTTTCGTTTAAATAAAATTGTTGAAACCCTTACTTCGCCCGAAGTCGAAGAAAAACAACAGGATTGAAACCCTATACATCTTTTAAGCTTTTAACACTCTGCTTATAGAAAAAGGAAGCCTTATTCACCGGGAAAACAGCGTAGTTTGAAGAACTTATTCCAAAGTTGATCAGCTTTCTAAGAAAGCTTTAAGCACAATTTTGCATCATGCCTGATAACAAAGAGTTTCACGTACTAGAGCGAGAAGAAAATAAACCGAGGGGAATTGAAGATGATCTTATGCGGGTTAGATGTAAATTACAAACCTTCTGGTATTCGGGAAACTCATCCAGGCCTTTTTTTCCGATGCAATCGTACAAAAACTTTAACACAAACAGACTTGAAAGCTAGTAATTTAATGTTAACAACTGAGTTGAAAACGTAAATTAGCCAAAAGGGTAAAAAAAGCTGACGTTTCGAGCATTAGCTCTTCGTCCATCGCTCTGACGAAGGGTTAACGCTCGAAACGTTAGCTTTTTTACCCTTTTACGGAGGCTAATTTACATTTTACAAATAGCCCATGATTATTTTCGTCGTGGTACTGTGACAAGGCTCGTCTCCCAGTGTCTGTTTTCAAATGGAATGAAATATGGGAGTCAGGGGCTATTTTAAAACACACGATTTTGCCATCGAAGTTTGGTGCTCCCCCGGCTCAAACGCTAATCTATTATAGAAGGTCTTACATCTCGTCAGGTAGGATGAGGTACACAGGCATTGTGAAAGTAAATCTCTCAAGTTTCACCCAGAAGCAGAGTAAAACTGTCACTTGCGATTAATAATAATGACTTTATTGGATTACACAATTACTGGTAGAACCAGTAGTTATCATTGTGGTCCTCAAAAACTTTAAATTCAAATAGCAAAAATACGAAGAAAAATACAGTTAAAAATTGAAAATTAATTTGAAATTTCTGCTTATGGTTAAATTATCAATTCTGGAGTTCCGATCTATATATTTCTTGTATAATTGATTTTTAAATTTACAAAGGGAAGTGAGACCCCTAGTAGTACTGTCTTGGTTCTTCCATAATCTAGTGCCACTTGCAAGAAATGAACGTTTGCCGGTCATGGTGCTAAAAAAAGGTATGGATAAGTCCATATTATGTGTATTATGCATAATGCACAATTTCCTTTGCTCTATTATGTTGCTGATAGGGATCCAACCTAGTCTCTTACAAAGACCAACTGTTCTTTCAGTGCCTGCATTTAAAATTACTCTGACACAACGTTTTTGAGTTCTGAGGAGCCTTTGTAAATTATCAATCTTAGTGTTTCCCCACACTGATCAACAATATTCGAAGATTGGTTTAATTAAAGCGTTGCATAGCAAAGTCTTAAGTGATAGATTCAGGTACTTTCTGGCTCTTTTAAGAAGATTTACCCTAGAATTTAATTTAGTGATCATGTAATCTATATGGCTATTCCAATTAAAATGCTTGCCTATCTTCACACCAAGGAGCTTTTCGTTGACAGCCTCTTCGATTTCAGTAACTCGCAACGAAAGGTTACGCGATGGGTTTGTGCAGTAGGAAAGTTTCTGCTTGGTTCCAACAAGTAGCTGTTTTGTTCTCTTTGCGTTTGGGACCATCTTGTTTAGCGAGAACCAAAGATTCGCTTTGTTGAGATTTCCCTGAAGTCCGTGTTGGATATACAAAGGATTAGAATTAGCCATCCATAATGTAGTGTCATCGGTGTAAATATCCACATTGCAATCAGGTATTGCAAGTGAAGGGGCATTGATATACAACAAGAAATAGTTGGTAGTGCGTCAGACCATGATCCATTGATACAAAATCGCTGTGTTCGATGACTCAGACCACCGCAGAGATGTATTATCAGTGTGGTACATACTGATTTTTGATAAAAGTAAGCTGCGATCTACCAGATCAAAAGCTTTACTAAAGTCCAGCAGTACTGCGCTGACAGCTTGTTTCGAGTCCATAGCTTTGAGCCAGTTGTTAGTAAGACTCCTAAGTGCTGTTTCACAAGAATGATACGGGCGATTTTCTGCCTGTTTACTGTGTAAGAGCGTATTCGATGTTAAGCCTTTAAGGTATGATCGCGAAACATGCCTCTCCAAAGGTTTAGATATTACGGACAATATGGAAATGGGACGATAGTTGTTTCTATCATGGATTGAGTTGTTCTTGTGGACATGAGTCAGCTTCGCTCTCTTTAAGTTGTCGGGGAAAGAACTACTTGCAATACTATCATTGTAGATGTGGGTGAGAGAAGGAGCGGCAGCATTCAAAGCTTTCTTTAAGGGTTTTATTCCGATTCTATCAAGTCCTGTGGCTTTATTATCAGGAACGTTCTTAAGATCTTCAACCACCTGTTTCACACTAATTGGCGGGATGAAGAATACGGCTGAATAATTGATGGGACTTTCTACAAAATCAGTGGGTCGATAATTTTGTTTGTTAGTATCCACTATTGGGATAATTGATCTGCGTTTTGTTGGCCATTTCCGTAGGATCACAAAAACTCTTATCTTCCGCCTCAATGAATGAAAAATTGGAGGGTGCAGTTTTAGTTGGAGCAATTCGCTTGAGAGTTTTCCAGAATTTCCTTGGATTATTCATGTTTTTGGAGATCTCATTCCTCACATAATCCGTCTTGGCCTTGACAATTGTCTTTACCACTTGGTTACGTAATCTTTTGTACGTTATGCCTGCCAGAATGTTTGATTTGGCACGCGTGCTTTGAACTGGTCTCCACGGTGCATAAGCTGTAAGATGTCACTGTTTATCCACGGTTAGAAAGGCTTATGTTTCACTCTTTTCCTGACAATGGGGGCGTGTCGATTCATCACATCGTTGAAAATCCATTCCCAAGTGTCGAGCTATGTGATTTGCCATCAGCCACTATAAGAAGATTACACAGTGACTGCTCTTGGGTCATTTTTGAGTTTATCAGCGTAGAAGGTACGAAAAGATTCTCCTTTTTCAATTAATTAAGTTGGATTGAATCGGTGAACTTAATGGAATAAGATAAAATCTAAATCTTGTTCTATATTAGGTTTTTACTTGTTTTGGGTTTGGTTTGGAGTTACTTTCTGGCAGAAAAACCGTACAAGAGTTATCACGACAAGCTGCTTTTACAGGAAGTGAGTCGTTAGAGGCGTAGCTTCTTACGTGGCCTTATGCACAGTGACATGAAGTACGCAATTTCATAGCTGACTCGATTGACCATGTGATCCCGCCGGGATTAATGAATGACAAAGGCATCTGATGAAACCCTCTCAGCATTTATGATCAAAAAACTAACTGAATACTCTTTATCCGAGGTGCGGAGCTTCATGCACTAGGAGGACCTTGGAATCATACAATGTGGGCGTCGGCAGAAAAGGTTTAATTTGGGTTTGGGTTGTATCTTTAGGAGAAATCATAATACGCTTTGAGAAAGGTTGCAAGGGAAATTTATTCTGTCTCACTGCTACTATTATTGTATTTACAGACAGTTTTGTGTCATAGCGCACTGATTCCTTGTTAAAAAAAGTTGACCTTCACAAGTAGTCCTACATTATACCTCCTTATTATGCATAACTGTTTCAAACCATACTAGCGCGCGCACACCAACAGTGGTGGCTTTTTCTCTATGGTCGTAAATCATTTAAGATGTAAATCATAATTTTCTCGCAAACGAGGATAGTGACCTATTACTTTTTTTTCTTTCTTGAATTGGAGCAAACCATTTCTCAGAGTGCGAAAAGGAACAAATTTCAGAATCACGAATTTAGCAAGTATACTCAGGTAAAATTTTTATGATTTTTATAGGAATCATACGGGTCTCTTTCTGCGCTCAAAGAGGACAGGGACCCCTAAATGTTCTTTTAAAAAATATTAACGTACCTACTGATTATGTATGACAAAAATCTTGGTGCAGGAATGACATTAAAGTTCTCATTATTTTCTCTGCTAAACTATTGTGATTTGAGATAGCTTAAGCTAAATAAGTTTTAAATTATAATTAGCACCATATCTAGATAAAAAGGGGAAAAAAAAACTTTTTCGGTTTTAGGGGTAGCCGTGCGTCATCACAAGGCTGTATCAGAATTAGAACCAAACGAAACCAAACCATATTCCACCAAATCTCTCCCAGATAGGATTACTTGACAAATAACATCCCTCGCTTGTTCAGGAAGATTCCATAGCTTTTGCCTTGGCACAGTGGATAACCATACAGCGCTTGTCTTTGAGTGTATGTTGGATAAAAAAGAATGAGATAAAATTTAGAATGATGTGACTGGAAAGTCTAGTTCATGTTTATACCATCAAAGCTCATTCCAGTTTTTACTGATTGATTTATAGAATCCAGAGATAATTTACCAATATATTTCTCTGAAGCAGGGTTATTTTACAAATAGCATTAGATTACATGATTATTTTCGCCGTGGCTCTGTGGATAACCATACAAGGCTCATCTTCCGGGGTCTATTTTCGAATGGAATGAAATATGGGAGTCAGGGGCTATTTTTAAAACACATTATTTTGCCATCGATGTATGGTGCTCCCCCGGCTCAAAGGTTAATCTTTTAGAGGTCTTACATCTCGTCAGGTAGGATGAGGTAGAAAGGCGCAATGAAAGTAAACCTCTCAACTTTCATCCAAAAGCATAGCAAAAAAAGCACTAGCAATTTGCTGTCAGACCATCTCTTCTCCCACTATAAGAAGATTATACAGTCTTAACTCTTTGGCCTCTTAGAGTGACTAGCGACATATTATCGTTGTCAGCACCTTGCACCGAGAATAAGATGGAAAATATGCGAGCTAATGTTAGAGGAAATCGGCTAAAAGTCATTCATTAATCAGTTATTAATGAGAATTATCTAGCATTTGAAATAAGTTGAGAAACCAGAAACAAAAAGAGTCAAGATAAGTGAATTAAGAACGGAGAAAGAGGTGATAATTAAAATGAGCACTTGGTCACACCCAAAGGAGGAGTTTTTATTCTTACTCTGACGTAAGAGGTTTGGAGGGAAAAGGAAGGGATTATGCACAAGTTTTTGTTCTTGGTAGCGTCCCTGAAACTGACTTTACTTAATGTGTGACTGGCACAATCTCTCGCATCTCGTTGCAACTAAACTCTTGAATACATGAAATGGAAATTCTCACCAGCCACATGTTCTTATAACTCTATATTATTAAATACTTTCTAAAGTAAAAAAAGCACAGGGCTAATTTCAAAAATTTCATCTCTCCGGATTTACTTAATTCCGCCACCAAATGGTGGATCTTATTTGAATGTCTCTGGTTATTCTTGCTCTTTTACTTGTCATTGCAGCCGAGGGCGAGAGTTTATAACTCATAAACATATCAACATTTCTACTACCTCTGTAGCAATAAGGGTTTATGCGGTAGCCCGCGTCAATATTTGTACAACTGTTTGTCTCCCATCGATAAGGATAAGAATAAGAAATGATTACGCGTGGACACCTGTATTTGACAAAAACAAAAGTAACAAATCAAAGCGTAACAAAATACAATAGTCTCTCTTTTTGGACCTACTCTAGTTAATCATTGTGTTCGCTTTGGAAAGAAAAATAAGATACATCACCCTGGTAGAATGGGGAATATGAAGAGCTCACCTCAACCCTAAGCTTTAGCTGCTGGATAGTTTACGTTTGAGGACACCACGTTAATGTTAATGCTATGGCTTATTGACTGAGTGGGAGAGGAAGGCGGGAAGATATGCCTTAACGTAAGAGCAGAGCACAGCCAGGTCCAAGCTTCATGACGAAGAGTCAAATTTTCTCTCGTTCGTTCCTACCAAGCTCAGCAAATAATGTTATTTTTTGCAGGGTAATGGGAGGGGATGCTTGTGAATTTAACCACGATTTCGAACGACGCAAGAGAATAAGGTAATCTATATTGGCAGGTTCAAATTCATTTATATTTCATGTACTTACGTTCCATAGCCACATGCTGAATCAAACTTTTCTGGGCCACTTGGTATCTAAATTGAGTATCAAAGGGGACACACGTCATTACTTTAAGTATTCTATGGGAAAATCCATTACCTAACTCGTGAATTCGGTGTTAAATTGCACGCGAAAACCGAGTCGCGAAGCGTTGAGTGCGATATCGGTTTTCAAGTACAATTTAACGCGGAATTCACTGGTCAGGTAATGGATTTTCCTTGAATCGCATAATTGAATAAAAATAAAAAAAATAAAAAAAAAGGAATGATACTGTTTGTTTTATCATCGCATCGCGATTCGTGCGATATCAGAATTCACGATTAAGGTAGTGGATTCGACCCTGGCACTTCTTCCGTTGTCACTTCTTCGTCTTGTTTTGTCGAGCTTTTGCCTGTTATTTTCTGGGCAGTGTTCACAGGATTTCCTTCCTTTATCGTTTTCGCGAGCGAAAGATGTTTTTATGCCTCTCCAAAAATTTGTAGTTCATTTCAAAACAGGGAAGAACCTCTCGCTAACTTTGAAAACGCTTTCGATTGTTTTTTTGCTCTTCAAAAGATGACAATGGGTTTAAAAAAGCTCAAAAACACTTTTCAACGACATTGTTGAAAACTTTGTTACAATTTGACGGCAGGTGTTATGTTTAAGTAGATGCGAAAGAATATCACTTAGCCTCCTTTTCTACTCGCAATTCCACGCTAAATGCTTCGCTTCGTTGACCGATCAGAATGCTAGATTTTATTTAATTATGTGATTCAACAAGAAACAGCAGTTAAACTCACTCATGTAATGAGCTATACCTGGTAAAAAACGGGGTAAGTAACATTCTTTGTCAAAACATCCACTCTAAAAGTTCCTGAGAAAAACAAGTGTTAAGGTTAGGGGTGAGAAATTATATGCAATAGCATCTGTGTAAACCTGGCTAATTGTGTTTTAATGGACCCAAGAGATCATAACTCTAGGTGGGCCAAAATGTTGTTGTTTAAATGATAGACATTGAAACCTTGTTTAATTTCTATGATGAGCTAATGGTCACTACCAAAGTCCAACCGCCACCTGCATACATCAACATTTCAAAATAAACAGTGCAATTATTTTAACTGCGTGACTAATAGAAGCATCTCGTTAGATGAGTCAAGGACTGTGTGTAAAAGAAAAAAGTAAGAACATATATATTGAATAGATGAGTAATCATATGAAAAACTTTGTGAATAACGCCAACAACAACAAAAGCAATCACGTCCACAACAACGATTTTGCGTAGTCAGGGAGTTCCAAACCCTAACTCTTAACTGGCTGAAGATTTTTTCCAGCTTTTCTAGACAGTCAACTTTTCTAACCAGTCATCTCCTATATTCTAGATCAAAACAGGTTTAGCAGGTTAGATGCGAGCTACAAGATCCAACAAAATGAATCATAGTGACTCCTCTTAGGCAATTTTTGAGTCTCGTCAGCGTGGAAGGTACGAAATTAAATTGGATTGAATTGGTGAACTTGATTGAATAAGATGACAAAAGCTGAAAACTCAGCAACTAAGAATAGAAAACATTGATGTTTCTATAGACTCTAAGGTTTAAGTTAGTTGTATTAAAAAAAATATGAAAATCGTGACTGAAAGGAATTATCTGCTCCCAATCGTTATCCAATAATATCCACTTTACGCCTTTCTCCCTTCCCCAGGCTTGGGGCTTATAAGTTAATTAGTGGGCTGCATACCCAGGCTCGTTTACTGGGCGCTACAATAAAGACTGACAATCAAGGATGGAGTAAAATGGCTAAGGGCAAAGGCCCAAAGCCGATTTAATCATTAAAACTTCCTTGAATTATTTACAAAAACAATTGGCTCTAAAAATTGTGTTGAGCCCAGTAAAGGTGAGGGCATAAAAACGCCAAAGCAGAATGATTAACATCAAGCTGCCGCCCCACCCAAGGGAAATGCAGCCCACAAAGTATCACATTAAGTTTAGGGGAAAGCTTTGTCAAGATAACAAAATAAAAAGCTCTGACCGAAAGCCTAATAGCCAATTAATACATGGTAGGGGGAACAGCTGCCCTTGCCAAGAGAAAGGAGTTCTGCAAAATTGGTACGTGAAACTGGGCTATAATCAGAATTAAGAAAAAGTAGGCCAGGCCTGTTTCCTCGTAATGACAGTTACTCCAGTAGCAATTGTACTGGACAGCAAGAATTATGGCGGTGTAAAATCACAGAAAATGGACACTGATTGTAATTATGCTTAAAATTGCCAAACGTGAGTTTAAGAGCCACAACCTGCTTGGAGGGATCTAATAACTTAGATAGCTGATGAACCTGCAAGGGGACATGAGCATCTTTCGATGAATTGTAGGTGATCTCCCCAATTCTCAAGAAGGCAAAAAATGCTATAGAGCACATGGCCCTGAATTGAAGACTTTGGTAATGGGCTATAGTAAGCTGGGCCGATGACTCAATAATTCTGTTAAGCACTGAAAGGGTGATAGGTAGACGGCTATCAAGGCGTGAGCCTATCTTACCATAACCTTTTAAAAGCTGGATAATAAAGAAGGCTTTGGTGCGATCAGCGAGGCCTAAAAATTTATGAGAATAGCCCAATGCAGAAACATATGAACTCACAGTAGATGGAGCATATTTTTTGTCGTACATAAAAGCAATAAACAGAGCCAACGTATGGGGCGCAAAGGGAAAAGGTTTGCTTACAGAATGGAAAATCGTAGTGAGAAATTGGTAAAATAATCTCCAAGCCCGCTGATAAGTTGGAATAGACGAAGGTTGAAGCCTCCACTTAGCAAGCATAGCTACTGTAGCACCCAATTGTGAGGCTGCAGATACTGGGGAATCTCTGTGGGCAAGGAGTCCATGTGAGGAGGTGCCAAGCGCTTGAAAGTCTGGACCTGCAAGCGAGACAGAGCATCAGCCATTTCGTTGCGAACTCCTGGTATGTGTTTAGCCTTGAATAATATGTTGTAATGTAAACAAATCGAAACCAGTTTTCGCACAAAAGCCATCAGAAGTTTGCCTGTTTATTACATGAACCAGCGCTTCGTTGTCGGTAAAAACAAAATGCACTGATTGCTCATCGCTGCGCCCCAGAGGTACAAGCTTAGTACAATACGGTAGAACTCGAGAATGGCAATATTTTGGTACTGCCAACTAGACGGCCATTTCCCGTAGCACCAATGAGACCCAAATAAAGCCCCGAAACCCAAGGCACCTGAAGCATCAGTGAAAAGATTTAGCTTGGATGAACTAAGCCAGGTATCCTCAAGGAAGAAGGACTTGCCATTGAAATTAGACAAGAAAGACAACCATAAATTTAAATCCTCCTTGACCTCTCTGTTAAGTCTAATGCAATGATTAGGCATGCGAACCCCCACCGTCAAATCGATAAGCCGACGCAAAAAGGCTCTACCTGGCCTTATAACAGAACACGCAAAATTTAAAAGGCCAACAAGCGATTGAATTTCCTTTAATGTAACTTTTTTGCGACGACTAAATTCTGAAATGAGGGAAACACATTTCTCAATTTTTTCCATGGGCAAGCGAGCCTCCAACAGAATTGAATCTAGTTCGATATCTGCAAAAGACATAGAGGTAGCGGGACCAGAGGTCTTCTCTGGTGCAATGGGAATACCAACGTACGAACAAAGTGACAAAAATAAATCTAACTGCTGTTGACAGAGATGCTCTGAAGGAGCAACTAAAAGGAAGTCATCAAGAAGATGCAAAATATAATCAATGTTTAACTTATTATGAGCAACCCACTCCACTGCAGTGCTAAAAGTTTCAAAGGTCAAACAAGATGATGAACAGCCCATAGGCATGCAACGATCATAATAGTACAGCCCCCTCCACTGCATACCGAGGAGACCATAATCATCAGGGTGAATAGGAATAATTTGAAATGCATTTTTGATAGCCGTCTTAGTCAAAAAGCAACCAGGGCCTGCCCTCTTTATGAGCTCGATGGCCCCATCAATTGTGGCGTAATGAACACTGGTATGTTCATGGGGTATGCCGTCATTAACAGATGCTCCCTTAGGAAAAGAGAGATGGTGAATTAGGCGAAATTCACTAGGCACTTTCTTGGGCACAACTCCCAAGGGAGAAATCCAAAATGGGACAGTGGTGGAGACCGAAAAGGCCCTGCTAGCCGTTGGGCTTCAAGCTCTTTTTGAGTTTAGAATCAACTGCCGAAGGATTATCTGAAGCAGACAACAAATTTTTAGCTTTGCACGACTGGCGCACGCCTTGAAAATGAATTGGAAAGCCGTTCGTAAAACCAGATATAAGAAACTCAACAGTGGAATGGGTGTACCCATCAAGTAAAAAACTTAATCTTTCAACTCTTACTGGTGTTGGCAGGGTGCGAGGACTGGGACTTGGCAGTTGAGGGATGAAAACTGGATTGCTTGCTTTGGCCACGAAAATTACACTTGGAAACAGGGTGTGACCCCTCACACTTATAACACTGGTGTTTGTAGGCACAGCCTGGGGCACATTTACGCCCCTTATGGAAGCGAAAGCAGTAGCCTTTAGGGGTAGTATCGACCTTACCAGGAACCCGTCCTTGAGACATGGGTTGAAATGATCTGGGCTGGGTTACCTGGTTAGACTTGAGCCACAGCTCATCGTGTATCCGATCCCAGGGGAGGGCTGAACGATGGGCCTGCCTTAAAAATCGAAAATTCTCATCATAATATTTCCAGGTATGACCCCCCTAACTGCCAAATCCTGAACAGTGTCGCAGTACTTCATGAGGGCGGGGGCCTCATGAGGGAACCGCCTTGTGTAGATACCCACAAATATGTGGAAACAATTGAGCCAAGATTCGATGGATGTTATTTTTTTGGCCTTAGTTATGGGCTCAATGCAGAGAGAGGGAAGGGGGCCACTCTCAGGATTCCGCACAGCTAACTGATAACGGTTTGCATAAACCGGGTTGGCAAGGAGAGAGCCAAAGTCAATGTACTCGTCCTACCAGATTTTCTCGCGTAGCTTATCGATGACACGAGCATCAACAGGTAATGCTACTGATTGAAAGCACTGACCTGGCACTTGTGGGTGGCGGGCCATCTGATGTAGAGGGGACCAAGCCCATCATGGCAGCAGAAGCAGTTGCCAAACTTCCTTGAACAACAGTCGTTGCGATGGCATCAGAAGCTGCAGTAGATGAGGAAGACTGGTTGGCTGCGGTAGTTACGGGAACCTCCTGGAGGGCTGATGGAACTGTGGGAGGGAGACTTGCGGGATTCTCCGCTGGTGATAAACGGCGGGAGACCGCATCCGCCACCCGGGTTATCAGCGTCTCCATAATCTGAGGTGACAGCAGGGCATCCTGTTGTGATAGTTGTTCGGGTTGTGGAAGTATGGGAGGGTCCTGAGAAGTAACTGGCGCGGCTGAAGCTTGCCCGGGTACTGGGGCTGGACTACTCCTACTTGTCCTGACAGATAAGCCACGTGTGGCCACGCTGCTTGCACGGACACTAGCCCGAGGGGTGGCGCGTTTTGGGGCCCCAACTGGGGCCCGATAAGTGCGGCTACGGGACTTGACTTGGCGCCACGATAACTCCGGTAAAGCAAATATTGCCCAGTTGGATTAACGTGAACGCCATCCCTCAGGTAAAGGTCCTTATGGGGACTATTGAATTCAGCATGAGACCAACAATAAACAGGTGGAAATTCTTCCAACACAATGCTAACATAATGATTTAAAAGTGTAGCGTGGTCCAAGAATGCCATAGCATGCGGCACGGAAATGCCCCGTGGGATGACACCACAAACCCCGATCACGCGGACAGAATAATCCCTTTGAAGCAAACGCACAAACTCCTCTATTTGAGAGCCGACGGTCTGGGGAAGGGCATGGGAAAGGTCGTTTGTACCTATTTCCAAGATAACAATATCTGGAGCAAGGTCCCTGACCACGTGAAGGTCATTTTCTTCGAGCGTTTGCACAGTGCGACCGCCAACGCCATGCAAGTGAACCGACGCTGTACCACGAAGGTTAAAGTCGCTAGCCGCCCGGGGATCAAAACCCAACTCCAAATCGCGCTTAAGGCGCCTTACAAACGAATGGCCTAAAATAAGCGCGTAAAAAACCCCGGGAAGAAAGACATAAAATTCCTATTCGCATAGCAAATAATCTCTTTTCAACTGAGGCCATTCTTGCTGTATTGCTGCACAAGACTGGAAGCGAATAAAACTTTTGCGAGATATTTTTTTTTAATTTTCTAAACAAACTTTATTTCCAAAGCGAACAATAGCGTCGTCAGCATACTCTATACTCTAATAAAATACGTTACGATAAGCCAATCAGAATCCTTGTTAGAGTGGCTCAAATAATCTGATTTGTTGTACAAGACTTAAGCTGTCAAAAATGTCAAAGCAAAACTGAAATAGTTCGGCAGGTCCAATTTAACACATTTGCCTGAGATCTTTAAGTCTTTATCACAGAATCTATGAGTGACTTGCTCAGTGAAATCCGGCCGAATCGAAACTCAGAAACACGCAAGTTTTTTTCACGTGTCATTTAGAAAACAAACTGTTCAAGGCTTTTGTTTTATGAACGAACTGACAGCCGAATCCACAGAAACATGAAGGTTGCTCGGGATGAAAGCGCTATAAAACTCCCCTTCTGTGACAGATATGGCCTTCTACTCAACAAATCGGAAAAGGTATTAGAGCAAGCTCTTAATCGTTCACTCGAAGGGTGCAGGGTCGCCGATGCAATTTGTGAGGCTTCTTCACTTCGATGACCGGAGATCGCCATGATGAGCTAGCCGCGAAAGTCCTTAGCGTGATTCATGGTTAGGATGAATTTTAGCAGTTATGCCAGTTGGCCATATCTTTCATCATTCCTGTTTTGTTCTGTTTTGTTCTGTTTTGTTTTTGAACACGAAACTACATTAACTCTACTAGTGTTAGCTGTGCCTGATTTTTTATCACCCTACCTTAGGTCGCAATCTAACTGAGCGTGAAAACCTTCAAAACTCGTTCATTTCGTTTTCTTCTTGAGGATTTCGTCGCTTTTTACGTAATAATAGCATAAATTACGACGCTCAGCGTGTATACAAACATTTGTTTGGTTCTTCTCTCGCTATTCGCCGTCTCGCTTGTTCCGAAAGTTTACTTTTAATTAACGGAAAAAAGCTGGAATAAAATACTGGGAAATGGTTGGACGCAGTACAATTTGGTAGATGGCGTCGGAGCTTCAGCTCGACCCCATGCTTTATACTATGATAGCGCACACTCTCTCAACCAATGACCGTGCGCGCTATATCTGAACTTTATTATAGAGCGAATCAGCATTGGGAATGTAATTATTTAAGGGACAAACCTTGGGTGATTCAGACACATCCATGTTAATACATCCTGCTTTTGGTCCATAATCCTTTGGGTGGGCATGTCTTCCTGCGTCATTTAAGTCACATGACTTATCTTTTAAACGAAAGTTCAAACTTTTGCAGCGGGTCTTAGTTACACACATGGTCACACACTCAGAAAGACTGGAGACAATCATGGTGGTCATCACGTGACCAGACAGGTGGTAGCCTGTTATTGAGTGGGTCGAAGGAGCACATTTTCCAAAGACGTTGAGGATCTTTGAGGTGCTTAAAATGACCAGAATAGGGAAACGAAGCTCATCATACAATCAATTTCCTAAAAATTGATCACATCATTAAACTGAGATGAGTTTCGAAGTTTTGAAGAACAACTGAGATATTTTATTGCACTGGTAAATCCAAACTTTCCCTATGTTCTCCAAACATCCCGCGTGGGTTATAACCCTAGTA